TATTGGTCATCACATTGAGTTGCATATTTAAATTTTATTTAATAAATGGTGTAGAATTATTTTTAAAATCATATCAACATTATCTATCTTGACCATATGTTTTATTTAAATTACCTCTAATTTAAATTTAAGAATTTTGTTTTCCCAGGTAAAGAAGACCCGAGAAATTTTTTTTTCTAAACATAATTTTCCGATCCCCTCCCGGGGCACCGTGTCAATATGGTGCCGAAAGTTAACAAAAGAAAAGTAAGAAGTTGAGTTTATTATTTTTTTACATTAATCTAAAAAACTAAAAAACTATTATCAAAAAATAAGGTACATATATATCTTCCATATTAAATCAAATTTGATTAAACAAAAATAAAAAGTATCAAAATATATTACAAAAATATTTTAAACAAAAGCATGGTTACAAGCTAAAATAATCGTAAGTTTTCATCAACATATTAAATAAAGTCATATTCAAATAATACCTATTAAAGTTATATAAAATAACAATACAAATTTAAATATAAAAAATCAATTCCATTATTTAACAACCCATATCTTTCAAGGATGCAAAACCCTCCTCCTATAAATTCAATAAACTATAACGGCCATGGATGTCAGTTTGAGATTCAAAGTTTTTTTATGAGAATATTGTGATTTGCGAATAGCATTTATTATTATTTTTTGTTTATTGTATATATTCTTTCTATTAAAAAATATTATTTTATTCTTTATTTGAAAAAATACAAGAATATAGAATTTGTTTTTAATTAATAAACCTTTTTTCAAGCCGGATAATAATTTTTCAGGGTTTCACAAATATTATCCTCATATTGTTTATTTATTTATATAAGATCTACTATATATTATACGAGTGGATGGAATTAAATTATAAAAATACATTTGAAAATTTGTAAACCATGTAAATATTATTTGACTATCTTATGAATGTAATTAAATTAAACTGATTTTTTAGAATAACAACTAGTATAAATCGTTCATTTCCTTTCAGGTATTTCTCAATATTTATATCAGACATATATATCCGAACCTTGAACCCTTGTATTTTTGCTGAAACAAACCTTTTTAAAGGTGTGGGGATTCAAGTGTCCTAGTGCCAAAAAAATCTTTTAAATCCATTAAAAATAAATAAAAATATTTTCTTCTTTTTTTAAAATTGTTTGGTTCCATTTTATATGTAATAGGTTTTGCATAAAGCGTTAAAATATTATCCGAGGGGTCACCCCAGATTCTTAGGTATTGGTAATAACCGTTACTAAATGATCCCTACATTCTGAGCTAACTCCGCATTGTATGCATCTCTTAAATATATCGTCGAAAATATTTTACTACCCATGATTCTATTTGTCAACGAAAGTTGATAGTAAATCATTATCTAGATAAATATTTGTTGATTGTTAAATAAAAATCTCCGCATATTCTTTAAGATATCAACCGTTGGCGTAGTCCAAGTGATTGAAGTTGTTGTTGGATCCGTCTTTTCGATAAAGCCTCCATCTAAAAGCCTATCCAACTCAGTTTCAACCGTTGATCTAGCGGAAATGGAGCTCTTCTTGCTGGTTAAGCTATCGGTAATGCGTTAGGTTGTAAGGATAACTCCTCGTTGGAGTTTTATTTCTCCTAATTTTATTTTTAAAACTTGAGGGAACTTCGATGCAAAAGTATCTAAAGTTGGATTTGTATTATTTATCCTAACTCTAAAGCTTTATAGCGAATTCTCTAAGAAAAGACATTCCACAAACAAGGGAATTCTCTCCTTTAGCTACACAAATAGGTAAAAATTTAGAAATGTTTTTTACAACTTTCATTGTGATTTACATAACCCTTGATTTAGATATTATTATACCCCATTATAGTGATGGATTGGCAATGCGTAGACTTCATCTATCCCATAGCACGCAACACCGTAGAATACTATTATAAACTTTAAGATATTTATCTTCGGTGATGGAATCATATGTATGACATGATTTCTACTATTTTGATATGTGGTTTGCCTCACCACATCAAAAGCATATGACTTTTTATGAATATAATTATTATAATTAAATTTGTTGGCTAAATAACTATTATTATTATTGAATTTATTATAGTTATCATGACTATTATTCCTTAAATACTTTTTTGGAACCTTGCGTCGATTATTATTTAATGATTTTGTTAATCTCTACCTGGGCATTCTTTTCCAAGGAAGGAAGAGCGATCTCTAAATGCACAGTATCTTCTAAAGTGGTACTGGCTTCGATATACTTTGACTGAAGATTTTTATCCAATTTAGGCAGCCCTACTCCTAAGATGAAAATATCTCTTAAAAGTTCATCAACAGGCTATTTAAAATTACATAGTGAGCAAATACTTTTTAATTTAATAGAAAAATCTATAATAAATATTATTTCGATATTTTCTTTAAACTATCAATTAATTATATAATTAATGCTAGAATAAATTGGGTAATGAATTTTTTTTACTTTTATTAAGTTATCCGTATCTATGTATGTTAGTAACAAATCTATTTTCTATTATTTTCGACAGTATTTTTTACTTTAAAGATGAGTTTTACATGAATATTTATTTTAGATTTGAAAAATTTTGGGATATATAATTGACTAGATGTTGATGCTTCTTCGTTTTTCTTCAGAACTATCTTCGAATCTTTTCGGCATAGTACAATTCTTCGTCTCTTTAACCTATTAGTTTAATACGCCTCTTTAAACTTAATCGTAGCCAATGTGTTTGAGATATAAAAGGTTTTATAAGAATCAAATTTAATCTCATTTTTAACAAAATGAAAAGATCAAAAGGATAATTTAACTTATGTTTATTATAAAAAATACCTAACGGGGTTATTTTATATTTTTTTATATATATGCAACGATATTCTCTTATTATTAAGGATTCTTTACTCCATATATCAAATCAAAAAAAATATATTTAAAAAAATACACAAAAATCAAGGATTTTTTATACTCTTCTCTTTTTTTCAATAAATATAATTTATTAATAATTTACTTATTTATCATCCTAATTATATAATATTTATCGACTCAGTGGCGTATCCAGGATTTTCTTATAGGGGGGAAAAATTTTTTGGGGGCTTCGCCCCCAAACCCCTTTTACCTGGCCTTCGGCCAGCTTTCCCCCGGCCTTCGGCCGGGTCTTATTTAGCTATTCTATTACAATATGAATAATTTAATAAATTATATTTCTATTTTTAACTATTATTTACTAATTCGTGCTTATGGATAGGATATTACAAGCCTCTTTTTTATTATTTCAAGTTAGGTATATTATATTTAATAAAGTTTTTTTAAATGTAAAGGTTTATTTATATGTAAAGTTGAAATAAAGTGTAATCTCATTTTTTTTATAAAATTTGCTTTAAAAACTAGCCTCAGCTTAAATTCTCATACAATATAAGTAGAATATAATTTTTTTTTATTGAAAATACTAATAGTAGTTTAAAATATTGACTAGAAAATAATTAAATTAACAAGTTTTTTTTAACTTCTTATCAAATACATGATTTTTAATTATTTCGTTTGTCTTTGGAACCAAATCTCTGTGTATATTTAACAGAGCTAACCCATTTAGCCGAGATTCAGTACTTCTTAAATATGTCTTCAACCTTCTCAAGTTGGAAAAAGTCCTTTCATTCGTACATGTTGTAATAGGCAAACATGCAAGAATATAAAACAACTTCGAAATATTAGGAAATTGAGCCAAGGTTTCTTTACACCGATTGAGCGCATCAATAGCATGCTCAGGTAAAATAGCTAAACGTATAAATATTTATACCACAATTCGAATTCACTGATTAAATTTATTTCAGTATCAATCTCATAGGAATAAAACTTTTCTAAATATTTAATTTTACCAATAGTGGCATTAGAAAATGAAGAAGGATCTTTGGGTAATAAAACTTGAAGATTGCTAAAGACTTGTTTTTTATCTAAAACCCGTACTTTTATTTGCTATAAAAAAGTATCTAAGAATGGGATGAAAATGGATATTTTAGAATATTCTTCAGTTGAGCCAATATTTATTTTCATCTCAAAAATGGCCTAGGTGCTAGACGAGGTTTAATTAGTATTATATCATAAAATTTAGCCTTTGATTCAACGTCATATTTATCTACATTCATTCTTATTGTATCTACCTGTTCATGTATATTTTCCGCCAAATCAATAACTTGAACCAAATCTAAATTTGGTTTTTGTAAATTTCTACAAAGTAGTGAGCTAAAAATAATTTATTGATGCAACTAGCAGCAATGATAAACTCTGATTGATCAATTGAATTCAATAATGATATCGCTGCTAACGACACATTACTTTTTTTCATGCTCAGCCTTATTTATAAATTATCGTTTGATTTCAATCTCTTTGACTAAATATTTTTACATTTTATTAATATTTTTGAATAATATGTTGGAAAATTAATATTCAAATATTTGTAAAATTTTGATTTGTGTGGGTAGGGGGGGGGTCTGGGGGGTGGGGGTAAAATTTTTATTAGCTTAAAATGATATTTATGAAAATAGTCAAATTTGCGATGGGGGGGGAATTTCCCCCTTTCCCCCCCATTGGTTACGCGCCTGTATCGACTTATTTATCTATAACGCAAATATATACTAATAATCGCTTTATTTATCTTTGACGCGCATCAATGATATACTCATATAAATTAAATTAGTATTAAAAATAGACTTTATCTCCTCACCAAACTCTCTACTAAATCAATACTCCTATGATAGTTTATATATTGATGGAAAGTATATTGCCATAATAATTCAATTATCATAAATTTAATTGTATCCTTAAACAAAATATAATTTGTTTAAAGTTAATATATTACATAACACATCATTGTATGAAACGCAAAAAGAATTGATTGGCTACTAACAAAATTTTAAATTTAACTTGTTCATTTTTAGTTTACTTTTCAATTATCTTTTTATTTTTACTTCTCAATTCTCGAATTGCCTGTCACATCTTGCCAAATCTTAGTATACTTGTCCGTTTTAATTAACTTGTAATGTCTCTTTACCAGTTTGATATCTATTTTTGCGGCGTGAAATTGGAATTTTTGTTAGAAATATCATTATTATAATGAATGGTAATATTCATAAAAATATATCATTTTAAAAGGTATATAAAGATATTGTTAATCCTAAAATGATATGGGTTGAAGATAGGCATTATAGAATATATGCAACAAAAAATAAAAATGATACTACTTACAAAGAACCTCTCGAAGAAGAGGACATAAAATGTGATGATCTTTTTTAATATTTTAATGTTATGTTGCTGGCTTTCAAATTAATTTTGACATTAAATTCTAACTTGAAAAATTTAAAATATGTTTGTAAACTATGATAGCTGCATATAAGAAATAAGTTTTGCAAATATAACATTTTCTTAAATATATATAAAAAGATCATCAAACAGAGATGGATAAAGATGTTTTTGATATCAATATAACCAAAAATGGTGACTTATTTGAAATGGATTTTCAAATACCTGATATATGCCTTGGGTAAAAAAATAATAAACATTTATTTGTATATAATTGTTTATTTTATACACTATAGATTTGTCATTGGTAAAAATGCCTCAAATTTAAAGCGTATTGAAAATCAAACACAGACTCAATTGTTGATTAATAAAGCAAAAATAAAAAAAAATCTAGTTGATAAAACCAAAACAAGTATAAATTACAAATAAAATATTGTTTTTGCTTTAATATAAAAATCATGAACTAATAAATATAAAATAATGCTTAATTTTTAAAGGTGATTCAGTAAATAATATGATTATAAAAAATCCCATCAATTAAATAACAAACTGGTACAAAAATTCTAAAAATATTTTTTTGACAAAAATATGAATTCTTGCTAATTAGAAGCTAATTTAAAAATATTAATTAAATCATGTTTACTAGAAGTTCACGCATGCCTAATTATTTATTCATGGTCCCCTGCTCAGATTACCAAAAAATATATGCCTTTCATGCTTAAAAATTTTTTAACCCCACTTGCAAAGGACAATATTATGATCAGAGACCTGCAGGCGAGTTCATATTTTAGTTTTCTTAAATATAACTATCCCCTCCAAAAAAAATAAATCGAAAACAAAATCATGTTTAAAATTTAATGATGATACCAAAAATGCTAACAAATATTTTATAATTAGAACTTAATAGAAATAAACTAAAGTTTAAAAATATACTAGTGTTTATTAGTAGCAATTTAAAAAAAAAATTGAAGGTGATTTTAAAAGGTAAAATTAAAAATACACATAAATCTCCTTTATGAAATATCCATAATTAGAAAGCAATAAATATTTTTTTTTATGGAATCATGTTTAACATCCCTCCCCTTTGGTGATTCATAAAATGCAAAAGTGAGTTAAAAAAAATAAATATATCAGATAATTTTTTTTATAAATACTTAGACTAGTGATCTGCATCGGGCCTAATTTTTCAAGCCTGGCCCAACCCAAAATTTTTTTAAAAAAGTTTTGCCGGCCCGAATCCAATTTATTTTTAAAAAAAATTTATTGGCCCGGCTTGAATTTATTTAAATATAGAAATTAATTTTTATAATTACTCAAAATAAAAGACATGTTATATGTCGTTTAATTTCAATAAATAAAATGAAATATTTTTATTTTACATAAAAAATTCAATATAAAATTGAGAAATTTAGATATATTTAAAAAAAATTCTAAGGTCAGACTCGACCCGGCCCGAATTTTTTTAAAAAATATTAGGCCCGAACCCGATCTCGGGCCGGGCCTAACTTTGCAGATCATCTCCACTAATTAAGAATAAAATTTTTTTAAAAAATAATGAAGTCTAGCACCTTTAAGGTGATTTAGAAAATACAATATTTAATTTAAATATAACAAAATTCATATTAATGAATAAATTATCACTCTATTTAAGTATTATAATTTTAGTGCAGAGCTAGAAATTTACTACGGGTATGGGATGTGGTTATTTTTTATATTTTAAAAAGATTTTTTTTTTGGAACGTTAAAAATTTATCAAAATTAATCATCATATAAAATTTATTCTACTAATCAATTATATTTGAAAATATGATAATTTCGAGAACGAATAATAAAATATTGGAAAAAACAAAATATTTTAAGAGCGAGCATAATACTTTTAGAAAATATTATGGCTATATAAACCGGTATGTAAATCACAATAAAATATAAAATAAAACATTTTATAATGAATTGAAGAGTTAATCAAAATATTCTTCATATTTTATATATAAATATTTAATCTTTGCGATTGCGCCAATTTTTTTTAAAAATAATTTGCTATATTGGAGATTAGATCTCAATGTATAATAAGTTAAGCTAGTCCATTCAATCGATTGTAAAATGTCGTATTTTGAGATAAGTTTTTATTCTCTATAATGAATAAAGGGTATTTTCATTTGTGCTTATACTAATTGGTTGGCATTGCCAAAATGTCACACTATTTCTTGGAGCATTTTCTACTAAAATTAATCTTTCATACCAAGATCAAAAGATCAAAGGTAGTTATGAGATATAGTGTCTGTAAATTGGATAGAGCCATTTGATGAATCGCGAATCGTTCATTAATTTGAGTCAAAGATATATCCAAAAGTGGAATAAAAATGGTTATTTTATAGTAATCCTCAATTGAGTGCATGTTAATATTAGCACGATTTGTTTGTCGGTTGAAGTCGAGGCTTGCGGATCTCAAAATCATATAATTTCACTTTAACCTTAACATTCACTTAAATCTCAATAAATTCTTGGTCAATATTATCTCTTAGCTTTCTACGTTGTAATATTATAATATTCGCGATTCTCATATCATTTATTAGAAAAAATATTACTAAAATTGTTGTGAAATAAATAATTTATTAATATTTCAATGAAAAAACAAATCGGTAGTCTTGTTAAATCTAATAATGTATCAACTTTAGAAGAAATATCTGTTTCAGGCCATTCTGATATTTCTCAAAGGGCACTCAAAATTGTTTCTTCTAAATCCAGAAAAGGCAATAACAGCTTGATGTCGAAGACTCCATCTTACCTGGCAGTTTCTTTCTTCCCGTAATACAAAAAGTCTCAGAAATAATTATATTCAGCAAATAATGTCCATTTCGATATCTGAACATTTCATATACTGGAATAATCATAATTATTAGTTGAGATAAATTAAATAGATTTTTTTTTTGGTTGATATAATTTTCTTATATATCCTTCAGTGTTTAAGGTTTAAAAAAAAACAATGTAAGAAAACTTTAAATTTTAAGTGAAATAAAATATTAATATACAGGAAATAAATTTTAACCTTTTGCTAAATATTTAGATTAGAATATTTAAAAATTTTTACTACGGGCCCCGCTGGCCACTCGTCTGTATACTACCAAAAAATATATAATGAAATAAAAACATATTTATCGATAAGAATTTTTTTTAAAACACTATTTTTTTTGGCTCCTAGTTTGATCGCGTTAGAAAGAAAAGATTCAAGTTTAGAAGAAGATATAATGGTATAAAACTGAAACGTTTAGATTGAAAAATTAATCGCTCAGAAAAACAGGGTTCTGGACCCGAATTTGGGTTCAGAAATTTAAAATTGTTTGGTTGGGCATTTTGACACTACAACAGAGACCGAATGGGCAACTCTTCGAACCCGGGGTAAGGACCCGGGGCGGGATCGGACCTCTTTTATAAATCGGTTTTCGATTAGGTTGCTGATGTCAAATAAAAAACCCTGTAGAAAAATATATGAAACTCAGTAAATCGTCTTCGCTTTTAAGAAAAAAATATCCGAGAAATTCAGTAAAAATTTCCGAGAGTTTCAGTTTTTATTCTGAGCGAATGATATAAGTCATTTTTTTAAAAAAATATATAAAATAGAGATTTAAAAATATTTTTTTCTTACCCTCCTCTATGTACTAGTTATCAAGGGCAAATTAGAAAAAAACTTGATTTTGGCGCGGAACATGATAGAACAGAGCATCCAGAAATACAGGAATATTTGTACGCCCACTCATTTCGTATCCTTGCCTTTAAATGTCCCATCCATTCAATCGAATTTCGAATTATTCAAACAGGAGATATTGGAAAAATATGCTAAGGTTTTTAAAAAAAATATATATAATCATTGACACTTTGGGTGAAACATAATTTTTACTCTAAATTAGATGATAGGACTGATAAGAATGAAGGGAAAGATTGGAATGACAAAGGGAGAGAGAAAGAAAGAAAAAAATGAAAGAAAAAAAAACGAAATGGGAATAGAGAACAAGTTTTTTAAAAAACATATATTAATTTTGCGAAACAGGACAAAGGCATCAACGAGCACCTATTTCAAGCACCACAAAAATTGCATTTAACTCTGGTCATGTTAAAATTATTGGATCAAGAAGAGGTTGACAAATGTGCCAAAGTTTTAAAAGATTGCTACGAGGATTGCTTAAAGTATTTATTCATTAATTTTGTTACTAAATTTTTTTTTTAAAAAAAATATAGGAAAATAATAAATGGGAAAGTTTTGCGGGTGAGGCTGAAGGGCATTGATTACATGAACGACGATCCATCGGATGTTCACGTTTTGTACGCGAAAGTTGACCCATTTTCCGATTTAGACAGGTTTAATTATAAAACTATTATATAGGGAGTCCTGAAAATATAAAATCCGGGCCGGGCGGTACCTCTGTAGGTCTCCGTGAAAAATGAATGTGGATGTTCATATTATTTATGGGCTTGTGTCGATCCGCAAATTTTTTTAACCTATCCCATCCGACATTATCCGATATTCGTATAAAACCGATCTGATGAATCGATCCGATATTTAGATTTCTTTTTATTTCTCACCCATCTTTGTAATATCATAGAAAAAAATCGATATAATTTTCTAGCTCAAAAAAGATAATAACTCTGTTAACAATTTTGCAAATTAAAAAAAAAGAAGACGCCTTTATTCGTTTTAAACGGCTCCGATTTCGGTCGATTTTTTAAAACCGCCCGGATGCCAGCGTTGCCCTTCCCGCCCTAGCCAAAATAATATTACGTAAACCCGAAGATTTTGCTCATAGATGCCAGCAAGGTTTGGGCCCTCTATTCAAACCAAAACTAGAGGCTCTGATATAATAATATTTTGGCTAAAAATCTTAATCTGGTCGTTTTCAAAAATCGGCCCGAAACCAGCCTTTTAACAACCCTACCTTGTTCCCAATTTTAGCTTTTAATGCCAACAATATTGGCGTCAAAGTCCTTCCTCAACGAAGTAATTTATTCAATGATCTACCCGATTAAGATTTTAGCCAAAATAATATTATGTAATCCTCAAATTTTGTCTAGTAGAAGCCCAAACCTTTCTTCCATCTAAGAGCAATTAATCATCAGGCTTACACAATATTATTTTGGTTATAATTTTAATCAAGCCGTTTTTAAAAATAGACTCATCGGGCTTTTTAACAACACCAGTGTCTACGCCCTAAATGAACGGGGAGGAGGTAGGAATAATCATTTTTTCTACAAATCCTTTTAGACAGGTTTTATTTTTGCAATTTAAAGAAATATTTCAACCTAACTAACTAACAGAGTGCAGTCGATAGCAGATATGATAGTAGACAGGTTGGTCAGGGAGTGCATCATCGAAAAACGCCTGGAGAACTTAAAGCTGCACGCTACCGTCATGATTTCTCAACACAAGGAAATTGACGCGTCAACGCGTAATTTTTTTAAAATTTAAAATTTAGGTTAATGGACGAGAAATGGGGGGGGAACAAAGCGGCGTAAATGTGGTTCATTATTTTTGAATGTCCGGTCTATTGTTCAGTCTGCGTCTTAGCTCATCTTAATTTTTTTATTTTATATTCAGAAAAATACCTAAAACATACCTTTTTTAAAAATATTTTTATAAATATAATAGTTATAAAGTGATTGATAAAAGTGCCAAATTAAGTAAGGTTATTATTTTTCTTAGTATTATAAAAAAATATGTAATTCAGACATCTAAAAAAAGAGAAAGGAAATTTTTTTTTTCTTCACAAATTTTTTTAATCTAACCTTATTTTAAATAATTTTTCAAAATAATTAAACCTGTTGTTGACTTTGACGGCATAAATTTATATATATTTTTCTCGTGGGAGATTTTTTTAACAAAAAGAAGTATTCTTGGCGCATCCCTTAAATTTTAATCTTTATATGGGAACATTTACTCAAATTTTTCTAAACATAGAAGAGATAACATACAACCTTTTATATTAAGAGCTAGACCTATTCAAACGTATTCGTAGTGTTGTTAATTGGTTGGTTGTGTAAACCCCAGACCCGGGGTTTGGGTCTAAAAATCGACCAAACCAAGCCAGCTCTGAGCACGAACCCCGAGTACGTCCAGACCCGGAGTTCGGGGAGTGCTCAGAGCAGCCCTGAGCACAAAATTGGGTGGTAAATTTTACGACCAAGCAAATTAACAACATTACGTATTCGACTCTTTTAAACGAATCGAATAATTTTACTATTCGTAATTATTTCCAATCAAATATGTAAACTAAATTCTAATTTTTTTAATTTACTTAATCAATTTGTTTAAAGGAATCGATTAACATAATGCATTATTCCTTTCCTATTCGTTTTTTGAATAGGCATAATAAGTAGTGTTGCTTTAACGGACCCCGATTTGAGTCTTTTTAAAAACGGCCCCAATAAGATTTTTACCCTAAATAATATTATGTGAGCCTGAAAAATTTTAATCTTAAATATCGGAATGGTTTGGAACTTCTAACAAAATCTCATCCCGAGGCTTGGAATATTATTTTGGCTGAAATCTTAAACTTACCGTTTCTAAAAAATTGCTATAAACCAACAATAAACGATAAGAAAAGCAAATACTTATACTCATGAAATATTATTTATTAATGATATTTGAATTTTATAGAAAATATGCCAGATGAAAGTCATACTCGTAATTTTAGATCTAATAAGCCACCTCCTAGAGAATCATTCGATGCTAGAAATATCCTAAAAGTATATTCTAATTTTTGTTTACACTGAAGGCACCGGTTCAGATCTTTGGCAGAGACAACGATTCCTCCGACTTGAATGCGGAGTGTCAAGCGGTTCGAACCGGTTCGGTGCTGACCTTTTCACTTAAACGCAAATCTTATTTATTATATATTTAAATTTTGAAATAATGATTATTTTTTTTAAAAAAGAGTGTATAATAATGATATAAGTTATTATAATTTTTAATACAGTAAACCAGTTGTGTTATATACTGAAGATTTTTTTTAGAACTTTCTTATTTATTTCTTTGCCTAGGATCTCGCTCAATACGATTTCGGGGAAACGGAAATTCCATGTCTACATTTATCTAAACGTTTCGCTGTGGATAAAGACGGATATTATCTTCCTGCTCTAGTCCTCGATTTGGAATAACTTCATTTTTTTTATATTTAAATCTTAAATTACAATGCCCATATTTTTAAAACTATTATATATATTTTTTTAAAAAAGTCTATGTATATTTAGTATATTAAACTCTTAACAAAAATAAAATAACAGATTTTATAAAAAATGATTAATTCAATTTAATTAAACTAAAATATGGAATATGAAAAGTTCAATATATATAAATATATATATATATATATTAAATGGCTACGGAGACGGAATGAGCATTAAAACCTCTTGGGAATAATGAAATATGTCTATAGTATTGTCTATGACAGTTTGAGTAGAGTTTTATTAATTTTGTTTGATTTTTCTAATGGGCGTTAGGTTTGTCTAGACACTATGTTGTGAATAAATTCGTATTTAAAAAGTTTTTTTTCTTCTTAGTTTCACTTATGCCCAACATAAGTTGAGCCAAATTAATAACATTATAGGAAATATTATTCCATAAACAACAGATGTGATTTCATAATTTTTAAGAAAAAATCGGTTAATGGTAGACGTAATATTGGACCAAATTTCGATGAATATTTTCGTAATAATTTTTTAGGACTTAAAAATAAAAAATCTATCATATCAAAAATTTCTAACCTCTTATTTATGACTAGATGCATGTAAAAAAAATATTTTAAAATCAGCTGATATGATATTTAAGAGACCATTTCTTTATACTAAAGACCTGCACAATTTGCCCGGCCCGGATTTAAAAAAATTTCGGCCTGGCCCGGATTTCATATTTTCAGGCTCGACCTGGATTTTTTTATAGATAATAATGGCGATTTAACGGTTTTAAAATATTCGACCCGGCCTAGGTATTTATCGGATATTTTTTTTAAAAAAAATTTTAAGCCTCGCCCAACACGGGTATTTAAAGAATTTTTTTTAGGCCCGACTCGGGTTTGATTTTTAGGCCCGCCCCGTATAGGTTCGGCCCCTGTTCCCGGATTCACTAAATAAATGATGAGAGGGGAGGATGAATTGATATGATTTTGTTTTTAAATAAGAATATGTTTATAATTATAAATTAAATTTCTATTTACATATTTTATTCTAGTAAATAAAACAGTTAAGTATTTATAATTCAATTTATCTTTATAAAATCTAAATATTTTATTAAAAATTTTATTATAGATGGCGCTAGTTAATATAATAATTTAATATGATTTAATTTAAGATATTATCGGCAATTATTTAAAAAACATAAAGGATTTCATAAATAATGATATAAATTGCAGATATTAAATAAAAAAAATATAGATATATTGAAATCTATCTGATTTATTAAACAAAAATATTTGTAAGACACTATATTTATATATAATAATAATATTATATATATATCTGATGAAAATTAGCCTAAAAAATGATATTTATAAAATTGAAAAAATGTAATTAATTGAAAGTTGTAAAGAATACACAACAATATATTTTAATTTTTTTTTATTTTTATAATTCCTTTGGAATATCCTTATCTAAAAACTTCGTTAATATTTTCACAATATTGTAAAAAAGCTCCCCTTTATCGAATACATTTCATGAAATAAAGTAATTACATGTCACTTGCAATTGGCAGGTACAACAGTAAACACGTTTTTTTTATAATATACTATTTATTAATTTGTTTCTAATATATGCGATTATATAATTGTATAAAAATAAAAATTCCCTAGATTCTTCTTTTTTAATTTTGTGAACTAATTTCTTTTAAAAAAACTAAAGTTGCTAGGAGTAATATGTCCACTGGCAGAAGTTGCAATTGGCGAGAATATGAAATTACCGAGGCTTTTGTATTTGTTTATTATTTAGTCTTAACTAGAGTAAGCAGGTTGCTATTTAAATTGGTGGGGAAGGATGAGGCACATGTATAGTCCCAAATAAGGGATTTGACCATGATCCAGGGGAGGGTGTTCAGGGCATCTGTTGAAAGATTGCAAGGTTCTATAATAATAGGTATGCGAGCCTTTTTTAAAAGGAGGCTTAATAATTTATTTATCGAAAAGTATCGATGATTTCGACCTTGTTTTAGAATTTTAAAATTTATATCTATGCATCTTTTTACCATATGTTTATTATGATGTGCGCATGCGCAATAGAAGGTTAAAAATAGTGGAGCGAGAAAAAAGCTTTGGTCGCGGTAATAAAAGTTGAGTGCGATTTATGGTATTTTAAGACTCGGAAAATAAGAGAACCAAAAAGTTATATTTACAGAGAAAAACAAGTTAAAATATTGTCACGCTAACACGAGTTAACGGATCAAAAATCACATTTGGGAATTATGAAAAAATCTTTCAAGATTTTATTTGAAGGAGCATTTAAAACTCAGATTTATAAAAAGAAAATAGAGTTTCAAAAAAAATCTTCAAAAATTTTTGATTAAAAATCCTTGAAGAACAGAGTTTTTGAATCAAATTTTAGCTAACATGCCAAAGTCTTAATTTTAATGTATAAAATATCTTATCAAGATAAAATGGAAAAATTTTTGAAATTATTAACTTAAAATTTTCTTTGTTTCCGCCTTAGTTAGGCCTTCCTTAGTTTCACGCAAATGATGAAAAATACTTGTTGTTTAGTTTTTCTAAATTATTTTAATTATGGAGGCTCGAAAATTATGCAGGAGGTTGAACATGTCTACTTTATTTGTGTTTAATAACCAAATTTCATGATATAAAGTTATGAGATGAATACTAGATCCCGTATTTATTTTATGGCGCACACGTTTCATATCGGATATATTAGCGTAATGAGGCGAATACCCATTAATAAATGAATACTGTATATCTGCGCTGAGTGAGAGGCGTTGAATTGGCAGTGGTGTCAATAATGATATGCATGGAAGAAATTTAGAGTGATGTTTTCAATTTTAACTGGTAAAAATGTCTCTAGCATTGAAAGAGAAGTTTATGCTAGATATGATGATGTTACTATAGCGAGACATAGTTAATGAAGGTAGGCACTTTAGGCCAGAAAGAATAGATGATGAGAGATATCTCTGAAAGAGAGAAAAGCAATCAAATAACTGATAGAAAGGATTGGGATATAAGCGATAGCATATCGTGAGAAGAAGTTGGCTAGGTTTAGACAAGTTGAAGACAAAGGACGATTGTATGAATATATACCGTTGGCTGGAAATGTAAGGAACACAACTCAACCTAAGATAAGCCAATTGAAAGTGGTAGATTAGATGATGATGACATGAAAACGCTAGGGTTGAAAGAACGATGCCCAGGACCGCTAAAAATGGAGAAAAGAAATTAAGAGGTAAATTGACCTACTCTGATAAACCTGAACTAGTTCTCCCCTATTTTTTATCGAATACTATATATTATTATTAGAAGCTGAATTTATGAGTTAGCAAATAGAGATAGGTTTGATAATATCTAAGTTCATCATAATGAGTCAAACATAAACAAATCCATTTATCAACTGTTTATTAGCTTCTTCAATATTGTTCATATTAGACCAGGATTAATTTATATTAGATGTCTCTTCAGGTCCTTGTAAATAGAGTAGTATTTGGGAAAGCTGTCATAGGCCGCTAAAATTAGATTGTTTTAGGGGCCACAAAATTTTGGTTCTTCCTTATAACCTAAATCATATTTAAATATTAGCGCCCTTTTGTGGCTCTCACTTTCTAAAATGCGAAATTTGCTTGTCAATATGACAAAAGCGCGTATATACATAGTATAAGAACCTTAAAATCCTCCTAGGTTAATCATTTGAATTTCGCCCCGATGACTACAAATAAATACTTCAGAGAACACCCTCTCGAGTTATCGCCTGAAATTTTTAATGACGCAATCTGCGACTAAACCGTAACGAACCATTATAATTTTCTAAACAGTTAGAGGAAAATTTGAAAGGAGGAAGACGGCTAATAATTGTCTTTAAAATTATAGCAAATTTAGAACAAATTTATGCTATTATCCATATTTTATGTTAGCAAATTTAGAAATTCAAATTATATTGCCTTTAATTTTTTTTAAAAAAAAATAAATGTCGATTAAACCATAGGTCAATTTAATAAAAAGACAAAATGTATCGAAAAGTACTGATGTAAATTTTCTAAACCTAAAATGAACCAACTGTTTTGCAACTTTAAACTAATATCCGAAATGGAACGGAATGAACCGTTATACTAGACTGTTTGATACCTCGGTTTTATTGAAATTGAAGGGAGATAGGTCGTTATGAAGACTCTTATCGTCATTCGAATAAAATTTAAAAGGGAGTTTACATTCGGATAAACTTTTTGTTGTTGTTGATGCTAAGTTTGGTAGAACCAATGACATGTAATAATACCTAGACTGACGATATATTCATTTAAAATGTACATCAATGAAAACAGCTAGGGACTCCATTTTGATTACCCATATCAGTATTAAAAAATTTAAACGAGAGCCCAATTTATTCCTATGTCTGTTGCAAACTTTATTAAAGAATTACCTGATCATCGAGATAAAAAGGAACAATTTATCAATTTAATAGTAGTTTTTAACATGAGAATAATTACTATATGGGTTATCAGAGGGTCCAGCTGATTTGCATTCAACGACGGTTTCAAAAGCATTATTATGAATGCATCAGCAGTCTAGGTATTATTATATGTCATTGAGTAGAACTAGGAGGATACTGGTGGAGTGAATTAAATTTTTGAGAGGAGTAAGATCGTTATTGGTTCACGAGGAATGTAGAAATTCCTGCTTAAGCCCTACGAAATTAGTGAGGCATTTTAAAATCGATAATTTATTTTTTATGGTCGTTTATTATTTAAATGCTCAAATTATAAACGTTAGATTAATTTTTATTGTTTTTTTTTGCTAATCGACACGTTATTATAATTAGATCAGATTGGCTATCATCGTATAAAATAAAAAATTAAGTATTCAAAATGTAAAATCAAAAAAAAAACAACAACATTTAAAATAGAAATATAAAATAATATAATCAATAAACTGGACCATAAGAGAAAATTCATGATAAAAAGTTAATTTTTTTTTAAATAAAAAAAGAAGCTAGATAGATGATAATTGATTTATCCTCTTAAATTTCAGTTTATACTTATGGTGGGGGAATTTTATATGATCGATTAGCAATCAAACTTGTCAAAAAGTATACACTTACTCCTATTAATATAATAAATACTAATAAGGGGGTAATCATTTGTTAGAGCGATAGATCCTTGGTTAAGCACAAACTCGAAAATGACCAAATAAAGTCTTAGTGATAGGACTGGTGCAGCCATGCATAGATGCCATGGAAAAATCTTTTTCAACCAAAAATCGACCTTTAGTAAGAAAGGCATTTTTCAGACTCGACTCACCCCTAAAAAATTTTTTTCTACTAGTCGAACCCGAAAATCAATATATATATAAAAAAAAGTTTGCCATAAAGTTTGATTTTAAAGAAGTAAGTTTTAAAATAATTGAAACTGATTTTTTAAAAAAATATAAGTGAAAATAATGTATCAAACTATGAAATATTTTATTATACCGATTTTAGATCACAATAAAAATATTTTTAAACCTAATTTCGAAATAAAAATGAATTACTTAAGGTGGGGTTTGAATAAAGACCTCCAATCTAAATAAAATAAAACATTTTTTAAGCTTTTTTTCTAAATTGTCAACTTGCCAATCAAATCAGAATATATGCCTTCCCCTATGAGTCAGCAAGATTCTAAACTATGATATGCACCATTTCACGTGATCATTAAAAATTTATAATAAAATAATGATGATTTTTTTTGGAAAGAGATAAATAGACAATTTAACTTTTTAAATGACAAATACTATTAAAAGTGACATTTTTTTATTTTGTCTCAATTTCACCAACCACGCCACAATTTAAAAAAATACAAGAAATATAATAATTAAAATTGTCCTCTTTAAATTTAGGTTTTTTTTTATAAAATATGAAAAAATATTTTATATAGACTATTTTAATTTTAACACCTTCGAATTTTTTTAAAAATAATATAATATAATTAATTAATTACAAATGTTCCTTTGACATTATAAATCATCTTTATAATTACATATTTAAATTTTCTTGTGTTTTTTTATATTTTAATATTTAAAATCATGACTTTGAAATTATTTATCTTTTTTAATTATACAAATATCATTTTTTTTGATATCCTTATAGATTTTTTTAAAAATATAATATTAGTATACTTATACTTTACACAACAATGATACCGCTTGAAAAGAGGGCTTTACATTATAAAAAAAAAATGCCCTCAACTATAATTATTAGATTAAAATTTACAATATATGTATTACGTAAAAAAAAATTTGCGATATTTATATGACAATGACACAAATGAGACAATTTAATTGTAATGTAATATAATTATAGATACTTTTATTGTGTATTATAATATGAAAAATGTAATTAAGTTTCACATGCGTGATATAGACTTATTTTGTTTGTTTAATTTTTGCCATCTTGAAGAAGTTTTAATTTTTACACAATTTTGTCTAATTATCTTTCCACCAATATATATAATATAAATCGTAAAAACGACAAAAAAAAATTCAAATAATATTAACAGATGGAATAGGTAAAATAAAAACTGAAGGAAATATTTATAAAAAATATCCAATTAAATAATATTTTTTATTAACCCTATAATTGGGTTAATTTTTCTAGAGGTGATAATGCCCATTTATTTTAAAAAATATCGTCTGCGACTAAAATTTATAAAAAAATATATTATAATTATTCATATTATTTATCTATTGTCGTGGATTTTGATCTATATATACATATAAAACACAAAAAGTAACAAAATCATTTTTACAATCATATATAAAAAAAGTATTCATAATTTTATGTAAGTTTATATAAATAAAGATGAACATTTTAATTTATCCTTTTTTTCTCCTTATAAAATATGTATTATCATTTAATTTTATTTATTCAAATTATTAAATATGTTTATTTTTTCCCCCCTTCTTCCATATATAACTCATTTTTTTTTCAATAATTTATACAAATCACAACTTTTTTAATTTAAATAAATTATTTGAAAAGTTTTTGATTTATTTTTTAAAATAAAATAATTTATAAATTATATTATATTATAAACCCTAATTAGTTAGTACCTTTAAAATATTTTATTAAATATTTTCTTTCATTTCTAAATTTTGACTTTTGAGTAATATTTTCTGTAGGAGGGGGGGTTTTATTTTAATTTCCTCTGCCTTCATTAATTATAAATTTTTTTTTTTTTACATTTTCACATCAACAATTGAATTTCTTTTTTAAAAAAAACTTAAAAATAATTTTTTAAATATAATTATTTATTAGTTCTCCATTGTTTCAATAATTTTTTAAAAATTTTATAATAGGATACTTTTTTTTTTAAAAAAAAATATGAAATTAAAAAATATTTATTATGAAAGAAAATTAAAACGGAAATTCTAATTAGAAATTAAGAATTTATTCATTAAATCAACTATGCAGATAAAAATGGAATCGCTGAAAAATATTCCGCTCATATTCTTCCTTTATTATTTTTTGTGCGTTTATCATCTATCCTCTCAATCCGATGATTTTTACGATTCCGATGCCGCCATTGATTCTTTAAATGATGAAAAAGGTTCCGTTTTTTTATTAGAAAAATGTTAATTTTTAAAACCGACTAAAATAATGAAATTTTGTAACACTAACTTAAAGGGATCAGCTTGAATCGAAGAAGTCATTCAAATTTTTTCTAATAACAATTTTCCTGTCAGGTCTATACAGCTGGGCCTTAGGCCTCTACCCGCTGTGATGATATATATATTAAGTCATCATCTTAAATCTCAAAAATTGATAAGAATGAATGAAAAAAAAAATATCTATAAAATTTTTATTACTTAAGGTTTCGTGAAAATTATGACCCTTAGGGGCTGAATAATTAACTAAAAAATAATTATGGATTTATTTGACTAAAAAAAAATGTCAAAAATAAAAAAATAAGAATTTTTTGCTTTTAATTATTTATTCCTTGTAACGACCCAAATATTTTTATGTCTCCTAAAATTATTTATTCTTTTTTCTTCCGTAATCAAATATAAAACCGAGCTAAAGAAATATCTCAATTTTAAGAAATATAATTTAATAAATTCTTAATAATTTGAATTTCCCGCGATTATTTAAAATTTAAAAGATCGCCTTCTAGTTATGGGTTCAACAGAGCTATAAGCTACGTATTCCTCATTTCCATTTAGAACTGACTGAATATCAAAAAGATTTGGGGAGAATTTATATGAGGAGTCCTTTACAGATTTTGGGAAAGGCTCACGTATTTATATACGAACAGTCCGAAGGACTGTTTTTTTAAACGTTTATAGGCGGAGATAAAAATAGTTGGGGGGTAAAGATGAAGTCTATAAGAATCACACATATATTTAATCACTTTATGGGGCTGGGTAAGGTATGATTTTTTAGTATATTATGAATAAATTTCTACCATCTAGAACATAAATAATATATAAATTTTGTCCATCCCGTCTCATCTTCTCGTTTACATAATGTTAATCTTGATCCAATGAATTCCCAACTTATTTTTTTTTTATCACCGGAAAAGCCGAACCAAGCCTCATTTATCTTTTTCAAATTTAATTTTCAAATTTAAATCTTTTTTTTATTGTTGCGGTAGAACCAGATTATGCATTTTCCGGAAATCTCCATTAACTGTGCTTAATATAGTTTACAACATGCCATTTCTTTATTGCCTCGAATCTTGAAATACGTACAAGTATCGAATAAATCAGCAGCGGAAATAAAAAATATCTTTGAGTTCAAATAAAATTTGAGTATTTGACGGTCATTCCCTAATGGCATCAAGCATAATGAAATTGGGGTTATATTAGCCTGCGTTCACAGTTAGTGCGAACGCGGTGAAGTTTACTTGTGAAAAAGGAAAATAAATTTAAAAAACTAATATAAAATTATATAAGGAACATTTTGAATAACTTTTATGAATGGCTACAAATTTATTTCAATTATTAAGCGTTTTAATAATAGAAAATAATTTTTTCTTTGTTTATTCACAAAATAAAACTAGAATCTTATTTTTAGAAAAAGTCCTTAAGATGTTGTGAGAAATGTATTGCCCTGCAAAACTTTGAAAATATACATAATTAAAAGTTGACGAGAAAGAAAACGTTCCATCTTACCACCACCTTAATCTCTCGAAGTATTTGCTAACCCCCCCCCCCCTTAAAATATTTAAAATTGATTCACCCGTTAAAGAACTATTTTAAATTTAAAATATGACCACACGAAAACGCAAATGGAAGGTGGATATATAGACTCTGCATGAATGTGAAACCGGAGTTTGTAATCAGAATCCAAAACCCGTTGAACCCTGTTAAATATTAGAACCGGAATCAGGGGAACCTATCTAAAAAAAAATAATATTCGAAATTGGAACAAGTTAGAATTCTAAAATTCTTTAAGTTTTCTAAAACAGTTTAAGCGGAGTAAAAATACTTTATCAATGATCTCTTCTCTCTTTAAGTTATGTCCCAAAACCTTCAATTTTTTTTTGATATTATATTCGAAAAATTTCAAAAATTTATCGAAAAACATGAAATAATAGAAAAATAAGTGAAAATTTTAAACCACATCATCATTAGGTTTCCTTAAAGTTTTTTTTATTTTTTAAAACCTTTGAAAATGTTCGAAAACACACCATAGAGTTAAACCTTAGAAGAAGGAAAAGGAAAGTTATATAATAAAAATATAAAATTAAGAGGCATTATGCATTAATTTTTAATAATTATCCCAATGAATATTTTGTTAAAAATTTTTTTATAAAATGATATTTATCATCTTTGTAAGGAAGTCTTTGTAAGTTAAAGTATTAACCGAAGAAAAGCACTTTAACATATTATATTTTTTATTAATCAAAGTATTCTGCTAAAAAAAAACATGAATAATTGTATTTTCATGGTTGGGTAAATTGAAAGCAGATCCGATAAATCATTTTTTTATCCAATAATATATAGGATATTTGAATACATACGCAGAATCAATTAACCTATTAATGGTTAACGGTGCACGGCTGATTTTTTTTTTAGAATATCATATTAAGGCATTAATCAATATATTTTGGAAAAATATAGCATTTTTATCCACCAGAAGGATCTTGACCATTAATGGGTTAAGCTGTACTACTAATAAGACTTAATTGCCGGGTTTCGCCATTGTGTATCATATAAAATAAATTCATATTATTAACACACATTTTGGCGTCTATTAAAAATCTTTGACGTCACCGGGGGGGGGGGGCAAAATAGGATTTAAATCGCTTAAAATTTGATTTGTTGACTAGTCCTTTTTCTTTTTTTTAAAAAAAATTTCTATTAAATGGTAATTAATATTTCTGAGCAATTATTTACCCGTACACATTCTGGTTATGTGCGCGCTAGAAGCAATACTCAGTTTCTAAATTAACCCTCATACTGATTGGATGAATCAGGAATCGCTGGCTTAATTATTATTTACAAATAAAAAAAAATGAAATAAATCTTAGGAGGTCATTAAAATAACTGATTTTAGTATTTGAGCCATGCAAATTCAAAAAAAAATAAATTTCTCGAGAAGATCCCGATCCGATCTTTTAAAGTCCGAACCCGGGGTTAGACCTATTTTTAACGTTTTGATGATGAGCTATCTAGCCCGCCCTAAGCCTAACGACTGTCAAACCCCCTCCCATGATAACTTGAATGAGAAATTTATCAATTATAAAATGAATACAGACTATATATGTTAATTTGAGAGAGTGTATTCCCCCCCCCCTTCCCACCTCACCTAATTTACTTCTCTAAAATCTTAACTATCCTACTACATTCGTACACCCCCCCGAGTAAAAAAAAACAAATTTTTTTTTCTAAATCAAATTAATTTATAATTATATGGCATCATAAAATATAATTTTTCACGATTATAATTTTTAAAAAAAAATTCTCACCGCGTTGCACATGGTTATGGTATAATTGTTGTTGGCTATATATAATAAAAAAACGAGTGACAACATAAGATATAAATGTTATGGCCTAGGTAATTGTAAGTAAGCTCACCTTTATACCAAATATAAATTTAATTTGATTAAAATTCATAAAGTGTTTTTTTATAGCTTATAAATTTTATGGGGCCAATTACGTGGTTTTTTTTCCCAATGTTTATTTATGTTTTTTTTGAAGGGCTTTTTAAAACTACAAAATAAAGTCAAAATTTCAGATTTTATTTTTAAGTATATTTGGAATTTTGGGTGATGCCACTATTTTTAATCATCTCTGAATCAAACCTAAAACAATTTATAAACAATTAAGACAATCCTAGTTTAATCCACCCCTACCTTAACTTGTCCAATTTGTTTAATTTGAGCTAGACATTCCGTCAATGCCGCTCAAATTTAGTCAGATTATTTGTATGAACCGTTAAGGTTTTCAGATGGTTGTAAAACCTCCTACCACATACAAAGGTTTTATTTAGCTGTAAAGGCAGAAGTTATAGCATGCTACCAATAGACGTATAAAATTAAAATTATTATAGGATTTTTTCCTTGTTTAAAAGATAGTTATATTTGTCGGTAAATAATTTTAAAAAAACCTTTGATTACTTTTTGTAATTTAAAATTCGTAAAAGCTATTTTTGGCTAGGTCCACAATTTTTAGTTTTAAAACTTTCATAAGTTTTAAAATTTGAATGAAATCGTGTATTAAATTTTTGAAATTTTTTAAAATTGTCTAGAATTATATTTTGGACACGTTTTTAATTTTTATTAGTGTTGTTAAACGCCTCGTTTTGAGCCGATTTTTAAAAACGGCTATCTCAGTTATTTATCCAGAAAAATATTATGCAAGCCTGAACATTTTGCTCATAGAAGGAGCAAATGTCTAGACATATAGTATCAAAATTTCGAGGCTTAGTTAATATTTTTCTGGCGAAAATATTGAGTTAGCCGTTTTAAAAATCGGCTCAAAACGAGCCGTTTAACAACATTAATTTTTATACAAAAAAGCTTCTTTCTCCTTTTTTTCGATAAAGTTTTAAAAAGTTTGCGAATCGAATTAATTATTTTTTTGTAAATATGATAATAAACTTTTAGGGTTGATTCCTAGTCATAGGCCTCTCCAAGATTTTGCTAACGAGGGGGGAGAACTACTAGGTAGATATTTCCTTATAAATTTTTATAGTGGATCATTAGGTCCACTTATTTTAGGCTCATGGCTAGTGTTGTTAAACGGCTCGTTTTGAGCCGATTTTTAAAAACGGCTAACTCACTATTTCATCCAGAATAATATAACTCAAGCCTGACGATTTTGTTTGTAGAAGGAACAAAGGTTTGGACATCTATCAGCAAAATCTCAAGGCTTAGGCTATATTTTTCAGGCCAAAATATTGAGTTAGCCGTTTTTAAAAATCGGCTCAAAATGAACCATTTAACAACCATGGCTATATTAGAATTTTATAAAAATATAAATGTGGTTTTTTCGCTTTTTTTTTTCATTATAAAAAATGCTTAAAAATTTTTTTTTTTGAATTATAGTACTTTATTTTTGAAATTTTTCTTTATTAAACTTTTACTAATTTGTCCTTCAAATTCTTCCTTAGAGTTGTGTACGTAGTGTTGTTAAGCGCGATTTGGGTCGATTTTTCAAAACGGCCCGATTAAGATTTTAGCTAAAATAATATTATGTAAGCATCGAGATTTGGCAAATAGATGTCCAAGCATTTCTGCCAGCTATAAGCAAAATCTTTAGGCTTACATTAATGATTTGCATCGGGCCTGATTTTTCGAGCCTGGCCTGGCCTGAAATTTTTTTTAAAAATTTTTGATGGCCCAACCCGAACCCATTTTAAAAAGTTTTGCCGACCCTGCCCGAATTTATTTAAATATAAAAAATTAATTTTTATATTTACTCAAAATAAAAGTCTAGATATAAAATCAAATATTTTTATTTTACTTTAAAAATTTCAACGTAAATTTAGAATTTAGATTTATAAAAAAAATTTTCTAAAGCTCAAAACGACCCGGCCTGAATTTTTTTTAAAAATAGGCCCGAACTCTATTTCTTTTTTAAAAAATAGGCCCGGCCCGAAGCCCGTTCGTGCAGGGTATCGGCCGAGCCTACTTTTGCAGATCTCTAGCTTACATAATCACGAATCGGGCTTTTTAAACACACTAGTTGTATGCATTTGTTTTTTTGGTGAGAGGAACTCGTTTTTTCTTTTCTTTCTTTTTTTCCAAATAAACAGCTGTCTGTTCTGAATGGAATGTCCAAATAAACAGCTGTCTGTTCTGAATAGCAAAATACCATCACATTATAATGGAAGTCTTGGGCTTTTCTATTAAAAGAAAGAAAAAGAAATGCAAATGACGACACACTAGGGACGCACCCTAAGAGTTTAATGTTTCAAAGTCTCGCTATAACCCCATTCAACAAGGGTGTGCTCACCTCCGCTATATAGATGTGTAACCGGTTTTGTAATAATACATTCATCTTAACAATTGGTCGTTATCTTTCGTCGATAAATAAAATTGTAATTGACATTCGAATATGTCATTTAAAATCAAATAAGGGAAAAGGAGGTACCTCGTGGATGGATAATTTTTTATATATTTTGAACAAATGATTTCTCAAAATCAATATTTATTCTGAGTCTTTTTTTTTTATTAAAAAAATAATAAAATAAAATAATTATGGGTTGCGATCATGTAATATAAATAAAAAGAGTAATAAAAAGTGGAACCTTCGACTATATATCTTGACCGCTTTCTTAACTCGATACATTTATTGCAACCGAACCCTCAAAAAAAAATCTGAATCAATATTAAAAAAATGGTTTTTATAAAATAAAATGTCTCACTAAATATATTGACCACCTTTTGACCATCTTTATTAAAAAGGTTCACCTTATTAATTATTTATAATAATAAATTGTGAGAGAAATGAGTGAGTATATAAAAGAAGTACATGCAAATAAAAAAAATAATATAACATAAATTTTTTTTTGATAAATTAGAAAATCAAAGGTAAACATTTTATAATTTTATTATTATTATTATTATTATATTGCTCAATGTCAATTGTCCCGGAGGCCCTTCATCTTCTTACACTCTTTGAAATGATAATTTCATAAATTAAAATATTTTGTACAAAAAAAAAATATTAAAGATTACTGGATGAGATAAATGAATAATTTATAATAATAAATTATTTTTAGAAGAAGGGTAAAAAACATCGGAACATAAAAGTACGGGGCAGGTATGCCCCATTTTTTAAATAACTTGCAAAAATCTAGGGGAGGAAAGGGACAGTCTGCTTCTGGAAAAAATAAAATAGGCGGACATTTTTTTATATGTAGCTAAATGCTAAGACTTATAATGAGTGTTTTTTACCATTGCATATATATTATAAGGCGCCATTTTATTTAATCTTTTTTTTTAACCTAAAGAAGCTGGTCTATTTCCGGTCGTCTTAAATTTAGCGAGTGGAGCTAAAATATGGACGAACGCTACCTGTGGCCAACACGAACCCGAGACGTATTGCAAATTGATGGAACATGTCGAGAAGAAACCATTTGATTGGATGTATTATATATTAACTTTTGTATTTTAATGTGTAATCATAGTCTTGTTAATGTGGAGGGAGTGAACGAGCATGCGCAACAATCTCAAATTAAATTTGAATGCGCCTAAATTATTTTCTATTTTTGAGCAATTCGTATTGGCTTGTTTACAACTAATTTGTCAAATTTTATGTCGGAAAAAAGAAAGAAAGTAGAAAGTAAGAAATAAATAAAGATAGTTAGAAAGAAGAAAGGAAAGAGGAAAATCTCAACTATTTAAAGAAATAGAAATAAAGGCCTGCTCTCTTTTTGAAATAGTTGTTTGTCTATTTGGCGTCGTGTCAAGTTATCATTCCAAGCTCCAACTGCGAATTTTTTTTTTCGTGAATAATTTTTATGTTCGATTTAGAAAATACTCAATTTAAATAAAATAAAATGAAATGAAAAGTTCCAACAAACAATGCGATATTTGCGACGGAAAAAGCGCCATCTTAAGTCAAAGGCATCCCATAGAATACGCCATTGATGGGACGCAAAGATGGTGGCAAAGTCCTTCTATAGCCAAAGGATACCAATATCAATTCGTGGATATTATCATTGATTTGAGACAGGTTTTTATATTTTAAATAAAAAACGGGTGCCATATTTTTTTTTGTCATTTTAAGTTAATCAAAGGAATTTCCTGTCTATCTATATTTTTTAAGTATTTAAAACTTAAATGAATGTTTTAAAATAGGTATAATGGATACACCAACTGTTTAAAAAAAAACTCATCCTTCCACCTTATGCGTCAATAATCATAAAAACCAGATTATTTTTAAAATTAGAATAAATTTCTTGAAATTTTTGGTTTCCCAGAAAAAGTTTCGAATACGAAAATATCAAAGTAACGGGAACTGAACATTTTTAATTTTGAACGGAAGGAGAATAGAATGCTCCTGTTCCCAGTCCCTATTACATATATTCGGTTACATCTATCCCATTTCTGTAGGTAATTTAATTTGAAATCCACGTTCGGTTAGCTTATTCGTTCAGAGACTCCGATATTGTACGAATATTTGTAATTGGATAGATTAAAATTTAGCCTTGCTTCCCATGGTTACAGACGCTAGTTTAATATTTAATTGGACTAAAACTCTTCAGATAAATAACTCTCTCTCGCTCTCGCTCTCCTTTTTCTGATTATTAATTAAATTGCTTTTTAAAATACATTATTATTTTTTTTGTTGTCATGTTTGGTTAAAAATTTCTTGCATATAATAAACTATATGAATATTATATAATTATATTTAATAAAGGTGTACCAAATATACTACTTGATAATTAAATCTGGACCATCGCCCAGGCCCGGAAATTGGATTTTGGAGAGGTCCATAGACGGCATAACATTCAAGCCTTGGCAATTCTTCGCCACTAACCCTTACGAATGTAACGAGTTGGCCAGGGAGTATTATTACGGTTATAAAAATGATTAATTAAATTATTTCACATTTTTTTTTGTGGTGGCCGAAATTTTATTTTATAAAATAGGACATAACCTAATTCTTACAATCCATTTTAAATAATATATCAATATCTTTTAAATATTAGGTTTGGTTTTTGATATTTAGTTTTTTTTAAAAAAGGTAACTATTTGAAATTCAAATTTTTTGTTATCTCGATTAATGTTAAAACGCAACCGTTATCGAAATAACAATTTGATAAACAGTGACCAAAATTAAATTTTTTTTCCTGCCATATATCATATCACGTAAACACCTATATAAAAAAACCCCGGTAGTATAAAAGTCATTTCTCAATTCTACAACTATAGTGACCGAGCTATAAAGGTTACTCGAAAATAACAATTTTATTTGTACCACATTATAAACCATATGTGGTAGGAAACATCTTCTTTCAAGTTTTAACATTAACCATATTTATTTTCCAACCTTCAGCAAATTTCAGCCGACTCCAAAACGGCTTAGCTCGAGTTTTTAGGTGAAAAAATAAAGCTAAACCTAGTTGAGCTTAGCCCTAAAAATAGTCTAAAACTAATTAGTTAAAAAACTAGGCCTCAGTTAAGGGTCAGCAGTTACTATAGCGTTATGCAATAAAATAATTATATAAAAAATAATTTTGATATATAAAATAAATAATAATTAAGGGTATGCATAATACTCTGCATAACGCTGACGGACGATCAGCCGATGCCTAATTTTTGACTAATTAGTTTTAGATTTTTCCGAAAGCCTGATTAGGTTTTCCCGATTTTTAGGCTACGCTTAAATTAGTTTCACCCGTAAGCGAAGTTTTTAACCAATCAAGCAACACTACCAAACACCTTTAAAATATTATAAAACGGTAGCTCTCCATATATATATTTGTTAAAAAATTCTCTGGATATGAATATAAAAAATACATAATTTTGTTTTTACTTTTTCTTTACCAAAATTATCTTTGTCCCCTTATCAGAGCTGCTTAGAATGTTTTTGATTAGCCATCCCCCCTCCCCCATCCCTCTTCTTCCTATGATAGAAGAAAAAATAGAAATCACATGTTAAATATCCGCGGATTCTGAATTTTTATTAAGTTAGGAACCAAATTCTAAAAAAACATAATTTTATAAAAAAAGTTTTTCTCCTGGTTTTTTGAGTCCTGCAAATCCGGACGCGAAGCTCGGTACTAACAATAGATAAAATAACTGAGAAAGCCTAGGTTAAGTCTAAAAATGTGGTGGGGGGGGTGTCATGGATCGAAAAATAAATTGGATTGTAGTGCTTTTTATCTAGTTTAGAGAAATTAATTTTGTTTTCAATAATAATTTTTATAAAAAATTTAAACAGACAATCCTCAAGGAATGAAAGATTTTTCCTTCGACTCAGGGGCAATATTGACCGGGACATTTTGGTTCGAAAAGGATGATCAAGTCATTTGCACCAAACAATTTAGCGAATTGTTACCTTTAGAAGATGGAGAGGTTTATATTCGATTTTATTAATTCATTTAAAATTTTTCTAAATTTAAATTTCCTCCTTTAAAAAGTGTTTTTCAAAAATAAGTTTTAAATTCTATTGAAACCTTATTTTTTTTAACTCCTAATTCGCACTGAGTAATTTTTCCAGAAAGATACTATATTTAATTATTTTAATTTTTTTTATAAAGTTATAAACTGAAATTAAATTAGTCAAAAATAAATCCAAATAAGATAAGGTGATTATTATCATTTCCTTGCAAATATAACTATGGTCATAACTTACTATATTTTTTTTTCCATTTCTTTTTTTTTAAAGAATTATAATTCAAAAATTGAATTTTAATTGGTATGTCAATAAATTTATGCTTGTCTTCTAAATGACAGTATATTGAAAATTGAAAAGAAATTTAGTATTTTTTTTGTGCAGAATTTTTGAATATAAAATATTGATCCGAATTGTGGGTAGAAGAGGAAGAAAAAAAAAGAAAATTGAGGTAAATATATCTTCTACGATTTTGTGTATAAAGGTACAAATTATACAAAATGAACGATTAAATTTTTACGTAGATTCACGTGTCTCTGATCAATGGACGACCCGGCATTAGCGGACCCTCTCAAACGTTGATAGTAATATAAATTATAATTTTAATAATTTGCAACTTTTAGTGTTAAGAAACGAACATTGCTGAGTTATTTAAACGATAAATAAATTATATTACAAGCCAGTTATTTTTTAGCACCCCCATCTTTCGGACGAAGGTTGAACCAGAATTTTATCAAGTTAATCAATTTCTTAACTCTTAAATCTTCGTTTTTTAAATTAAACATTCCTCTCCCCTTCTCGAACTTAGAAAAAAAGAAGCTTAATCGAAAAAAAATTGGGCCCATCATACCTTAAGAAAACAATATTATGCACGCAATTTTCCGAGTGATTTTGATGAATAATGTTTCTTTTGTAGCTCAATTTCTTCCCCCATCCCTTCTCTTCTAATTGTCACGCTTTTTCGATTAATACAGGAATTTACTTCGGCTCGATACATCCGACTAAGACTGACAAAAATAAGAACTCTAAGCGCTGACTTCATGACCATGGGAAACAGGATTCATAAAGACCTCACGCCGCTACGGCGTTACAACGAAAAAATAGGTAACGCTACTAAACGCTCCGCGGGAGAATTTCGGAAAAGGGGTGGAGAGAATTTTCGGCAAGAGGATTACGATAGCGAAAGCAGTAAGAAGGCCAGGGACGTGAAGGATCAAATATACAACCAAAACTACTATTCATCCTTTACGTTGGATCAGACTGTCAGTAGAAGGGTAAGTAAAACAAAAAATCTAAAATATTAATGGGCATCAGAGACCTGCAGAGGCACCATTTGCACGGTCTGGCCAGGCCCGGTTTTAAATTTTTTAGGCCCGGCCCGGATATTTTTTAAATAAATTTTTTACGGCCCGACCCGGCCCGGATTTATAGATTTAAGGCCCGGCCCCGATAAATTAAAAAAAAATTTTTTAAGGCCCGGCCCGGATTTAAAAATTTAAGGTCGGAATTTTTTAAAATTATTGTCGACCTGGTATATACAAAAATTCACCTATGAGGTATTTTACCAAATTTTTCAGCGAGTATTATCGCTTATTATTTAAAAAATACATGAAAAAAGCTAATATCTATTGAATTTATAAAAATTATAAAACTGTTATTTATAAAAATGGATATTTTGAGCATATACTATATTTTTTGCATTTATAAAAATAAAACTAATATTCATAAAAATGGTAATAAGAGCATATACTATATTTTATATTGCATTTAAAAAGAATAAAACTAATATTTAATTTATAAAAATGGAAAATATTTTGAGAATATAATATATTGTATTTAATTTACTATTTAATTTATAAAATAAAAATAAATCGCTATTTAAAAAAATGCATGTATAATAAATAGTATTTAGAAAATATAATCTAATTGCACAATATTAATATAATTTATTTTCTAATTTTTAAATATTTTATATTACATTTATAGGTTGGTTTTTCAGGTGTAAAAAAAAATTATTAATTTTCATGGATTTACCATCACATTTATGTCTTTTTAGATGTGATGTACCATGTTTATAATTATAAGATAATATACTTGAACAATTCTTATATTGTACGTAGCCAATGTTTTTTTTATTTTCATCTATGATGATGTTAAATTTAGCCCATATTTCAGATTTTAAATTATTATTTGTATTTCTAAAAGAATAAATATTATTTTTAATTTTATTAATTATATCATTAGTATTTTGTGCCATGATATTCCTTTATTTGATTGTTTTGGTAAATATTCTAAAAATTTAGATATGAATTATAAAAAATATATTATTAATACTTGAATATTGGGGCTTATTTAAGATATTCCTATTTGATTGTTTTGGTAAAATATGTTGTAAAAATTTAGATATGAATTATAAAAAAATATATTAATACTTTGAATAAATTTGCAGGAAATTAATAATTAGATCGATCTGTGGGTGTTAGGTGTGTTAACCATTACCCAATATTATATTAATCATAACTATAATATAATATAATCTTATAACCATTAACTCATAATGTTAAAATTTTTATAAAAATTATTAAGGCCCGGCCCGGCCCGGGTTTAACAATCTTAGGCCCGGCCCGGCCGGGATATATTAAAAAAAAAATTTTTTAGGCCCGGCCCGGCCCGGGTATATTTAAAAAATTTAAAATACGGCCCGGGCCGGGCCGGGCTTAGGGCCGGGCCTGCAGGTCTCTGATGGGCATTATACTATTCGATGACATATACTTGGCTAAACGGAATTCATACATTAAAAAGGCATTATGAGATATCGTTAATTACATATCAGCCAGTGCAACGCCATTTTGGTTTCCCTATTGAAACTCTGAATTTTTATAAAATAATATAAATTATTGAAATGGGAAATCAAAATGGTGTGTGAATGAACTGTCTTTATTTGAATTGATATTATTATAATTTTAATAACTCTTTTTTTTAAGATTATAATTTTCAAATTTAAAAAAAAATGGCAGCCTTTATTTAATCTTCTAAAGAAATTTTTTTTTTCGAATCTTCCCCGAGTAGACCACAATGGCCTAAAGAATATAAATATATTTAAAAATAAAAAAAAAATAGGATCCATCGTAGTTGAAAATATTATATAATCTAAATTTTCGATATACTTTAGTTATGTATCATCTTCAGCAAATTTTGTTTTTAAAAAGAAAAACCAGAAATATAAACGAGAGAGAATGATTGGAAAACTAATTCTATCACATATAATAAGAAATAATGACCACAGGATTTTTTCTTATATATTATTATAATTAGCTTCCATTGTGTCTTATTTATATTTATATATTTTTCTTTATAATTTTCCCGTTTTTCTTTATAATTTTCCCGAAAGATGAATTCTTATTTAAAAAAAAAAGTGTTTGTCCAAATTTAAAACATATTTTAATCAAATATGAGGCCAAGAAGTAAGAATTTTAATTTAAATGTCCAAATTGATCTAGTCCAAAAAAAAATCAACAAAACATTGAAAAAATTTAAGATTATTCATTTTTTTTATTCTTCTTTTTTTTTTATAAAATGGAACTCCAGTATTACTACTCTATACGGGATATTTCGATAGGAGGCCAATGCATCTGCCACGGTCACGCCGAATTATGTTTGTATGACTACGCGACAGAGGTAAGTTTATTACTAAAAAAACCCATTTGTTTATAAATTTTTGACAATATCAGGTAATCAGCTAAAGTCAAAAACCGGGCCTAAAACTGGATCAAAGATATCCAGACCGGACTTTAGACCTATTGCAAAATAGATAACATATTTAAAAACACAAAACTGAACCGTTGACTTCTGCTACATAAGGCGGAAACTAGGTTTCCTCTTTACAATCCTGATATCCAATCCAAGCGTCTCAAAAATTATCGAACCCTCCCCCCCCCCTCATCCTCTTCAAAAAATGAAGAGGCTAGTATATGGGCTAGCAAATGCTTTTCATGAAATACTTATTCACAATTTACAAACTAAAAGCACGATGGGTGGTAATGGATAACTATTGATAAAGAAAAGTCTTAAATAAATCAGTAGGACTTAATTTGGTTCAAATATATTTTTTGAACTGAAAAATAGGATGTTATAATTGCCCGGGGTAACGAGAATATTTTATGGGTGTGCAATATTGAATTTAGAAATTTTGATTCTCTCTAACTAAGCTGAAGGTTTCTTTAGGAGTTAGAATATCTATATTAGTTGTCGAGAATAAAATTGAGCCCCATCTGGGTTATAAACTGAAGAGGTAAGGATAGATGCAATTGTGTATATACAGAAAATATTAAATTAATAAATATTTATTTTCCCATAATTAAAAAAAAGATGTATTATATTCTATTTAAAAAAAAATATTAAGAAAAAGATATGCAAATGCAATCACAACACTTGCGGAGAGTCTTGCGAGGTTTGCTGTCCGGGCTTCTACCAAAAGCGATGGAGTCGCTCTACTTCTAAAACTAAATTTATTTGTCAAGGTTTAATAAGGGTGAAATAAATTATATAGGCCATATCTTTTACATATGGTTTTCCCCATCATAATCTAATTAAATTATATTGTGTGATTTTTAGATAGAAAGAAGGAAAGAAGGGAAAAAAGAAAGATTGATTTGATTTTTTTTTTCAAAAAATCGATATGTCGAAAGACACTTTCCAGACTAAAAGGTAAGTAATTTAAATAAATGATAATTTCCTATTTACACCACGAAAAGCTTGCAATTGTAATTCACATTCCACGGATTGCGTGTACGACGCCAACGTAGATAAATACAGTCAAAGCATGAATTCGATGGGTCTTTACGAAGGAGGTGGAGTGTGCGTACGTTGCCAGGTAAAAATAAATATGTAAAACAAAGGATCACGAGATTTTTGAACAAATAATGAGTAGATAGTAAATAATATATTTTAAAAAACCTCCGATAAACATGTGATTAGCATAACACAGCCGGTATAAACTGCGAAAGATGCCAAGACGGATATTTCAACCCTCAAAATGTACCCATGAATACGAGTGACGCTTGTAGACAATGTCAATGCCATGGGTCGGGGGTGGCTTCCGATATATGCCTCAAGGAAAAAAATTTGATGAACCAATTAGCCCACTTCACTGATATGGTAGTTAACCAAATAATATTTGTAATTTTTTAAGATTACATTTATACTTATTTAAGATGCCATAATAGGTATACTATATATTATACTTATATCAGAGACCTTACAGAGGTAACATTTTTCGGCCTGGACCAAATTTTATATTTTTAGAACCGGCCCTGGCCTGCCCGGGTATATTAAAATTAAAATAGACCTGGTCCCCCGTGTACTCAGGTCGGGCCAAGCTTATAGCAGGGCCTGTGGGTCTCGGATACCTCATTTGTTTGGCTTTAGCTTGATTAATATAACCTAACTTACTATATAAATGATTTTTTTAGCAACCGGGTGACTGTTTTTGTAAACCAAATTTCCGGGGACCAAAATGTGATAAATGCGCCAAGGGCTACAGGAATTTTCCCGAATGCACCCCCTGTCCGTGTAATATAGCCGGAATGAGCGATATCGATGATTGCGATGGTGATAATTGTAAATGCAAGGTTTGATTTTGTTTTCTTCACGGCATTCTTTTTGTCCCAAACATCATTCGTCACAAAAATCGTATTTTAACGTGGGACGGCATGATTCCTTTCTCGACACAAATCTATGAATTTTAAAAAGTATCTTTAGTAGAAATTTGCTAACCGGAATTTTATCTTAACCGATTTTCCGAGAGTTTATGAGAGGGATCCAAACCCACCCCTCGTCCATATTACCCGTGATTGGTTGTGCATAAATTTGTCCTGTCGAACCAACAATTTTTAAATTTCTAAACCCTAAATTAGGGTTAACAGCCTTGCTCCCCTTCTTTACACCGACAAAATGAAACATATAATTTTTTTGGGTGTTAAAATAAAAACAAAAATTAGAAAAATGTGAGGGGAGATTATTGTCAAATTTGTGCTGACGGATATTTCGGGCTCTCGGAGGCGAACGCTAAAGGTTGCGACAAATGTTTCTGCTTCGGCCTATCTAAACTTTGTGATAGTCAAGAATGGTTCATAAAAGAAGTTATAAATATTTTTAAATATGATTCATTAGTCGACGGGTATAAAAAGTGTTTGGTAGAAACTCCACGGAAAATATAGAAACCGGGTTGACTGTTATAAATAATCAAAAAATCTCTGGCGGGGAGAAAAATTGGGAATAAATAATAAACAAACCCCGAGCAATAAAATGTATTTTTTTTAAATAAAAATACCCAGTTAACAAAATTACTTATTATAAATAATAAAAAATATTTATGAATGGGTTAGTATATTAAAATATGTCCTTAACAGCATATCTTATCTAACGTTTCATTCGCAAAGGTGTCAGACAACGAATAAAGATTTGTAAAGAAAAAAAAACGTCTCACATATTTTCATTCAAAGTTGTTTTTTTTGAAAACATAACATAATTAAAATGGATAAGCAATTAAATTATTTATTAATTGTTAAAAAATGAAGTCATTTTAGAAATTTGCACAACTTAACTTTCACTTGTAACTATAACAATTAAATTGTCTCTATGGAAAAACACTTAAATTTGTTATTAATATTGTGTAAACAAATTTAAAATAATACAATATTTATAAATTTATGAATTATATATAAACACTAGGGTTTTAATAAGATTATTTTAAAAAAATCTAATTTATTATTATGAAATAACGCTAATTGGATAAATGAACGAAATAAAGAAAGAAAAATAATGAGAACATATTACATTGAAGGGAAAAAATATATAAAATATTATAACACAGGTGTCGCACATGAGAGGTTGGTCTATATCCGATATAGCAGGTAAGATTAACGTGCCTGTTCCGTCCCTCGAAAAATCTGCCGGCAGATCTAGTGTGCTAAGCTTAACGCGGGAGCAGTTAGAGACTCTTATGATGACTTATACCTCCTCCACGAGCAATTCGAATTCCATATCTAATGGTTTTTTTTAGAAATTATAATTAAATTCTTATATCTCAAATATTTTTAATATTTTATATAATTGTATAATCGCGCGTGTGTAAAATATTTATAGGCCTGCAATGGCGTAATAATGAACCTCCCAGACAAATCTTTTCCACCGACCACTAATAAAAAAATATATAGCTACTTTCGATCTTTGTTATTAACTTTCGAGCCACTCAAAATTTTGAGTGAAGTCCTCCTGCCGCTCAACTCTTGTTACCTTGTTTGTTACGACATTGTAGGACTAGGAGCCAATATTTAAAAAAAAAATCAAATATTGTTTATATTGATTTTAAAATATTATTGATTGCAAAAAAAACCAATAAATATTTGATTGTACAATAATCAAATAGTTCCGCTCCTAATGTACCGTACACTCTTGTAATTGTATTTAAAATGATAAATATCATTACTTTTTTTGTATTAAGTATTTATTCTAACAACTTAAAGAGTGTTATGTATTTTGTATTTGTATTAAATACTTAAACTGGTATAATAATTACGATTTGAAATAAGTTGCAAATTAATTTCAATTTTTTTTATTAAAATTGATTTTATGCATATTCAAGGGAGATCGGTGGCGAAAAATTTGTCCCTCCTTCCCCTTTAGAAAATTAATCAGTTTACATAAATATAACTATAAATTAATACCTACCCATCCCTTCCCGATGATATGATTGACCACTCGTCATACTTAATTGCGACTATTGAATATAAGCAAAATTTAAACAATTAAGATGTTATACATAAGAAATCCGCAAATTAATTTATTTCAAAAAATAATTATTTTGTGATGAGTTGGATAAAGAAAATAAAATGAGGATCTTATCTGTTTCACCCTATTTTATTAAAATAAACATCAATTTTAGTGTTGTTAAACGGCTCGTTTTGAACCAATTTTTAAGAACGGCTATCTCAATATTTTATACAGAAAAATATTACGCATGCCTGAAGATTTTGCTCATAGATGGTTTCAAAGGTATAGATATAAAATTATCGAAATCTCGAGCCTTAGGTAATATTTTTCTGCCTAAAAAATAGAGTTAGCCATTTAACAACACTACTAAATTTATATTATAAATAAGAATTTATCGGTATGTCCGGTATGCATTTACATGGGTTTTTTTTAAAATATAATTTGTTTTTTAATTTTTTATAACCCTTTTCTGCGGTAGTGCAAATATAAAACTACCTTTGGACTAGTGTTGTTAAAAAACCCGATTTGGGTCTATTTTAAAAAACGGCTCGATCGAGATAAATACCAAAATAACATTATTCCCCTAAAGATTTCTTTCATAGCTGGCAGAATTGCTTGAACATCTATTCGCCCAATCTCGATGCTTACCAAATGACATATATAATATCTAGACTGAGGATTCATTCATTAAAAGTGTACATTAATGCAAATCAGCTGGAGACGCCATCTTGGTTACACTAATCATTATTAAAATTTTAAACGAGCGCCTAATTTATTCCTATATCCGATGCAAACTTTATTAAAGAATTACCGGATCATCGAGATGAAAAGGAAGCAAGTTATCAATTTAATAGTAGTTTTTAACATGAGAATAATTACTATATATGTTACCAAAATGGCGGTCCAGCTGATTTGCTTTTAACTACGCTTAAAAATGCATTTTAATGAATGAATCGTCAGTCTATATATATGTCGATGCCTATATAATAATATTTTTAGCTAAAATCTTAATCGGGCCGTTTTGAAAATTCGACCCAAATCGGGCTTTTTAACAACGCTACTTTCGACCTTTATATCCACTAAAGGACATCATATAAAATGAAACCACCAGGAATATAAAAATGATTATTTATTATTATTTTTTTTATAAAAAAAGAAGATGGAGTAAGTTCGAATTTAGATATTTTCCGTTCCAACCAATTTTGGCATTATTACTGGTCCGCCCCACCCGATAAATACATAGACGATTACAAACTCTATTATTCGAGGGGCCTAAAAATTAGCTTCGATATAACTTACTACGCCGACGCGGAGAGTCCAGATTCGTACGCTAGCGGTAATGCGCTGAGACACCAAAAGTATAATTTCGAAAAAAAAATGAATAGGTTTTTGCATACATGGTAATATATGAAGTGACGATTAGAAAAAGAAGAAATCAAAGAGAGACCTGAAAAAAAGAAATTGTGAATTCTTACATTCACTATAATTTTGTTTTTTTTAGTTATTCTGAATACATTTTTTTTTGGATTCTATGGTGGTGTTACAAAGTAAAGATTTATTACAAACACAAAAGTTTTATTTATCCCATATTTAATAAACCAAAGACCCTATTTGTTAATAAAAAATAATGTTATATTTATAATAATTCTAACTTATAAAAATGAAAGAAATATGGCCAAATTTTTTAAAATAAGGAACTGTTATCCTCTTTTAATAATACCTACCTGTCCTCAGGACTTTTTATTGGTTTGGCAAGGACAAAATTGGGCCCTGTTCCAGGGAGACGTTTGACCTTCTTTAGAGAATATCTCAAAGTAGTTTGGGTTTTAAAAATTTAACGAACCATTTTCGTATTATATAATATATGTATATAAACGAAATCACATTTAACCTTTTCTAAGGTGACCTTCCTAGAACAAATATGATTTTAAGAAATGTAAAATGTTATTCGAATAAAAAAAATATTGTCATAAACAATAAGTTTCAAAAATACAATGATCAATTAATATCTAAGTGTTTGCTCTATAAGAAGACTGATAATTTTTGGAAAGAAGTGCTTTTAGTTATTCTATATTATGTGATATTAAGACACATTTAAATTTGTATTATTTTATGGATAACCAATTTGGTTCATCATCATTTTTATTCTAGGAAATGTTTTTTAAAAATGTTTTTTTTATAATATTCATATTCATATTTAAAATAAAAAATATTTTTTTTATAAAAGAAAGAAACAATCCATGAATAAAACTAGCCAAAATTTCAAAAAATCATTTGTAGACTGTCCTTTCAACGAATCGCCATTGCTAATAATCGAAAATCGAAACGGAAGAAAAATAGGATATTACGACAATGAATCAAAAGTTTAAAAAAAATTGAATTGTTACCATGTAAACATACCCCCCTTCCCGCCCCGCGCTTCGTTAGAATATAAAATTAATGTATATTTTTTTGCGTAAATTAATATAAAAAAGGTATAACAAATGTTAGATTAAATAGTCTCTAGTGTTTGTAACGGTCCGATCTCATTCGGCATGGTCCTTTTTTTCTAAAATGGGACTGGACTCATGAACCGTTAAGTTAGGTGAGACCAGACCGTGGGACCGTAGGTCGTTGTCTGGTTTCATCTAAAAAAATGTTTTTTTTGTTAAAATTTTTATTCTGCATTTGATTTATTAAAAATAAAATGTGCCTATAGGGATTTAAATTTACATTTCTAAAAATAAAAATATAATAGCTAATAAATTCAATCACACCTAAATTAAATTTTTTAATGAATTAACGAAACGTAAGAATATAAAAAGTAAACGATGAATGAGCTATTATAAAGTGTTACTAAATAATCATGTTTTACTTGTTCATGTACACTAAATAAAAAGCAATTCATAGTAAATTTTTATATTTTTAATCGATCTTCAGTTAGACCGGACCGGATTACCGGGCCGTGTTGTTGTACCGAACCGTTTAGTTGGACTTAATAGTCAGATGAGAGAGGACTGAACCGTAGGTCTGACCGGACCATTGCAAACACTAATGGGGTCCAGTGTCCTTTACAAATCATTAGCTCATAGTAAATATAAAGATTTTATGCAGAGAAATCTTTTTATAATATTTGCCATAAATTTAAGACATTTTCTCCAAAAGAAAGAAAGAAAGAAAGAAAGAAAGAAGGCAAAAAATAGTGGCCTTAAAAATTACTTAAGCTACCGATTATTTTAAAAATAGTCTATTTATTTTTTAAGAGAATTTTTTTTAATAAAGAAAATACCTAGTCCCGACAAAAATCCCCAAAATGGTGTCAGGCAAAAATACGTAATAGAAATGGATCATAAAAAAAATTGGTTTTTGCTGGCCCGGGATAAATTAGACCAAAGTTATCATATATTTATATCGTTTTTTTAAATATATTACAAGTATGATCTTTGTTTAAAAAGTTCAGGTATTTTTGTAAGAAAAAGAGAAAATTATTAAGTAACTTGACCTTGACCTAAATATCAAAAATATAATTAATTAAATTTAATAACTTTAACGGAAAAAGAGAAATAAGCTATTTTTAATGTTAAAATTAAATAGTGGCCTGTATCATTTTTTCCAATTTACGAAATTTTTATATTTAATAATTTTAGCTTAAAATTTATAGAGTTGTGAAATTTTTAAGAAAATTAGGTAATATAAATATATGTATATTTTTCAAATAAGAAATGGGCACCTATATTAATCATATTAGGAAGTATAAAAATAATTTGGTAAGAATTATAAATTCAAAATTTAAATAACTTTTAAAAAAGTTTCATGAAAGATTTTGGTCACGTTTCATAATTTATAAAATTACGAAAAATTATAAATTTTGAGATTTTTATATTTTTGGGTCACATTACATAAAATATTTTTTAGAGAAGAAAGTTTAAACTGAAAATCCGCCAAATTCACATGAAAGAAGCCATATATATTCACATGAAAGGCACCATATTTTAATTTAATAAGAATTTCCTTTTTAAATAGTTATTAATTAAAAATTGGGCAGAGTTCACAGATCTTCTTTTGTTGTTCGTTATTCTGAATAGAACATTCCATTCAAGAAAAAAAGATGAAAAAAAATAAAAATATGCTAACGTATTAAAGAAGAATACTTATTTTATCTCTTTTCTTAAAAGTCTAAAAATCACATTTGAGAAATTTAAATATAGTTATCAAAGACCTGCAGGCCCGGAACCCGGTCAGACACAACACGGGCCTAAAATGAATATGATTTTAATAAAATCTAGAAATATTTTTTTTTTCCAGTTAATACTGAAAAATTATTTAAAAGTTTAATTATTCATTTAATATTTTTTAAATTTCTCTTTGAAATAATTTTCAAAAATTCCGCTCCGAGCTAGGGTATGGGAAATCGATTTTTTTTAAAAAAAACTTTTTAGATAATTTCTGATATTTTAGCGCAAGTTACGCTTGTTAAGATAGGACTTTAGATAAATATAGCGTATGACGTAAAAATATTGCATTTAAAGTATTAATATATATATTTTACATAACCTTCCTAAAAAAATCAAAAAATAGTGCAAACTTTCAAAAAGCAACGTTTATCTCATAAAACATTCGCTACAATCTTAGCCGGAGCTAAGCGATTATTGATACGGAGTCAGTACTGCAATTCGCAATCGTTAGTGTATTTTAGGAACTTTTTGCTGACACATGCCTCGCCACATGATGGGATAGAAGCGACTGACCTAATAGGAATAATCAAGTCAGAAACTTTTATTTATTTGTCTTACGCGTGCTTATTTTCCAGCTTTTTGTTTTTTACCAGGAGCTTCAGGAAACCTATATTGGGAATTTTCCAATAGTTTGTTAGCCCTAATCATTATCAATAATTCTAAAAATATTTCTTAAATCATCTATTTATTTTTTTAAAAAAAGAAGGAATGATAGTGTAACCCCGTATCATATACCACCATCAAAAAGACATATAGTCGAAAGCTGCCATTGTCAGAGCCCGGGATCACAATCGCCAAGAAATGGATCATTAATTTCCAAGTATATTGATCTACTATTTTTATTTTCCTCGCGTATCAATTTTTTTCAGTTAGTATAAATTGGATGGAACTAATAAAAATTAAAATTAGTATTTCAATTTTGGTTTAAAACTAATAAAATAAAATAGATGGGAAGAAGACAAAGAAGATGATTATTATTTGGATTATCAATCAAACCAAGAACAATCTCCATCAAATGACGATTACAAAGCGAATAACGAAAATAATTATACCGGATTATCCTGCCAATCTTGTCGGAAAGGTTTTAGAAGAGTCTACGATATCACCTACAAAGGGTTGTGCAAACCCTGCAACTGTAACGGACATTCGGATAGCTGCGATAGTTTTACCGGGAAATGTTTGGTAATATTTTTTTAAAAAAATTATTATTATCAAACTTGTGATTCCGAGCCTAATCACCTCTCCTGCCAAAATCTTAAATGTATAGCCATAAGATAATCAAAACCATTTTATAATTTTTTTTAAAAAAATTGTAAAAATCTACAGTGAAATAAAAAACAATCGAAGGATCAATTCAAATTCTTTCTCCAACCCTCCCCCCCCCTTTCCTTTTATATTATCAGAAAAGTTTAAAGTGCATTATATATAAAAAATCGGTTCGGCCAGTAAAAAATTGGCACTAGTTGCTAAACCCGGCACGTTTAACAGGGATTTGAGTCGAGCAGGGTTTAAATGTATGTTTATAAAATATACTTTCTCAATTCTTTTATCATTACAAAGTGTAAATAATCTTAATTTTTTTCTCTTCCCAATACACAACAACGCATTTATATATAAAGTCATGCAAGCACAACACGCGCGGGTTTAACTGTGACTTTTGTGAAAACGGTTTTTACGAACTCGCTCATCATCTCCTATCCGCCCGACTTAACAAAGTTCACGATCATTCGTGCCTTCCTTGCAAATGCCCCTTCGCTGACAAGAAGCACCCGACTCAAGATGGGTTATGTACAGCAGCTGCGAATTCTCGTATAGACAAAAATGATGATTTCGTGTGTACCAGATGTCCCCCGGGCCATACTGGAACTAAGTGCGAAAGGTAAAAACAAATATAATCCCTAAAAGAATCAATTAACATTTTCTTTAATGTCTAGAAATTAAACAAATAATAAAATAATATTTTTTTCAAATTCAAAGACGAATTGTTTTTTTTTGGAATTCAAAAGTTGCTCATGTATTATTTGTTAAATATTTGATTGCCATTTTATTTTGAATCTCATAGGGAAGTAGGATTGTTAAGCATAATATGTATACTATATACTGGTTAATGGGTAAAATAAGACACGTGACCAAATATATTTTTATAGGTCATATGGTCTCATACTAGTCACGTAACCCTACTTACATATTTACCGGAAAAAAATAAAATAAAGGTGCATGCAGGGATGGTACGGTGACCCAATAAGAACGGGACAATTTTGTATCCCTTGTCAATGTAACGGGAACAATTTGGCTCACCCCGTATCTGTATCTACTCCCCATCGCGATAAAATGGCTTCTTCTTTGATAGCCGACAATAATTTAGAGCCAGTTAGTAAGATGGACGATTATAAACAAATATGCGAGGCGAAGACCGGAGTTTGTTTGAATTGCCATAAAAATACGATGGGGAAGCACTGCGAATTGTGCCGAGACGGGTTTTACGATGCTAGACCTTATATGGGATGCAAAGGTTTGTCAACCACCTGAAATAATATGTCTGAATGAGAGAGGGATAATGAATGAGTGCATGAATGAATTTATTGTTTCGATGTGAGTAAAAATAAATAATCAAATTTTGTATAAGATTACTTTAAATAAATTTTTTTTTGGTTAGTTTGCGATTGCTATGAACGTGGTTCAATCTCGGATAATTGCGATAAAATGACGGGGCAATGTATTTGCAAAGATAGATATGTAGGCAAACGATGTGACACCTGTCAAGTAATCGTATAATTAAAATTTTAAAAAATGTTTGCATATCTTCTAAGCTTTAACGTAACATGCAACATAAAGGCCAACCGATCAAGCTATCTAAGTTAATTTGTAGGGTTGAGGTTAATAATTAAAAATAAATGGAAGAATCTTCGCTAACAGAAATTTTCGAATTTTAGCCGGGTTTTGGTGATGTAACGTCCGGCTGCTTGCCGTGTAAATGTGACGAAATCGGTTCATTTTTCGGTTCCAATCTCGCGTCTCCGTGCAATCAGATGACCGGAAATTGCGTTTGCAAACTAGGAGTAAGTGGAGCGCATTGCGATAAATGCTTACCGGGCCATTACGGACTAAATCATAATGGATGCGATTGTAAGAATAAAAAAATATTTTCTGATAACTTTTTATCGAAGTTGAGTTTGAGGTGATAATTAAGCATAAATAATATAAAAAAATTATTTTTTTTTGGAAATAATTAAAAATTTACTTATTTATTTAAATATTTGTTATCATCTTGAAAGATTTTAATTTAAATTTCATAAGATTTATTTAAAATAGATTTTAACATTTTTAGGTAAAATTTGATCAAAAATATGTCTTCAAAAAAAAGAATATTCAAATTTTTTTGTATATAAAATCAAGTGGGCTTTACTATTGAACATTCGAGTAATAGCTAATATTACGTAATATTTTATAAAAATAAATAAATTTCACAAAATCGAACCCGCGAAATTTTAGTTTACTATTATCCAAAAAAAATTTCTCATTACCTTACTATAACAGATATTTCTATCTATATTATCTTTACTAACTTATAATATTTAATACATGATATATTGTATCATTATATCATTAACATAACAAATCTTTCCATAAGGATAGCTGACAAAATATATTAACATCTGATCACACATATTAGATATTCAACCATTACACTTACATACATATTTAATTTATTATCCTTTTAAAATAAAACATTTATTATTGCCCAAACGATTAAGTTTGTCGATGCAATCAGATGGGATCTAATGGCACTGATTGCGATTCTATCTCAGGTCAATGCAATTGTTTGCCTAACGTTGTGGGGAGAACCTGTGACACTTGCAAAGTTTATATAAAAAATATATATATAAGATCTAATGAGATCACTGTCCTGATGCAAATTGAGAAGAACTGTATGGGGAGATCCTTATTACAGTTATTATCCTCTACACGAAAGATCCTTATATTTTCATAACCCTACCCATCTATCATTATTTTTTGCCACTATTTGTTAAGATATTTAAATATTTTAAGTGTGATTCATTCTGTAAAATATACTACCATTTTAGTGCTGGCAAGATCTTATACATTCTTATTTTTTTTTACTTCGATGTTTTCGTCTCTTCTTTATTTCGACTCGATTATATCTTAATCTAACATCTGAAGGCTTAAATTTTTTTTTGAAATACAAGGTTTACAACGAATGGCGTCTCTTTATCTCTCTAGTTTCTAGGCCATTCTCTTTATATTTTTTGACTTAGATAGATTTGTTACCCGCCTAATTCATTTTGTGGATTTGGTGTCTAATTTGAGGCATTTCTAAAAAACAGCTTTCGTTGTTTCTTGATTGGCGGGAAAGCCGATTTTACGCCCACGCGATCAAATTATCATTACCAAAATCCCTACGGAATTTAAAGACTTTCTATTTGGTTATTTTAGGATACCTTATTTAATTTTAATATATTTTTATGCTTGTTTAACAATGTTTTATCATATTTTTTTTTTTCAAAACCTGTGTAAATAAATGATCATTCAACACAAATAGGATATCCATCTTTTCTTCTTCTTCCTGTTTCTCATTTTAGGTTATCCAACTCTTATAAACTTATAGCTTTGTCTTTCTAAACTTTTTTTTAAAATCATCGTTATTCAAAATATAGTCAGGGCATTGGGGCATTCATCTTTCATCCTCCTCTTTCCTCAAAACCACGATTGGCATTATTAATAAAGATAAAGAAACCAGAAATAGTACGATGGGTTGCACGCATTGCTTATGTAACCCGCTGGGATCGGAATCGCTTAGTTGCACGCAGGATACCGGAGAGTGCGCTTGCAAATATGCGGTAGAGGGGAAGTATTGCGATAAATGCTCCCGCGGTTTTTACGGAAACTTGATTGTCCCCTCCTCGCCGAATAATGGTTTTTTTAAAAAATAAATTATTTAATTATAAAATGGCGTTATTATGACGTTAAAAATTTTGCTAATTATTAAAGTTTTAGAAAAAATTTTAAATCTTTAAAAAAAGAAGGGAAAAAAAATGAATGAATAAATTATTGTTACGAAGTATAATAACCGATATTTTTTTTTAAAAAAAACTTTAGAATATGAAGGAACCGATTCTTCCATTGCTTGCCGACCCTGTCCAAAATGCCGAAGTAAATATCATATGTGTGACAGGCTGACGGGCGTTTGCAAGTGCCCTCCCAATACTATGGGAGAAAAATGTGACAAATGCTTACCTTACACCTGGAAATACGATTCCAAATATGGATGCAAAGTTTCTATTTATTGCATTTTATTATTTAAGAAGAAAAACTGCAAATCTTACTTTTTTATATAAAAAAAGAATTAGTTTTTATTATCCGAACCGATACCTTACTGGCAAATGGCAAATTATCTAAGTCTTCGCCCATCGGTCTGTTTTCTCTAATAAAGACAGTGATCCGGTGCGGGGATCTTAGGACCCGTCGTCAGGACGGCTTTTTGGCCTTTGCTAGTCGAAAGCCCTAAAAAATCAAAATTATTTGCACCCTAAAAATCCTTTCTTTTTTAAAAAAAAAAATATTTAAGGCTTGCGATTGCAATCCTATCGGGTCAAAATTTTTGAACTGTTCAACCGGCGAAGGAATCTGCACGTGTAGATCTGGATATTCGGGTAAGGACAAAATATACTACATTTTATTTTATTTATTCTTCACGAGAAGGGAAAATAAAAGAAGGAAAAAAAGAAACCAAAACACGTGTAAAATAACATCTGATTAACTAAATGACGAGGCTATCTACCCATTTGTGGTTATAAATAAGTTGTTTTAACTAGCATAGTATTTGCTTGGTTTTGATGAAGAATTTTTCCGGCATTTTTTTGGTTTTGCTTTGGCCACTTTTTACGAGCCTTCCTTATATAATCTATAATTGTTTTTTAAAATTTCAACTTTTATATTTCCATATACCAAGGGAGATATTGCGACACTTGCTTATTCGGTTATTTCGATTTTCCTAGATGCCGTAAATGTAGATGTAACGTCGTAGGTACAGAGCCCAACACCTGCGCAGAAGCAAATTTAGGTTAACCCATACATACATTAACTATTTTTTTTTATTTTAGTTCTTCGAACCCATTAGTGATCATCAAATCTCGGTCCGATTCAGTCAGATTTTTTAAAAAGAACTGTTTTTAGTAACGGGTTAAATTAGACCAGACTAAAAGGACCCCCAATTTTTTTTATAATGGCTGCTATTTTAATGAATTATAAATAATAATTTAAATATATAATAATGCAATAGGTGATGGACCACTATGTCAATGCGCAGATGATGGGCAATGCAATTGCAAAGTGAGTATTTATTTATTTATAACAAACAAAATGTACTCTTTTTTTCAGAATGAAATTGAAGGGGGGGGTCATATTTAATTATTTTTAATTTTATCACTTTATATTTATTACAAAATGTTCATTTCTCCTTACTTTTATTTTTATAAATATTAGATTATTAATTTAAATTTTTTATAGAAGGTAAAATTAACCATTAAAAAAAACTTCATGATATATTTGTATGTGATATTGATAGCAAAATTTGCTAGTTTTTATAAAAACCAGCATATATATTTTTTTTTATAGAAAAATAAGATATAGAAATAAATATCTTTTTATTTGTTAAAATTATAATAAATATTTGTTATAAAATGGTCATTTGAAATGCTATTCATTTTTTTAAAAAATTAAATTCACTATCAATTTAAATTGGAATAAGACAGGATGGTTAGAACCTCTACTACGATTTATCAACCATGAACAATGAATAACCCTGCATTCACAGCTTAACATATTTTATACTTTTTCAGGGTAATCCCTCATTCACAGTTCAAACTCGCGGCGGAGAAATACAGCGTATTTTGTATAATTCGCCCCGAATTTGCCACTTACTATGAATGAGGGGTAAGGAAAAAAAATCCTGAATTGTTTCCCGCCATTACTTATATCTAGATTTTTACTAATTTTCTTCAAAAATATAACAACTATTTTTATGTCTCGAAGAAAAATGCGAGGGGCAAAACGTGCAATCGTTGCCAACCCAATACGTTCGGTTTATCTCCATCGAAACCCGAAGGTTGTACCTCTTGCTTTTGTTTCGGCAGGAGCAACGACTGCGAGTTAGCACCGTACGATACGTCTCAGGTGACTCTCAACACTAACATGGAAGGCAATTATTTGCCCCCCGACAAGGAGGCGGCTGATGAGAAAATGGGCAAAATTTTTTCCTCCCACAGTAGACCCAAAAAATACGAGGAGTTTCTGACCAACAAAAATGACAAAGGTGTTAACGATTTGAGCCCTCTAAGAGTCACCGTTATATTTGACCAGAGCTCGGAAAAGGGATTAAATAAGAGTGGCGGTAATAGATTCGAAAACGACGATAACGACAACGGCCCGATAACGGGAAGCGGGGATAAGGACGCGTATGTTGGTCCGATTAACGTTTACGGGGAAGATGGAGAGTTTGACACTAAAGGAACTTATTACGGGGGGAGACGAAAGGGAGCCATCGATATTCGGGATTCTGATTTCGTTTATGCTAAAGAGAGTAGAGATTTAGGGTTAGAATATCTTCTTTTTTTTTAATAAAAAAGAATTATATAAAGTGTGCGCTGATTGTATAAAGGACATTATAGTAATTTGAAATTATATAGTTTTAAAAAATAATGTATTAGATTAGATGCCCATCTAAGATTTGGTCTGAAAAGTTAAGAAGCGAGTATTTACAAATTAAGGGAATATCTGTAAAATTTTTATATATAAAAAAAAGAAAATTCGCAAATATCCCCCCAAAAAACAATGGGAAGAACTAAACAAAATTTATATTATAAAAAAACAAGATATGACGCTGTTAGCAAGGATGACATAATAACGGACGACTTAAACAGGATTCTGAGAAAGAGGAGAAGTCCCTCCGATCAAAAATCTTCCGAGGACCAAGTTTTTACCGTAGATCTTCAACATTTATCTAGACCTAGTATGCTATAAAGATTTGTTTATTATTATTATTATATTCATCTCCCTTAACCATATTGATATTTATTTATACGTATAACTTTTTTTTAAATTTAAATTTAGATAATTTTTTCGGAGGATGAATAAGCATTTCTTTTTTAAAAAAACGTCCTCTAATCTTTAAATTCACAATCGGAAGTGACGAATAAATTTTCTTATTTCTTAAACATCGAAAAGAGTAAACTGAGTGATGACTTGTCTGTCAATCAGATATAATCTAATCACACATTCATATAATAAATTAATCAATAATGTGATAAATCTTTTTGAAACAGCTCTTTTAATTAGAATTGATAACAAAAAAAAATCTAAATTTTTATATCAGAGTTAAGCTAGGTTCTGGTTCCAATTTTAAATATTTTTTGAAAAAAAGAAACAAATATGTTTATGGACCCTAAAGATTTTATTCCAGTTCTTAGATTTTACGCGCTTAGAGTCCTGGCAGGTACTTATGGGCGCGGCGAGGTTTTTCTCCCCTCAAAAAAAATTAATGTGTTTAAGTTGACGTAAACCGAATATCAGACACATTATTGTAAAACTCTTTCTTCGTGATTCTATATAAGGAAAACCTTTTTTTTTGAAAAAATACAATGACAGATTTAGATCACGATCAGCAGGATTTAGCGATTCTGACACTAAAACCTCCCGTGCAAGGTCAAACTTTCTACTGGAATTTGCCCAAACAATTTTTGGGGGACAAAGTTCGTTTTTATATTTACTTTCAAAATATTAGGGATTTACTGAATAATGAAGTGTCGCCAAATCCGGAACGGGATTTTAAGGAGATCGATATCCGGTCAGTCAGTCTTGTGTAAAGGATCGGCTCTGTAACCGGTTCTTATATATTTAAAAAAATTAATAACATGATCTTAATCAATTTTCCCGCCAAAATTAATTCTTTGTGTTTTATTCGAAGAAGGTTAAAAAAAAATATATATAATATATTTAGAATAAATTTATTTTTAAATTTTCCTTTGGGTCAAATAAAAAAAATTATTTATTCATTTTTGTTCTAATTATTTGGGGAAAAACAGTTACATTTTTATGGGAAAGCGCTGATTGGTATATTAATATAGTTTTGTGTGGTAAAACGGTAAATGTCAGAAGTGCGTAAGGGAAAATCTATTTGGTTTAAATCATGATTTAAATCAGGTGATTTTTTTTAAAAAAAGACATTAATTTAAATCAAAATTTTTTTTTCTATTGCAATTACACGTGATAATTATCAAAATTCATAACTTACAAATCACTTGACATTAATATATAAACATATTTTAGCTATTTTAATAAGTGAAAATTATTTGGCGACCTTTCCTAAACTTCAATATTAATTTTTCCTTCGCCATTTTAGTTGATCTTATATTTGAGTGTATAACTTAGTATTCTATCTTAAAATGCAAATTTCAACAATTACAAATCAAATTAAATATATAAGATTTTAATCATTAAAATATTTTAAAATAAAATGAATTTTTCCAGATTTTATTTGTCCACAAAGCCCCATTAATCTTGTGTGTTTAAAATTATTTTCATACTAAATAAATAATATGAAAGTATTCCTCTTTAATATGTAGAATGTATAGGCATATTTAGAATTTCACTAAAACAGAATACGTAGAAAATATAGGCATATCAAGGATTTTACTAAAGAGAAGGGGCACTATTAGATGCCCCCCTCCCTTCCCTATAAACTATGTTAGATATAAAAATTATTTTGAGATTTCCCTTGTTTTTTTTTCTAAAAATTTGACTCGTAGTCGTTATTTTTTAACTCTTAAATTCTTGTTTATAATAATTTATTGTATACTTTAAAGGATGGGGTGTGCGGGAGACATTTTTTATTAACTTAAAATGATATTTAGTAGAACAGCCAAATTTCAGGAAGGGGGGGATTTCCCCTTGCCCCCCCCTTTGGCTACGCCTATGGTTAAAAGATATTACCAGGCGCGTAACCAATGGGGGGGAAGGGGAAATTCCCCCCCCATCGCAAATTTGACTATTTTCATAAATATCATTTTAAGCTAATAAAAATTTTACCCCCACCCCCCCCAGAACCCCCCCCCCCCCACCAATCAAAATTTTACAAATATTTGAATATCTATTTTCCAACATATTATTCAAAAATATTAATAAAATGGAAAAATATTTAGTCAAAGAGATTGAAATCAAACGATAATTTATAAATAAGGCTGAGCATGAAAAAAAGTAATGTGTCGTTAGCAGCGATATCATTATTGAATTCAATTGATCAATCAGAGTTTATCATTGCTGCTAGTTGCATCAATAAATTATTTTTAGCTCACTACTTTGTAGAAATTTACAAAAACCAAATTTAGATTTGGTTCAGGTTATTGATTTGGCGGAAAATATACATGAACAGGTAGATACAATAAGAATGAATGTAGATAAATATTTTCATAATATTTATCTAGACGTTGAATCGAAGGCTAAATTTTATGATATAATACTAATTAAACCTCGTCTAGCACCTAGGCCATTATTGAGATGAAGATAAATATTGGCTCAACTGAAGAATATTATAAAATATCCATTTTCATCCCATTCTTAGATACTTTTTTATCGCAAATAAAAGTACGGGTTTTAGATAAAAAACAAGTCTTTAGCAATCTTCAAGTTTTATTACCCAAAGATCCTTCTTCATTTTCGAATGCCACTATTGGTAAAATTAAATATTTAGAAAAATTTTATTCCTATGAGATTGATACTGAAATAAATTTAATCAGTGAATTCGAATTGTGGTACAAATATTTATACGTTTAGCTATTTTACCCGAGCATGCTATTGATGCGCTCAATCGGTGTAAAGAAACCTTGGCTCAATTTCCTAATATTTCGAAGTTGTTTTATATTCTTGCATGTTTGCCTATTACAACATATACGAATGAAAGGACTTTTTCTAACTTGAGAAGGTTGAAAACATATTTACGAAGTACTGAATCTCGGCTAAATGGGTTAGCTCTGTTAAATATACACAGAGATTTGGTTCCAACGACAAACGAAATAATTAAAAATCTTGTATTTGATAAGAAGTTAAAAAAACTTGTTAATTTAATTATTTTCTAGTCAATATTTTAAACTACTATTAGTATTTTCAATAAAAAAAGTATATTCTACTTATATTGTATGAGAATTTAAGCTGAGGCTAGTTTTTAAAGCAAATTTTATAAAAAAAATGACATTACACTTTATTTCAACTTTACATTTAAAAAAACCTTTACATTTAAAAAAACTTTATTAAATATAATATACCTAACTTGAAATAATAAAAAAGAGGCTTGTAATATCCTATCCATAAGCACGAATTAGTAAATAATAGTTAAAAATAGAAATATAATTATTATTAAATTATTCATAATTTAATAAAATAGCTAAATAAGACCCGGCCGAAGGCCGGGGAAAAGCTGGCCTTCGCCAGCTAAAAGGGGTTAGGGGGCGAAGCCCCCAAAAAATTATTTCCCCCCCTATAAGAAAATCCTGGATACGCCACTGGATATTACATAGAATAAGATGGTATAAAAATTTTATACGTAATTCTCCTTAACGCTTTTTTATATAAAATGCAACTTTTCTTTAAAAAAATCTGTACAAAAAAGTCCCACAATTTAAAAAAAAGTGTTTTTTTTAAAAATACTTTTATCAAAAAATCAATGATTTTAAATATACCTTTGATTTAAAATTTTGGGTCAAGCACTGGCCGAAATTGAAAATTCGGACTTAATCGGGTTTGGTTCGGAAAGAAATAATTTGCCGAACTTTATCATTTTACTATTTTTTTTTTCAATACCACTCATATTATGATGAAATTTAAACAAAAAAAATTTATTATTTCGAAGATACTTTCCTATGGTTCTAACTTGAGTTTTAAATTAAATACGTTCCCCATATTACCGGACCTCGATAACCCTACTTATTACAAAGAGCCTTTGGTGCAAGTCAGAGGCGGGAACGGGAAAATCACCCTCTTATATTTCCCGATACTACCCGTGCAACGAAATTCAGCTGATTTGGACATTGATTCGTCCGATAATTTAGTCGCAGAGCGAGAAGTAAATTTAATGTTACAAAATAACTCCTACATTTCATATTTGACATTTTTTAATGGATACAAGTAATTCATTTTGGAAGGATTTTACTTAGAGAAAGTTGATGGTCCTTCCACAATATTTTATTTTCAGATGAGGGGTGGGGGAGAGCGAGGATTCTAATGTATAGAGAAAAAAAAATCTTCTCAAAGAACGCCTAACCAGTGATAGGACTCATTCCAAGATATAGTAAATCGGCAACCTTTTTTTTCTAGACATGACCTTGATCCCTAATATCGTTAAAACATCATAACTTAAGGAAATAAACAGGATTCGCCATTTTGACCGACGGAAAACAAAATTCAAAAAATAAAAATTCATATTTTTTTTTCTTAGCGGGATCGAGAAAAACTCAAAGACGCCAACCTTATGAGGCTCGCCGACCTCATGCTGAGCACCGAAAACGATCCTATCTCGAACGTCAGAGACTTTAAAAACAGTCATTCCTACAACCGATACAATCGTCATAATTACAAGCGTAATCTGGTGAGAGAGGAGGAGCAGGATTACCTTTACAATTTCATTTTCAATACTCGAGATCCAAATAGGTTACTAACAAAGAATAAATATTACATTTATTACAAAAAAAAATACAAACACCACCATGGGAGATTTTGGTTCCATGTCAATTCAGCGAAGCATTTATCGCGAATCCACATTAACAAATACTATTCCGCGAAGACAATATCGCGATATTTTTTTATAGCGAAACCCTTATCGCGTCGCTGATCAAAAAGTTTTATAGCTAAGTCATTATCGCGAAACCCAAATTGGGAGGACAATATAACGAAAATATAATGAAGATATTTATGGCGAGGTCAATATCGCGATAATTGCTAATAGTTACTATTTCTTTAAAAAAAATAATTATTTTTATGATCATAATTAATTGAATAATATTTTTAAAAAAAAAAAAGTACAAGATTGATTCAATGAACATATATTATGTTTTCCCCCTTAAAATTTAACTTCTTAAAATAACTTTCACTTAATTCCCAAGTAAAAATTTTTGTTTTCTCACAGTTGAACTACTTAGAAAATATATAATGTATCGCTCAAAAAATTTTTGAAGCAATGATTTTTTTAATTTTTAATCATTACTTCTATATTAGTGTTGTTAAAAAGTCCGATTTGGGTTGATTCGTCAAAACGGCTCGATTAATATTATGACCAAAATAACGTTATGCACGCCTAGAAATTTTGTTCATAGCTGGCAGAAATTCTTGGACATCCATTTGCCAAATCTCGATGCTTACATAATATAATTTTAGCTAAAATCTTTATCGGGCTATTTTAGCAACACTACTCTATATCTTCTGGTTTTAAGTCATGAAGGGATGGGAGGGGGGGGGGGGGTGGGATAATCATTTTTTTTTCAAATATAAATCTAGACAAGGGCATCAAATGGAATCCAATAAAATGATTTCCTATTAAAAGTATCACCCACTCATAGGCCCTCGTTTCAAGGTTTGAAGAGATTAATATTTCTTTTACAAGAGATATACGACAAGTACATCAAATGAAAGTGAATAAAAAATTTTTTTTTGATTGCTATTATCCCTCCTAGGTTCTTTGATCTAGCTCATTGATAGGGGATGGGGGGGGGCGATGTAGAAACCAACTTAAAAATAAAAATATAAGAGTATTGAATGAACGCTAATTTAAAAAAGATATTTAATTCATGTTAAGCCACTTAGTTTCAAGTCTGAGCCTAGTTGGAGGGACGGGAAGGGTAAGATATTTATAATATATATTTTTACATGTGTATCAAATGAAAGCTAATAAAGGATTTGTTTACATTGTTACTCATCTCTATGTTTTTGTGGATAAATCAGGGAGAGGTGGGAGGTGGTGTAAATTATAAAATAATATCTCTACAAGAATCTCACCACAAATCATGAGGAAAATCAAAACTTTTTAAGACATATATCTTAGCATGGAAGGGAGGGGGGAATATTACCATACGCGTTTATGATTTTAGGAACATTTGTGGGTAAATTAATATTGAATATGTTGTTTTCCTTTAAATAAATGCATTCACAATATATTTATTGTTTCGCGGGAATTCGTTGGCAATAATGACGCGCAAATACATTCGCGTAGAAAATTCGCTATAAATGTTTTGCTAAATGTATTAGCTCTATAGTATTCGCGGTTAAGGTTTCGCACAAATAAATTCGCGATATTGTCTTCGCTATAAATATTTCGGAGAAAAAATTTTGCGGAATTGGTTACGCGATAATACCTTCGCTAAAAATTTCCTTCATCAAAAAGTGTTTCGCGGTAAAGTGTCGCTGAATTGACCTGATACGGTAGATTTTACATACTTTTTTCTCTCAGACGGATGGCTAGAAATTTTCTTTGGGACGAAATTATCATTAAATTTTTATTCTTGATAAATTTTTTTAACAGAAAAAAACCATGCAATAATAGTTTTATTTTGAACAATGAAATGGTGTTTAGTGTTTGTCCATTTGATAGAATATCTAATTATCAATGGCATATTTAGTTTATATTTAAATATGGATGTGTTTTATTAAGATTTTCATATTTTTTTTCAAAATACTCATTTAGAAAAAAATAATTAAAATATGTTTGTAGGATTTAAAGTGGCGCATATTGATATTACTGTCGGTATTATAGTTACAAAAAAAATAATTAAAGAACCCCGAGGAAAATTTAAAAATATAAGATTTATTTTATTTCCCCACCCCAGATACAAAAGATCCACGTCGCCATCACCAGCCGCTATCAATCGAATACAGGTGAAAAATACTCGCCACCACTCACTGACGAATAAACGCCCCAGAATACAATACGATAGGGATATAGTAAGGAAAGATAAGGGGAGTCTGATTTTTAGAGTTCCATTGCTTCCGTCCAAACGTTGGAGATGGAGTCAGAATCCGAATCACGAGGTAACGAGAGAAATTCTGATGCTGTGCCTGCAATCGGTCAGTCAAATAGCCGTGAGAGCGAATTTCGAGAATTTAGAAGATGTGGATAACAATGATAAGAAGAAAAAATTTGTCGGATTAGAACTAGCTAGCATATCGCATCTGGCTTTGGGAATCGGAGTTTTGCCCGATAAAGATATCAGTATAAAATGAGATAAATTGGAATTTTTTTTTCTACTTTTCTTTTTCCTCGGGGGAACGAAAAAATGAAGTGGGGGCATGCTTGGTAAGGGGTAGGTTTGGGGTATAAGCAAAAATAATTTTGAAAAAAATCAGGTTTATAAAATAAGAAGAGGGTTCATAAATTATTTCTTTCGAATACCTCTTAGATATTCCAACAATTTTTACATTACCTTATCTTTTTTTCCAGAAATATTATTAAATATTTTATTAATCTGGAATAATAAATCGTTAACTATTAAAATTTAAAATACCAATACAAATGACTTCTTCTGTCTCCGTTAAATGGCAATTTCTAGGTTTACCCAGGGTTGGCCAGTTTTCCCTTTGATTTTTCCTTTCCATTTTTGACGGTCGAGCATCAGTATTTGTAAAATCCATCTTTCTCATATCCTCCGCTATCATTTTTATCCACGTCATCTTGGGCCTTCTTCATCAATTCAATGACCATCATAAATAAAATAATATACATATTATTTTATCCGTAAATAATTTATAAAATTTTTCTAATCATGAACTTTAATGAATGAAAAAAAAAATTATTATTATACCAAATGTTCTAAATTAATTGTAAAGTTTCAAAGGTTTCACCTATCCCGGTCGAAAGTGTCGAATTATGTCGGTGCAAAACTTCAGCCTATGCCGGAACGTCATGTCAAAATATTGGTTCGGGGTATTACAGGAGCTATCAACCTCGAATACAAGGCACCGAGCAGTTTAGCTCTATGGGTGCGAATAACGCTGATAAGGAACACGATTATGGTACTTTTTGTGAAATAGCTTTGTGGTCGTTATTTACATTTTTTTTTTTAAATATTATTTAGCTAAAGGAGGGAAAATAGTTTCTGAAACATGGATAAATAGCGTAATAGGTTCGGCGGAGATATGCGATTGCAACGGTTACGGAGGACGGAAGTATCAAGACGGACTCGAAATATGCGATAGCGAAACCGGAAATTGCTTGTCTTGTAACGGTAACACGGCGGGACCTAGATGCGGATCCTGCGCGTTGGGATACTATTATACTAAAGATATTTTTGAGAATGGTTTAATTAAATATATATATATTTTTTTTACATAAAAATGTAAGGAATAATTGGTGAAAAATATTTTTATTTGACGATTTTTTTTTGCTTTTAAAGAATCTTTAATCTATTATTTTTTTAAAAAACAAATATTGTAGAAAAATTAACATATTTTATTTTATCGTGAGTGGTGTTGTTAAACGGCTCGTGAATTCAATATTTATATCCAGAGAAATATTACGCGAGCCTGAAGATTTTGTTCATAGAAGGAGTCTAATCATATTATCCTCGGGGACCTAAGCAATATTTTTTTCTGGCTTAAAAATTGAGTTAACTCTTTTTAAAAAACGAGTCAAAACGGTATAACAACATTAATCGTGAGTTATGAGTAGAAAGAAGGTATTATCAAACGTTATGGGAGGTTTAATAATCAAAGCTAAGTCGTTTTTTTATTATAGTCTTAAAGTACTCGGCCATTTCTATGTTATAAAAGTTAGCTTGTTTAAGTTAAATTACTTATTATATACCTTTCCAAATACTCTATACCAATGTTAGACAACAGCGCACCTCGTCGACATACGTGCTTACCTTGCGCTTGCCCTCTGACCTTAGCGTCTAACAGTTTTTCTCCGACTTGCAGGCCTAAATTTATAAATCTCCCTGACCACCCTTTATCGCAAAATAGTTTGGAGACGGCAGAAAATTTGATTTGCGATGCCTGCGCTATCGGCTACGCTGGAGATAGATGTCAGTTCTGCGCTCCAGGGTAAATATATCATGACAAAATTAATAAAATACGTATAGTAATAATTTTGTTTCGGTAACAATCAGGGTTGGTGCAGGATTTAATCAAATTGATTTTAATCATGATTAAAATCAATTATTTTTTGAATAAAAATCGAGATTTAAATCAATTATTTTTTGAATAATAATCGCGATTTAAATTTTTTTATTTTTTTGAATAAAAATCGCGATTTAAATTAATTATTTATTTGAATAAAATACGCGATTTAAATCAGTTATATTTTTTTGCTTTGTAATCTATAATAATTAGTTGAATTTTTTCTTTGTAAATTAAAACATACTCTTATATCTTTTATATATTTTATATATAATTTGTAAAATTAATTTCCAAATTTTATTAAAAAAAATTATTTTATATACTGTAGATAATCTTAGAATAATTTTTTTTAAAAATTATAAATAGATTCCTATAAAAAGAAATCATTTAAATTATTATTGTTAATTTTAAGATACATTTCACTATAATTATTTTAATTTTCCCTTTTTTTTAAATTTTAATAATTCGTACAGATACAAAATATTAATAATATCAGTTACTTTAAATTCAAAATTTGTAACTTAGTATCATATCCTGATCTAATTAACTTTGAAAATGGAAACTGAGAAAGTTCAAATTGCCACTATGTGTATGAAAAAAAGAGACAATATATAACTAAAAGTAGCAGTTGTTAAAGGATCTAGATACAAATATCTAGATATAAAAATGTGGTATCTGTTTCTAGATAGATTTTTGTTTAAATAATCTGTATCTAGATATTATTTTAGACGTTGTATCTGTATCTAGATCCATTTAAAAAGTATCTTTTAACAACTCTGAAAAGTAGTGTTATCAAAACGGCTCGATTTTTTAAAAATTGGCACTCAAGTCTAGAAATTTTACTGATCGATGGCTGAAAGGTTTGGACAATATATTAGCCAAATCTCGAGTCTAACCTAATATTATTTTGACTAAAAATCTTAATTTGAAAATTCGCTAAAATTCGCAGGCTTTAATAAACACTTAAAAGAATTTTAAAAATTTTTCAACTAAATTAAAATAAACGCACATTATCCATAAAATATTTCTTCTTTAATCTATAATATATTAAAATTGAAATAAATTAGGTCGAATTTTAAAATATAATCAAAAATTGTATTTGATAATAGAGTATTTATTTTTGTTAATCCAATATAGCATGGATGTTTTAAATATAATAAAAAATGAAAGTGTGTTTAATTTAATTAATTTTTTTTTAAAAAAAGATCACGGTTCTATCTTTGGTCAGACCGGACAGCAGACCGAATCAGGGTCATTACAAAAAAGATCTATCCAGACCGCGGCCTTAATAAAAAGACCACTCCTGAACCCTTCTTTTTATTTTGTTATTATTTTAAAAATAAATATTTTTCGTCCTATTATTATTCTTGTTTATTAGGGACCATAAGTAAAAAACTTCTTTGAAAAACTGATGGTTCTCTATTAAAAAAAATTTAAAAATCAACTAAAAATTCGCAAAAAACTATCTAGAAAAATAAAACGAAATAAAAATATACCAAAAAAAAAATTATTTTAATTAAATAGTAAAGCAAACTTAAATGTTAATAAAAGACCGATCCGGAATGCCCTCAATATCTACAAACAAGTTTATATATTGTGTAGGTAGCGTAATACATTTGATTTTTTATATGTGTGGCATACTTGTTTTTTTATTGGAGGGGTACACCGAGTTGTCCAAAGACTTTTGATTGACGGCCCGGGGCGAAAATAAAATTCAAAGTCCCTTTAAAAAAACACGACGACTTGATTTACCCTAAACACCCCAAGGAAAACAAAATCAAAAATTAGTAAAAGAAGAAAAAAATCAAATCCAAACTCTCCCCCCTTCCCTGGTAACAAATTTTTAACCCATGATTTCTGAAGATGCTTCACCCTGCATTAACGTTTAAGATCAAATTCACAGCGAAGTATAGAAAATATGCCCTATTTTTTTTTGTATTCTCACCTTGTTGAATGACGTCATTGAAAAAAAAGGAAAAGAGAAATTGAATTGATTCGTAAATTCTTTTCTTTTTAAATCAGATATCACGGTTCGCCTACCATAATAGGAGGAAAATGTCAGCCATGCGAATGTTCGTTGCCAGGCTCGGCCGATAACATATGCCACAACCAAACTGGGGCGTGTAATTGCTTGCCCGGCATAATGGGTTACCATTGCGACTCTTGTTCCTTGCCCGGTCACGCTATAACCGATCACGGAGGAAAATGCATTTGTATGTATTATATTTATGAATCACCATCTATTTCTTACTGCAATACTTTTAAACCTTTTTACAGAAGGCAATATTACCTGTCCACATTATGATAAGCCCGAGAATTAACACTGAATTAATAGCGGTTGTAATGCATTATCTGGCAAAGTTTTTGATAAATTGTGCCGTTTGCTTTGGGTCTTGTAATATTATTTTTATCTATATTTGATTTAAGCATTAGGAAATTGTCATAGCATCCATCTATTGAGTAGAGCTTACCAATATTCGATATTCCAACAAAATAAAACATTTTTATTGGTTAAGCTTACGAGATTTTACGATTTTAGAGGAAAACATATTTATATATAGTGGCATAAACAGGATTTTTTGATTAGGAGTCCAATAATTAAAAAAAAATATATTTTCGTGGCTTTCGACTTTTTGATTTTTACTTTATACATTTGTTTTACGAACTTAAACGCATATTTATTCAATAAGGTGCAAACAAATTTCACAAGGATTAACCAAAAAATTAAAGTTTATTTAATATTTTATAATCGGGGTATTTATTTTTTTAAAAAATAAATAATAATATAACTGCTATTTCCTAAGTAGTAAAATTGCACATGGTGATTTTCAGTTATTAAAAATGATAAATTCAAGGGTAAATATGAATATACGGGAGTAAAAAATGATTTTTTAAAAAAAAATAGTTCTCTTCCCCTATTCTTCTAATATATTTTCATGGTTGGGAATGAGATCCCGTTGGTTTGCCCGTTACTTATTGATCGAGGAGAAGTTATCCATAAGTAACTTTTCATTCAAAAGAAAGGAAGATAGGCCTCTGGGATTTTAAGGGCAGCTGGAAAGGCGCAATATAGCTTAAATCATTGTACAAAAAAAATTGGTTATCTCTAGTATTGATATTTCATAATCAACTATTATATCGGAAGCATAAAACGGAGCTATATATTTATATTAATCATAATATCGGTTATGCTGTAAAGTAGTAATGTCGATGAAAGTAGCCTCGTTACTATTTTTTGAGGAAAAGGAACGCCATCGTTACCTATTTCGAAAGGGACCGATTAACGCTCTTTTTTGGAGTATCACGTTTCCCTTTTTCATAAGGTAACGTGTCATTAACCCGTTCCTTTTCCAAATGTAATGAGTAACGTTATCGATACTAGTTATAACTGATTTTTCGACCAGATGATAAGTTATACATTTTTTGGTAATTTTTACAAAAAAGAAATAATATTTAAAAGAGTAAAAAATATCCCTCTTAAGACCGTTTATCGTAAAACTTTGAAAAAGAAAGTCATATATATATTTACTTTTTCTTTATCCATATGAATCACTTTCACTTATATACCTAAATATTAAAAAAATAAATATATTTAGCCTGTTATGTGGGATGCAGTGCGGACTTAATGTATGATTTAGACATTTTAGAAGAGAATCTCAAATCCAAAAATTTGAGCCAAATATCCCCCATGCCTTGGGGCAGATTGAACATCATCTCCAACATCACCAAACATTACAAGGTATAAAATTAAAAATCACACATAGGGCTAACCCCTTTTTAATCTATAAATAAATTGAATAATCATTTATACGCCTAAATTAATATTTACAACCAGGATCGTGTGCTTAACCTGACCAAAAACGATATGGCGGTCACCCCGGGACTTAATAAAATAATAGCTGCCTTAAATAATCAAGAGAATTCGATGAATATCTTGCAAACTAAGGTATTATTAACAGACTTTTGAATCTATAAAATGAGCGGAAAGAGGAAAGAAAGAAAAAAATAAGGAATAAATGAATGAGGGAAGAAAGGAAGGAATGAAGAAAATAGATAAAGATAAGAAAATTTAAAAAAAGAAGAAAAGAATTGTCATTTTAAAAATAACAGGATCAAGGAATGAAAGACGCCTTGAACAAAACGATGCTCGAATACCAAAAATACATCAACGCTTCGAACGAATGCAACAACGAGATACGGCAGACCCATAACGATTTGATAAGTCTCTTGATTTTTTTTTGCTTTGATTTATTCAGTATTATACATATTTGTTTTTAATGAAAGAATATCGTCGCTAAAAGCCTTATAAAATTAAATCCACTATATATTTGTATTGAATCGCAATGACCAACTATAGGAAAAAAAGAAAAGAAAGAGTGAAAGAAACTATTTATGATTTTGACCTAAAATTTAAACAGAATCAGGGATTGAAATGGAATTTAATTACCTAATAATCATTTTCCTTTCCAATCTTCTCCGAAGAAACGAGAAAATAAATCTCATACTTTCCTAAATATACCATTCTATTTTTAATATTAAACCTTCATATCGCTTTTCAGCCTCTAAATCTTTTTTTTAAATGTTTGGCCAGACTCGGACCTCGGCAGAAATGTTATAATTATATTATTTTCAATAAATAAAAAATAAAAAGGTCACCAAGATATCTTTTTAATTCTAAAGGCTTATCGTGCTTTGATAAATCGTCGGCTTAGTATTATAGTGTTTCTAATATTAAACCTTCATATCGCTTTTCAGCCACTAAATCTTTTTTTTAATGTTTGGCCAGACTCGGACCTCGGCAGAAATGTTAAAATTATATTATTTTCAATAAATAAAAAAGAAAAAGGTCACCAAGATATCTTTTTAATTCTAAAGGCTTAATCGTGCTTTGGTAAATCGTCGGCTTAGTATTATAGTGTTCTATATCCAATTAAACATTGTTTCAAGAGAGAATTTTAAAAATAGGAGATTACTTTATTCTAACATTTTTATTGTGGATATATAAGAATATAATAGGCCGGTCCTCTCGATTTAATTTGGATACTTAATTGCTTCTTTTTTTTAGTGTAGTCTAAGAAGTTTTTTTTTGAACTAGGACACCCTATTTTTGGTTTGTTTTAAGTATTTGGTGATATGTTATTTTTCGTATTTTATTCTCGTTTTTTTTAAATGTTTTTTTCTTTTTAAAATGTTTTTGTTGTTTTTTGTAATAAATATTTTATTGTTTTGACCTAGGACACGACCATAGCACTGAAGAATTAATTTATTAAACTTTTTCTTAAAAATAAAAGTGGATATAGAACAATATAATACTCAACCGACGAATTATATTCTCTAGAAATATATCGCCTATCAGAAAAAGGTAGTTATATGTAGATTTTCAGGAGATATATATTTTTTTTTTAAAAAAAATCTCATAGATAAAATGAAAGCGAGATTAAAAAAAACTAAGAGTTAAAATGGCTACCAATTTTTTTTTTTAAAAACATGTTTTCAAAAATAAATTATTTTAAAATTTTAGATCTGATAAATTCCTTATCCATTTTCACTGGTCGGGTCAAAGGAAGGCTTCAAGACACTCCCTTCCATCCTACAATGACGCAATTCTTTTCATCTGATCTCGATTCGAATCGTTCCAGATACGATGAACTAGATGGTAAATTTTACCTTAAGTTTAAAGTCCGATATTTTACTATTCTTAAGTAATATCGCATTAAGTTACAAACAACTCTTTGGACAGTTGTATCTTAATGCGTTATTTGCTTTACAAAAGGCAAAATTACAGCTTATGGAATTTTTTTATTTAAAAAAAAAGAAATCCACCGCAGGGAGAACAGTACGTTGGCGGTTCAATCTCTCATGGAAACGGTGGAGGCGGAACTAGAGATAGAGAAGCACTTAGTGATAAGCGGTGAAGAGAATAATTTTGCCAAAGAATTTAGCCACGAAATTCGAATGTCCTTGTTCGATGGTGGCGAAGGAGGAATGGGCATGAACGCCAGTGCGAAATCTAGGGCTTTGCAAGCTCTGGTGGATGTCGAGGAAAAGATCGAGGAACTTTCCCGGGAATTTATAAAGAACCCTGAGGGATCGATTGATAAGGCTTTGCAGTATACCAAGTCCGGTCATGCCTCCGACGAGATAATCAATGGGTTGAAGGTTTTAACAAAAAAAAAAGACAATACTTTTTAACCTCTAAATTGGGAGGGGGTGGAGTGTGACTGGGAGTCGTGTGTTATCATTTTTTGAGCAAATTTTTATGGGAGTCCGAGCCCACTTTTGTGCCCCTCCATAGTGACGTCATTGATTTTAAGTATTTTAGTTTGGAAATTCTTTACCACCCCATCCTTGACTGGGGAAGTCTATTTAAATTATATTAAATATATTTGCTAAAAAGTTGGATATAATGGCTATCACAGAGATGACCAATGGTACACGGGATAACCTGCGAGGAGTAGCGAAGTACCTAAATTTGACGGATGAGACTCAAGATGAATATCTATCTTTGTTGAGGGTATATTACTATTTGCAAAAAAAACAAAAAGATGAGGGAAGTGGTTAATATTTTATAAGAATGGCGAGGGGTAGTTAAGAGTAAAACGGAAGGCGGACTCAGAGAGTTTAGAACATGGGTTAAGTTCGGCTTCTATATATTTTATCCAAAATGGCAGTTCTACTTCCGGTTTCTTAAAGTAGAAAGAGTTCTTGTCCTGGTTTTTAGATATAACCGGCTTTTTGTTCCGGTTTCAAACTCAACTTTTAATATATATACAAACAAAACACCCCCGATAATAGCTAATTTAATTTAATATTTTATATGTGTTATATTATTCGATTAATAAATCATTGAAGCGATTCAATATCTTGATGGATGAAAGTAGCTCAACGTTAGAAAATCTGGAAAACGATCCGTTAGCCGCTCCCATTGATAACATCGATATGGTTGTTAATTACGATTTTCTTGGGCCTAGTAAATCTCATTCGTTAGAACTGGAAGATAAAGCTCTTTTGTTGACTAAGTATATTATAACCACATAAAATATATTTAAAAAAACAGATAAAATTAAATACGAATCAAAAATATGTAAATATATGGGGAAGTTTTTATTTCTAATAAATTACGCCCATTATACCTTAGCCATACAAGCCAGCCCACGGAGATTTTTTTTTCGTCTCGTCAGGGTCTTTGTACATCTGTCAACGGATGTTCAATATAACAATGATATTAGTATTATTGTTTTTAAGATAACTACAGTTATAATGAGTTTAATTGCATTTTGATGATTTTATAAGTTTACGGACAGTAGTTAAAGGACTCGGTTTTTTTGATAGAGGTTCAGAGGGGACCGAATGTCCACTTGGCATAATACAGAGATACGGCGACGATTATTGTATCAGTCATTATTCGGTTTCGGCCTAAACTTTCGATTTTAACTATGAATGGCCCAATTTCTGAACCCAATAAGAAAAAAGGTATTTATTTCTAAACCAATAAAAAAGGAAAGTGGCAATTTTCAAACCAATAGAGCGTGCTGTTAATTTTTTTTACCACCTCCTCCTATTTCTATTTTACTTTTATAAATTAATTATATATTTTTTAAAAAAAATGATAAAATTGATAAATTCTATCTTGGCATCATAATTTATTGGTATCAGCGAAAAACAAGTGATGTGGGGGGGGGGGGGTGACTCCTTAGAAATTAAGTTAATAAAATTCTATCTCATGATTTTATCATTTTTTTTATCCTCTAAAAATTATACATTTTTCAACCGAAATTTTATTTTTATATCATTTTAATAAAAGTTTGCTCGGCGCGACAAAAATCGTGTATTCGAGACCCATGGACGCCTTAAACAAATTAAAATCTATTTACTTTGTTGTGCATAACAATTCGATAGGATCTTTCAACTCATCCAAACTTTTGGACACTGTTCTGGACCAAGTAAAAAAAATTTCCCCGAATAATTATTCGAGAGGGTGGTGGAGGTGGGGGTGGTGTTTTAAATCTCATTGATCCGGATATTTAGGAGTATACATAGTCGCCATTTTTGACCAAGGTCCAATTTACATTTTTCTAAAATTAAATATTTCGCAACCTACTAGGGCATAAAAATAAAAATTCCGGAGTCGAGTCGGGTTCAAAATAAAATTAAAATAGTGATAGATTTTTTAGCGACTTATTTTTAAAAGTGCGCAGGCGTTAAAGCATAATTTTGACTTAGAAGAACCCAAGAATATTTTGTGTACATTTATTTATTTTTTAAATCAAAAAAAAAAGGTGATGGGTTATCTAAACGACCATCTTAACGTTCCCAATGATATTTTTAAGAATGGACAAATTATTGAAACCAAGGCCAACGTATTTAATTCTCACACATTTACGGGTAATAAATATTTTCTATTATAAAGAGAAAGAAAGAAAGATAGATAGATAGATAGATAGATAGATAGATAGATAGATAGATAGATAGATAGATAGATAGATAGATAGATAGATAGATAGATAGATAGATAGATAGATAGATAGATAGATAGATAGATAGATAGATAGATTATTTTTCCGTTCCCAAATTTTATCACTTTAAAAATGTTGCAATATCATTTTTTTTAATAATTAGAATTTGAGAAAAAATATACTATAAAGAATGAATTATATTATTCGCTAAAATGTTATTTTGACAAATGGAAAAGGTATGAGACAAGATATAAATAATTTGCAAAGTAAGATGAACCTCAGCATGGAAGGCGTGAACGAAGCTTATCAACAACTCTTGCTTTTGGATCAAGATCATTTCATAATTCCCAGTAAAAAAAATATTTATAAAATGACATCTGTGTTGCAATTTTTTAAATTTCAGATGTAGGTGTACTATACGATAAGAGTTTCATTCACACATAGTAATTAGGGCTTAATAAATAATTTAAAGTTTAATTAAAAAATAGCAAGAAAGGGAAGATATTTTACTTATATAGGCTTGAAATGATACGTTAATCCATATAACAGTCAGCCATTACCACATAATCATATATATTATTAATTTTAAATGCGCAGATTCGAGCATCGCTATGTCTCAAGCGGTTGCCAGTTTGGAGCGGGCAGATGATTTAGCTTTGAAAGTCAATGAGATCAAACAAAAATTGAACGGGGAATTTAAGGATAATTTTTCGAAAATCGCTTCCTTGTCCAGCGCGAGGAGCGTTAAAATAATCAATGATCAAAGTTAATATATCAAAAAAAAATACATATAACATAAAAAATTTTAAACTTCACCAAATAATAGCGGCATATTTATTGCTCCCCCCCCCCGATGGTTATTTTTAATGTTTTAAAGTTAGGAAACATTTAAACTAGGCAGGTAACATTTCTTTTTAAAAAAAAAAATCTAGAACATTCATCAGATTTAAAAATCTATCCATTCCAATTCCAACGCCATAATTTCGTAAACAAATTCATCAACCCCATATATTCAAATAATAGAGATTTAGGGCTGCATCTAGTTTGTCTTTTCCCTTTTTTAGAATAAGAGTGTCCTAACTATTTTTCTTAATAAAATGAACACAAATTAATATATATAATTTTAAAAAAAACAAACCAAGTATTTCAAACTAGAAACAATGTTAGCTTGATACAAAGTAACGCGATGATATTGGAGGAAAAAATCAGGGGTTTGAACGATCAAAGAAAAGAGTTGGAGGTAGAATTGGAGTCCTTGAAGGATATCATACTCATGGCTAAATTGACCGCTTCCAACGTGAGGAAAAAATGATTTATTTATTTTTTAGTTAATTTTTATTTGTTACACGAGATAAGATGTGCACTTTAATATATGTGATTCTGTCATACTATATTTATTCATCGATAATGATTGATGATGTCGATATATGTTAGGTAGTTAAACTACACATTATTATATAAATCATAAATATATATATAAATTCATATCTAATTGACGAATATAACACATAAATATCCAAGTTGAAATATATTTTTTTAATTTCCTCGAGGAGAGGAAAATAATTTGAAAATTAAAATTAAACGAAGTATAACCTCTTTTTTTTACAAGTTAATTAGATGATTATTATATTTTTTTATATTTCACATATAAGATTCGAGTATCTATGCAATCAGCGACAGGAAATTGCCAGCGATCTTACGATGTCCATAATTTGCTGACACCCAGAACTATCAACGAGATAACGCTGGCTTTTAAGCCTTCTTCTTTCTCAAAAGATGCTCATCCGCTTGAGAATGGTAGCCATTCTGGCGATGATACGCGTATGGATAGAGAAAATGGATACAAGGTTTTTGGTTTCTGGCTTATTTTTTTAAACTTGTAAAATTTGAAAGAAAGATTAACATATTTCCAAAATTAATTGAGAAGTTTATCTTCTTATTATTTAAAAACTTTATTTTACATATATAAAAAAATACATACTTTGCCAAATTTTTAGTTTCCATAAATATTTTCTTTTAAATAAAAGATTCCGATAATTTCTTTAGTCAATTATGACCCCGAGACAAACGATATTGGCGATGCTAATCCACATCGCGAATTGAAGAATAAAGATCGACTGAGTCTCTTCCTGAAGGATAAAATATTGGTATTTGAGTGGAGCATAGGGAACAACTCTATGGGGACGATTTCCGACAATTCAGTAATTTTTGATGATAAAACTGTCGCCAAAGACGTATGGTATACCCTAAGGGCTAAAAGGTATTATCGATGTCTAAAATACATTTTTTAAAAAATAACTTATTTCCTAATAACTGATTTCAAAATTTATTTTTTGAAAATGATCAATTTTTTTGTTCCTTATTTTTTTCAATTTTTTGTTTTGTTTCCTAGCCTTATTTATATATATATATATATATAGAATTGGCAATAAAGGTGTACTAAGAGTCAGCGAAACATTATTGGATAGCATCGAAAATAATCTATTAGAAACACAGCACATCAACTCCGTCAACCAATCCAAGATCCAAAATACTAATCCCGTTAACGGGATTGACAATAGTCACAATTATCCTATCTTCAAAATCGATAAAAATACGGTCCTGCAACTCGGAAACTATGAAACCGAGGTTGGCTCGATAAATGAAATGAAAAGATAGAAAGAAAGAAAGAAAAATGGAAAAGGAAGCCCAAAAAAAAAGATTTCAAAAACGAATTAAAATATATTTTTTTTTATCAAATATTTTTTTTTGATTCAAAAGGTACTCAATGATAACGGAGAAAATGAAATTATTAGAAACAACGGTTTTCGCGGTTGCGTTAGTGATCTTACGATAGACGGCAATAGAATAGGGCTTTGGAGTTTTAACGAACAAAAGGGCGCTTGCGATGGTTGTTTGGAAAGGTTTTTTTTAAAAAATTTTTCTTTTTCTTATATTCGTTTATTTTATTTTTGTATTTTCTTTCCTATGTTCTAATTTATTTTATAAAAAACCTAAATTTGTTTTTTTTTAAATAGAAGAAGAGGGCCAATTATATATGGAAGTGAGCTTGAATTTTTATTTAGTTCTAAGAAAAAGATGTATGATTCGTTTCATTTATTTACCCTTTGTTGATCTCATTGCCAAGATCTCATATAATATGTAATTATTTTCTTTCGGTGCGTTTATTTATACGTTTTTTCAATCAATATAATCCCAATCGGAAATGTATTATTTTATCACGTGTTATAAATTTCTATTTTTTAATTTACAATTTGAAACCAATGTACATATATCACCGCTTCAGTGTTGAGGCCAATCTATCTAAACACCTTTCTTTTAAAGATGATAAAATCAAAATATTTTTTTTTTTAAAAAAAAAAAATTGTATATAATAAAAATCTATTTGAAACTAGACACAAATTTATTTATGTATTTCGTTCTTAATGTGTTTTATATATAGATAAAGATATAAGTATATTATATTCAAATCAGATTTCATTCATTTCTTCATCAAAAAATGCCAGATTGAACACTTAACTTATTAAATATCAGATCTCATTCATTACTTTATTAAAAATGCCAAATATTTTGCTTCAACACTTAAATATCTATCAGATCTCAATCATCTTCATCAAAAATGCCAGATATTTTGCTTAATACTTAAATATCTATCAGATCTCAATCATTTCTTCATCAAAAATGCCAGATATTTTGCTTCAACACTTAACTTATTAAATTTAAATTTAACGGTTTAGCATTTAATTTAAAAAAAACAACTTTTTTTCGCATCATCTCCCTCTGTGAAATTTGAAAAAAAATTAGTTCTTTTAAATCTTGCAGTGCTAACATATGATTTTGTATAGTGAAGCTTGGCCCATGATTGACCGTTAATATTACATTTTGATAAATGTGAAATGACCCCCGTTAATTGAAATAAAGAAGGTGTTGGGTTTTTTATAGACCTTATTTGTATTTCGTTTCGTTTTTCGCTACTATCTTAGAAAAATTATATTTAAAAAAAAAAAAAATTTTTCCTAATAAAAAGTCCTAAAGAAAGCCGTGAGGATTTGACTTATCAGTTTAACGGACGGACCAGTTATGCCAAGATTCCTCAGATATCTCGTTACAATTCTAAAAGGTATTCCTTGACTTTCCAGTTCAAGACTCACCTAGCTAATTCTTTGCTATTCTTCGCCCAAAATCGGGAACAGGTTTTTAAAAAAAAAGATTTTTCTGGGTTAGGTTAATTTACTATAAAAAAATTTTTTTATAAATTTATAAATGATGGGAATAGGTATATAGTAAATGGTCACGTGAGATTATTATATTTAATAAACGTGAGCATGCGCAGTATATATTTGTTTTTTAACTTCTAATAAAAGCATCCTTTTAATGAATACGCTTTTACGTTTATATAATTTCCTAGGGATTTATATTACTGGAGGAGTTATAAATTGAATTAGAAAAAGGGGAATGAGGGGTGAAAGATTATTTTTTATTCTATAAATGCTATAAGTTTACTCAAGAATAATATTATTTTTTTAAAGGAACAATACTTTAGCATAGAATTGAAAGGTGGCAAAGTTTTATTCAAATTCACTTTAGACGGGAAGAACGTAGCCAGTATGCAAACTGCTCAACTCTACAACACCGGAGAATGGATATACTTTTCGGCCGAAAGATTAAATTATAGAGGTTTGGCTTTCTTATTGTTTAAAATAAAACTAGTAAAATAAACATATCCTTCCCAGGCCAATAACGATAAAGCTTTCCTTTTGCCCATGATATAATTAAATTATTCATCACTCTTCTAAAAAAATGATTGGTATTTGTTAAATTTTATATAACCGAACCTTTAAGCGTGGGGATTTATGAATAAAATTTTTGTACCATCTTATTTACATGATATTTTTTTATTCAAATTAACTGGAAATACCTTCAAACTCGAGAAAAGATTCTTTTTAAATGTAATAATTACTAAAAGTTTCTTTAAAAAAAATAGTCTCAGAGTTAAGTTTATACGGAATTGTATAATGATGTCAAATTTTTTTGCCTGAAGCTTCTTGGTAAGGGGGAAGGGGCTCATGTTTTTTAGCTTGGGCCTAAAAATTGTTTTTTTTGAGGGTGTGGGGTTATGCGGTAACCAACACTCGCTAAAAACTTATAAACCAAAATTTTAATTTTTACATTAAAAGACAAAATTATTTTTCAATTCAATAAATATATGAATGTTTTTTTTTGTTCGAGTATTATACACAGTTATCGAAAATGAGTTAATTCATCAAGTTGTAAAATAAAAAATATTCTCTAAATTATATTTTGTATCAGGACATTTGAAGGTGAATAATGAAATTGTGGAGAGTTCGGCTAGCCCTTACGGTACTCAAGAGTTAGCGCTAAACGAGGCGGAATTGTATTTCGGGGGTACGCCACCTGGTTTTAATGTCAAAAGGTATGTCTTTCTAAAACATTTATATATTATATATGTTGCAGTATTCAAACCGGTCACACCTACAATATAATCTAGAATAAATTATAATGAAAGAAAGAAAGAATGAAGGAAAAAAATCAAACAAATATTAATTTCTATTTTTATCTATTTCCATTATAGTAATTGGAATTTGACGGAGAACAAATACTTTATGGGTTGCATGAGACTCATACAAATCGGTCAGACTTCCATTGAATTGTTCGAAGGGCAGATATATGGACTAGAGGCCGGCTGTGTAGCTAAGGTAAATTAGATTATAAATATATTTGTATTATTTTTAAATTGATTTTCTCATCAGCCAAAAATTGGTACATTTATTTAGAAATTAAAAATTATTTATTAATTGTCTGTCGTTATTCATTTAGATTTAGTCCATCTTTGGGAATCATCTTTTTATAAACAGTAAATCTTAAGGAATCCAATATATATATGGTAATATACCCAATAGAAATATACAATTTCCTTGGCTTAAGTCGTTATTCATTTAAATTTAGTCCATCTTTGGGAATATCTTTCATGGACAGCAGACCCTTAGAAATACAATATAAAATGGAATAAAAATTTAGCCAATAGAAATCTACAATTTCCTAGGCTAATCCTGACCATGCATGATAAATACAGCTATTGCAATTACCAAAAACATTTTTAAAGCCAATATATACCGTCAATTTCGTGGGATCGGGCTTTGCCGATTACAGGCTCAAGAGGTTTGCGAATGACGACATTGAAACTTTGAGTCTTACATTTTCGACTCTCAGTGCGGATGGCTTGATATTGCTCATGTTGATGAAACGAAGGATGGGTGAAACGAATTCCGCGGGGAGCGTATTGGATCAAGCGGAGAAAGAGGGGGAGGAGGAAAAGGTGGATACTAAGAACGTGAGTTTATAATCAATTTACGGACGTTTCATTAGTTTTTACTTTGTTTATTTAAAAAAAAAAAAATAAATAGAACTTCGTATCCATCCATCTGCTGAACGGCCAGATTTACGTTCAATTAGGTAACAGAGAAGCCCGCCGACTTTTGGCGCTGAAAAGCTACACTGATTACACTCACGAAAATGAATCCGAAAAATCGTCTAGGGACAAATCTAGAAGTTACAGCGACGGGAAGATGCACGTTTTGACTCTTTCCAAAAGAAGATACACGTAAACTTTTACCTCATATTTTGGAATTATTTAAATTGAAGAAAAATAAAAAAAAATGTTTGCACTTGAATATTTGAGTGCCGAATGCAAGAGAGGTTAAAATAAATTGCAAATGTGATGTGAGAGATGGAATGCCCAAAAATGGATACTGTGCTTGTGAAATTTAGGATTACCAGTCTTTTTACGGTATTTTTTAATATCTTTTCTTATATTTGAACCCAAATTTCCCCTGGCATTTAAATTTATAATTTGGTTTGGCAGTATAAATTTCTCACGACACAACGGCTCATATGATAAATTATTGTTTATATTTATTTTGTAGATTCATATTTATTTAACTTAAAACATAAATAAACACCAAAATGTATAATTATTTCTTACCAGACTATCCCTCTACATCGACGATGAGTATCTAACTTCCGTATCACTCCTCAATTCGCCTCCATCTCTTTCAATAAAGCAAGACGCGTTCCCACATTCTTTTGACCTTAATGATACTAAACTGCTATTCAGTTCTCTGGATCCTTTCTCCACTTCGCCATACCCCGATACAAATAATCCCGAACTTTCTATTCTCAGGATAACTAGCTTCGATAAAGCCAAGAACGTCCACCTTCAAGATGCAGATGGAGAGATGACCGAAATGGAAAAAATTCAGAGATTTACGAAAGAATACCGTGATAAGGATGGAGGGGGAAAAGTTGGCGAAAAAAATGGCGTGATCAATATATACCTAGCTTTGGGAGGATTGCAGCATGAAACCTACAGCGCGCTTTACGGAACCAGTACAACCTCACCTTACCTGAAACCGTTCAAGGGTTGCGTATCGGATATAGTGCTCAATGACGAGTTTTTTTTATACTTAAACTTAATGTTCCTTGCTTTAAAAGTTTAGTCAGCTTAAAATAAGCTTTGCATAATTTACATAAATTTGGATAATTGTCGCTTAGAAAAAAGACATTAATGAACGACATTTTGGATATAATTTAAGTCAGCATTATTTAGGCATCTTAATAGAAGTAGCCCTCACAAGCTATTAAGATGTGACAATCGGTGGCACTTTTTTGCGCGCATCTTCAAAAAAAACTAGGTGATATGTAACTAGCAATTTATCACATGTTCTTTATTTATTTTTTTTAAAACATATTCAAACGAATTTTTTTTTATTCTCTCATCTTTCCTTTGTTTTTTTTAGATTAATTTCTCTTCACGACCCTTCGCGTTTCGAAAAGATGGAATTCAATTCGTGCTCACTCACCCACCGCCAATCGATCACCTCCACCGAGGACCAAGTACTTCTCGATCTACGGGGCACATCCGATCTAGATTCCTATGATAATAAATATATAAATTACACGTCCTCCACCCCGCCCCCCGACGAAGCGGTGGATGAGGGGAAGGAAGAATTTTACGATTACAAAGATAAAGGCGAAAATATCGAAGAAATTACAATGTTGCAGCCTACAATCAACGTTGATGGAAAAATGGATTCCAATGGAAGTTCCTGGGATTTTATAAGCACGGTACCGCCTCCCATTCCTCCCCCTCCACCCCCACCGTCTACTCATTTCATATTTAGGAACAACGAAAAAACGGATCAAAGTACATTTCATTCACAAATTTTATTCGACAAAACAAAATATCTAAAAAAATCTTGAAATTTGTAAATGAAAAGGGTTGATGAATTTTTTAAAATCACTTTTTTATAAAAAAATGAAAGAAAAGGAAGCTCTATATTTGATATTTTTCCTTTTGTAGTAACTTTCTGCATTTACCCGGGATATTTTTATCTAGTCAAATAAAAAAAATTTTTACAATAAGGAGTTATTATTAGGATATTTGAATGAATATTCTATCTCGATATTTACAATTAGAAAAATTGAATATCTTAGGTACTATCAATTACTCATTCTTTTCGGTTTAAATATCTGATGAGGTCAGGACAATACTTTTGTATCTGTCTTGGAATTCCTCTTATATATATAATTTTTTTTTTAGTTATTTCCCACTATCATGTGACTAGATGAGCCTTGCAAAAAAAATCTAAATAATCATCTTGTTAAAAAATAAATTGTGCATTTGATGTTCCAAAAAATTTTATGCGAAGGGAAACTCGCTTTAACAGCAGGTTTTCCGTGCAGATTTGAGTTGGGCTTTCAAATTTTATCCGACCCTAAGAATAATTTTCTATGAGAGGGCCAAGGAATTTGTATATTTTGTTTTAAAAAATAAAATTCCTTGGGTTCTGATGTAAGGGCTCTATTTTGCCGCATATATGAGGGTCCAAATACCAAACATCCTGGAGCATGCTAATTTATCATTAGATGATGGCCTAAGACTAGATGGCTTAACTTCTGTCCCTTGGTCTTTAGGTAAATCCTTAATTTGGGACATCACATGCGTCTCTTCATTTCCAAAAAATTTAAATTTTGACCCGGTTGATATATAGCCAAAAAAAACAATTAAAGATTCGAAATTAACAAATTTTGATTTTTTATCGTTATCTCTTCTTCTTGTGCATATGTCATGATGGGGAACTTTTATAATTTTAAAAAAAATATAGGCGCCATTTTTATTTATTTATTCATTTTTAATATAATAATGATAAAAAAAAAATTTATAAAAAAAAGCACCTGAAATCAAAATAAAGGAACATTTGGAGGAAGAACAAACCCCCCCTAACGTCAGCTTATCTATCGACGAATTATCAGCTAAGAGGCTAAAATTGATATCCGCTAAGAAAAACTCGACCTCAAAACTCACCAAAGAAAGATCGAAAGATGAGACTAAAGTTGTTTTTTTTTACAATAAAAATTAGCAAATTTTAACCGGTTTACTTAATTATTTAAAGGTATTGAATATTTCAAGTGTTAGACACGCATCTTGCTCCCCTCTCGTGAGAAATCACTCGATAGATTCCAGCGCTGTTAGCTTTGGCGAATCTTCCAATAGCCACGCTAAATTTGAATTCAACCATAACGTCATGAGGAGAAAGTATGTATATTTTCAAACATATTTATCCCCTTATAGGGAAATGTACACTATAATATATTTTATTTGTTTTTTTTTATAGACTTGATATAAGCTTGGAATTCAGAACGTTTTATTCGGAAGGTTTATTGATATACCTTAAGGATAAAGGACAAACGGAATATTTGGCTATCCAGCTCAGGGATTCACGATTGCAAATAGTTTATTACACTATGGGCGACAAAGAAATACTATCCCCCGCGGGATTGAATGACGGAAAATGGCATAAGGTTAGTTTCATATTGATTCAAAAATAAAAATTGTTTTAAAAAAGTATGGGGTTTCTTCTTTAAAAAACATTAGCTCATTTAAATATTATGAAAAATATAATCTTTATGTAATCTAGAAAAGTTTCATCTGTCGCTTATTATAAAGGAACATTCTTGTATATTTTCATCCTTTAAAAAAAATATATATATAGGTAAGCATACGCAAAGAGAGACGTAGTTTAATAGTCAAGCTAGACGATTACGAAGAAATTAGGGCGCCTATAGTCAAACTGCTAAACGTGGTTGCTCCTGGATATATAGGAGGTATCCCAGAATCGTACATCCCTAGGCCAAACGTGGTTTGTTAATATGTATATATATAATCATGTTATTATTTTTATTTTTATTTGTAATAAACCCTCTGTCTTTTTTTTTGTTCTTAGAAGTTTTTTAAAAAAAGAAGCCTTGTAAAGATTTCACCAATAACTTTAGAAATATACTATGATAATCATACCAGAATTTATCAGAGGATAGTCATCTGTCAAATTCGTTTAATTACGGTGAGAGTTGTGTATATATACAATTTATAAATATATATATATATATAAACAAAAAGAAAACTCAGAGTTTTAAAGGTTGCATAAGAAATCTGATGATCAATCGAGAAATTCACGATATTTTTCAATCGGAGTCTTTTATCGGACTCTCTCAGTGCTTCATGAACGTTGAAACGGGGGCACATTTTACGGGGGATTCCTACGCTATATATGGTTTGAAAATCAAAGGAAGGAAGGAAGGATAGAAAGAAAGAAAGAAAGAAAGAAAGAAAGAAAGAAAGAAAGAAAGAAAGAAAGAAAGAAAGAAAGAAAGAAAGAAAGAAAGGGAAGAAAAAAGAAAAGAATTATTATACAAGTACATAAAATTTTTGGGAGTTTAAAATTTTAGACCGTTTTTACAACACAATTACATGCAATAATATATTTAATTTTTTTTTCTAGAGAAAAACTTTAACGTTGGTAGCGAGATGGAGATATTGATAAAATTTAGGACCACCCAAAGGAACGCTGTGCTAGTGAGTATAGGCGAAAAAGATGGGTACCCTTCGTTAGGACTCTCATTATTTGAGGGACAGGTTATAAAAAGATTTTTCTTGATAGTTTTATGGAGGATCTATTGCTTTTTAATATATTTTACTAAGTTTTTTTAAAAAAAAGGTCTTTTTGACGAAAAAGAAAGAAAACTAATTCTCGAATTTTAATCCCTAATGTAAAAGTCCTGTCGGGGTTTTTTTTTACTGTTTAACCCAATATTATTGTAGAGAATTCATCATTTTAAAAATATAAAAAATTGGGGGGGGGGGGATTAGGTTTACCCGGCCAGTAGTAAAAATCTGTTTATAAATTGTCCGTCCCGGCCTGTGGAAAGCGATAAAAATCATGTTTAAAATATTTTCTCTAAAAACAAAAAGGATAGAGCAAAATATGAACTATAAATTTGCCTATCCCCATATTCTCAATTATCATTATTTTTATTTTTTTTAAAAAAAGGTGGTATTCTCAGTCAATATGGGAGAAGGTCTGGGTCCTTTTAAGGCCATCAAAAAGTTTGACGATTCAACCGAAGTTGGCGCTGCCGACAGCCCAAATCCTTTAGGTGTGCATACTTCGTTTTCATAGTCTATTTTTAATTTGTGAAAATGCAAAATTTAAAAGAATATATAGGTTTGGGTGGGTTTGTTGAGGCTGTGTCCAACATTTTCAAAATATTCGAAAAATTTCAAAACTATCACAAATTTTAAAATTTGCCAAAAACATAAATGTTTTTATTTTTATATTTATGATAGTTTAATTATTTATTTTCATACTATTTCTAATTTAATTTTTTTTTTTTTGAATAATAAGATTACAGAAACTAAAAATATGTATTGAGTATTTATGAAATCTATTCACCTTGGCACATAACAAAAGTTTATTTAAATAATAAGCCGAAAATATTGGCCTAAATAAAAATGGGGTTTAAATAAAAGAGAGGATCCGACTTTAGAAAATGGATAACAAATTTTTATTTTTTTTATTTTCTTAAAAAGGTGGCAATTACATATGCGACGATAAATGGCACACCGTGTTAGCAGCTTATGTTAAAAATATCATAACTCTCAAAGTGGACGAATTTGACATAGAGTTCGGTTTCGACGAAGGCAATCTCAAGGAAACTAAAACCAACAACTTTTTGTATGTCGGCGGTTTTCCCGGTAATCAAAAAAATAAATAAAATAATTAAACTTGAAAAAAAAAAAATGAAAAGAAAAGAAAAGAAATGGAGAAGTTTTTTTAATAAATAAATGAGAGGGGCTCTCTTTCGTTCTTTCTTTTAGTTTTACGATTATGTTCTAAAAATACAGATAAGATGAAGAATAATCAAGGATCAGTGCCGACGCATCAAAGATTCATCGGTTGCATGAAGTTTGTCAGCATCAAAAAGAATAAGAAAGATTGGGAAAATATGTATTCACTTCATAATTTGAACAATAATTGCCCCATCACACCGTAAATTTTAACAACGTATATAATAAAGCAAGATTTTTTGACTTTTGTGATTACTGTTTATATATACAAGAAGTATGTATAATATTTATATTTTCATAAAATTTTCCCAAGAATTGTAATAAGTTTTATTTTTTTATATCTTTTTATACAATTTTTTTTTAATACTTTTATTAGCTAAATATAATAAAATTTGACCCCATCATCGTGAGGACAATTAGGCCTAATAACTAGATATGTGTATGTTTAAAATATCTATTAAATTTATTTGATTTTAAAAGGGCTATGGATTTCGATAAAATGCAAACAGGCATGTATGCTATATGAGCTAGGGTTATTCTGTATGAAAGGGCAAGGCTTACATTTATATTTTATATCAATAAATAAAATGTTTGCTCGAATTCACTTTATAGTAAAAACTGATTTGTTATAGCTCTCTATACTAGGTATCACGTCAACTAGGCCCATGACGTTCAGCAGCGAGTGTTTAAGACAGTTGCAATATATTAGTATAAAACTAAATGATCATTAAATAGAAGTCATGTTGAGGGTTAATTATAAAAAAAAAATTAATTTAATAAACAAATATTTATACTCTGATTTCTTTGGTGGACCAATTTACCATGTCATAAGATATGTTTGAACCAAAAAAAATCGATTTATTTTTTTAGAAGTAAGGAATTAACAATAGGGAAATCTCATGCTAGAGGTTAAATTTTCCAATCATATTCAACTATAGTATTAATTTATAAAATAATTATTGACTTAAAATTAGTCTTTCCTTTAAGACCGACTCATTTAATAGATTTATTAAAAATCCTTAAAATAATTCTTATTGTTCATAAAAAATAAATATTCATTTTAAATCACCTTAACCGAACTGTTATAATATTCTTGAACCGATTTAACCCTGTTCACAAGAGTTTTTTAAAATAATTAATTTTAAATTATTAACCTAAATTTCAAATTTTCATTTTCCTTGGTGGCAATTTAAATTCGTGATTTCCTTTCAAATTAAAATTTTTTATACTTAGCTATTATCTTTATATCAATAAAAAAATTTAATCTCTAGCATGAGACTTCCCTTTTGTTAATTCCTTACTTCTAATAAAATTTTTTTTAGATCAGCACATCTTATAACATGGTAAATAGATCCATCAAAGAAATCAGAGTATTAATTTTTTTTATTTTTGATAACCAACCCTCAACATGACTTCTACTTAATGATCCTTTTTGTATACTAATAAATTGGGACTGTATTTGATATTCACCGAATTGACGCCAGCTGTTGATGCCATATCCAATTTTCCTCGCCGAATTGACGTGATACCTTTTTAACACCACTAGATTAAAATTACAACGCACCAAAGCTTAGTAAAAATTTCCCCTAAAGCCTGCCAATCAACCTCCATAAATCTCTGTCTAAGCCACTTTACAATATCTCGATGAATAACTAGGATTTTTGTTAAATTTCCAAAGTCCGACCAGAACCGAACCCAATTATTTTAAATAGAATTAGGCCCAAGCCCGGCCCGAAGCCCGTTCGGGCCGGGTACGGACCGGGCCTAACTTTGCAGATCTCTAATATATATTTCTAATTTTTACAAATATAAAAAAATTTCTTAGCGTCCTTTATAGGCCGGGTCGGTTCGTGGCTCAGTATTTTCTAACGGGCCTGTGCTGGGGCTTAAGGTTCTAAAAAATATTTTTAATGGGGCTTGGGCCTATAATTTTTTTTAAATTTTAAAATTAGCATATTTAAAAAAAGTTGTTAATTTAAAAAAAAAATATTGCAATTTTTTTATTAATAATAAATTTTAGTATTTGCAAACAGAATGATTGCCTTAAATACACTAAAATATTTTTTGTTTTTATTAAATATAATGAGTTAAAATATTTGGATATCGGCTTGAGCCGGTGGCTTAGCGAAAATTTTTTTAAACTTATTATGGACTTGAGCAGGGCCCGAAAGTTTTTTTTATTATAAATATGGCCGGGCCTAAATAAATTTTTTACTGCGGATCTGGGCCGGGCCTAATCAAAACTCTTCTTTTTATAAAAAATAATCGAAAGTATTACAAATATTCTTCAAAAATATGCATCTAACTACAGATACGAACGAAGTTCAGATAGAAAAGATTTTTAAAAAAATTTTTAATTTAAAATTCACGTTGCATAATTATTATTTTTTTGAAAATTAACTAAAATAAATATGAATATAGTATAATTCTATTTTTTTAAAACAAAGAAAATGTAATTATATATATATTCTATTAAATATAATATATTTTTAATGATAATTTTAAAAATATAAATAATTGCCATCGATAATCATTGATAGTTCGTTTAGATTATTAACTACAACCCAAACAGGGAAATATTTGGGATGAGGTAGTGATTTTTTCGTAACTAATTTGCAATTCGGTTTATATTATTGCCGATAACTCCGCAATCTATTAAGATTTAAATGATAAAAATAATAATAGCTATATAATGTACAACATACCCATAGAGCCAATTTTTTCATAAGCGCATTCCATATATGCGGTTGAAGATGTAATCTTTTGTCTCGAATAAAAATGTCTCTCTCTTTCCTCCTAGATCCACAACACAAGCATCTAAATATAATAATGATAACCATTTTAAAAAGTTAATTTAAATAATTTAACGCACTTGAGTTTTTCGTAATTCCACCCATGGCCTGAGTATTTATCCTCAGAATAAGCTGTAGGTTTCCAATAGCTGCCAAAAGAAAGGGGGGGGGGAAATCAATTACCGAAAAAAATGATTAATGTTTAGTTTGAAAATTTGTAAATATTTAATTTAAAAACATAAACTATATTTACTTTGCTTAATTAACCTTGAAATTTTGTTAATTCAAATGGAAAACATAAATAATTATAGTTTTAGATGTCTTATAATTTAAGACGGTTAGCATTTTAACCAAGAGTTGTTTGTAATCAATCATTTGCATAATTAAGCTGCGAAGTAAATTTGTAATAAATCACCATTCTTTATTAATATTAATTATTTTTGCCTCATATTAATATAGTAATTTTAACAAAGCTCGATAATAACAAATAAATCAGGGAACTTAAACTGGCAAAAAATTTAAAATAAAATTTTGACTTGATAGAGATTTAAATTAAAAACCATATGAAATAATATTAGAAATTAATTATATTATAAAGAAGAAGAAAAATATTAGAAAATATTTTTTAAAAATTTTGAATTGAGTTCCCAAAAATTAAATTTAAAAAATGTCGATTTAGATTTCTTGCCTAAGATAGAAAAAACTCCTTGGCATCATTTGTTTATTTTTGAACTTAATGTTTTTAAAAAATTGAAAGTAGGGAAGACCTGGGATCTTATGAACTCGAGATTCTTGAGAGCATAGAGGTTTTATTCTAGAGTACTCAACTCTCTAATGGTTAATTTTTTAACCAAATATGTATAAGTGCATTATGCATATGAGGCTATAATTTTTTTTAATGTTCAGATCACATGTATTTTTTATAACACAATATATGACTCATGCCCTCAGAGGTAACATTTTTAAATAGTACAATTTATAAAAAAATAATAAAGGTTTTAATTACCTAACAACTATCTTATATAAAAGATTAAACCCTATTCTATATAAAATTATTCTTTATTTTTCAACTACTAAATATGTTTAGGGGTAGCCGATTTTTTAAAACGGCTAACTCAATATTTTAGCCAGAAAAATATTGCCTAGCCATCGAGATTTCGAAAATATATGTCTAGACCTTTGTTCCTTCTATGAGCAGAATCTTCCGACTTACGTAATATTTTTCTGGATATAATATTGAGTTAGCTGTTTTTAAAAATCGGCTCATAACGAGCCATTTAACAATACTAGTTGTAACAATATATATGGTTTTTATTTTTAAAAAAATACTCAATCTTAGCAACTCTAATGCGCCTCTGGGAAAGCTCATCCTTCCTCGGGTGTGGCTCACCCAGTGGCGTAGCTACGGGGGTGGTTTTCGGGTTTGGACCCCTCCCAGAGCAAATTTAGATTATACATTCAAAAGACTTAAAAGTGACTTTGTATCAAATAAATACCATTAATATTTATATTTTTCTGGTTTTGATGTTTGAGAAAGGATATTATATTACTATTGAAATTATTCTGGGTAGTATTATTATAAAGTCATTGAGAATAATCTACTAAATTATAATAACATATTATTCATGCATTTAAAAAAAATATTTATTATATATTGTCGAAGATGTGGTTATGATTTTTAAGATAAACCCGGCCGAAGTCCCGTTAAAGGGGGTCTGGGGGCGAAGCCCCCAGGGTTTTATATGTATGAACCCCCTCTAAGGAAAATTCCTAGCTACGCCAATGAGCTCACCCTTTCCCAAATATTTTTCTCGAAAAATTAATATTGTTAAAAAATGTATAATTTTTTTAAAAAAAAATTAAAATGGGATATAATTTATTCAATATTATCAATTAATTTTAATTTTATTGACGTTTGCCTTTTAAGGCTCGCATGTTCTTTTGTCTTACCTAATAAGTGAAATATACCTAAGTTTTATATAGGCTATAGGAGTAAATATACAATTTGTTAATTTAGCATATATTACTGGATGCCAATGTATAGAGGGAAAGACTCTATTCGAGTAAAATCCCGAATGAGAGATTATCCCAGGCTCTGTAGGATTGTTATTTTGATACAATAAATAGATCAAGATAATGCACATGCAAATTTTAAAAAAATGCAGATAAAATAAAATTGCATAGGTATATTGTTCAAGATTAAATACTAAAATTAGTTTAAAAGCACACGGATGAAAGTGCCATTGAAAAATCATGAAATAAATAAACTATAAATTCTTATAAATTAATAGAAATTGACTAAATATTTTAAAAAAATAAAAATTTTACTTGTCACGCAAAGGCTCTCTAGTAGAAATATAAGTCCAAGAGAGTTTATTTTTGGTATACAGCAATTTTTAAAATAGATTATTGTTAAAGTCAAATAAAAAATCATTAAATCCTAATAGACCCAAATAAATAGGGTTTGATAAATTATATTATAAAAAATGATGTTTATAATAATTTATAAAGTAGTTAAATGTAACGAGTGCTATTATAGGTGAAACTTTTAACTGTAACTATATACTTTTTTGAAAGTAAAATAAAGGGTCATAATCATTTTAAAAAGTTGCAGAGAGGTTCTGTCTACGACGAGTAGAGTGTCAGTTGATCTCATAGATAATTTGAATAAAAAGATTTGCTTTTGTTTAGATTCAAACGAAAAGACCAAATCGATATAAGGATGAATTTTAATCAAAACTTTCTATTGTTTTAAACAGCGAAAAACATATTTATCAGAGACCCTCAAAGCTCGACATTTTAGGACCGCAGCCCAGACCAGAAAGAAAAACATTTTTGAGCATGGGCCGGATATTTTTTTGGATCCTTATACGACCCGACCCGACAAATTTTATTTTATAAATTTAACTATTTTTGAATAATTTTGACTATATTTTATAAATTTTTTCAAAAGAAGAATTAGAAATATAAACATCTGAACTGATTAATCGACAGAATTGAGAGTGAAAAAATATTAATAGCCAGACAAGGTTTTTTTTAAAACAAAAATTGCCCCGGACCTAGGCGTGCAATTCTTATATTTATTGTAATTTCAATTTTTTTTCTTCTTCAATTAAGTGCAAATTTTAAGTATTTGTTATTTTGCTATGGATCGGTCTATTTTTATGAGAGGGAAAAAATTGTGTATATACAGTTTTTATATCAATGCACAGTTATTTAAATATGAGATCTTACATTTTTTAAAAATTTAATTTCACAGTTTTTTTAAAATAAGTGCGCCAGCATAATTATATTCAAAATTTTTAAATTATTTTCCCAGTTTTTTGAAGAGAGAGTTTTATATTTATATACTACAGAATTTTTAAATTATTTTGACAGTTATTTGAAAAGTTTTCTAAATAAATGTTCAGTTTTATGATTATATTTACTAATTTTAAAACCCACTAAACCAACCCACTAGGAAAAAATCTAACTTATACTTCGCAAAGCGGCCAATAAGTTCCTGTTATATTTTACCAAGCTTCACGGTTCAGGCTAAGGCATGATGCCTAGCTCGTGGACAAAGCTCGAAGTTAGCTTACTGCTATGACAAATATAAGGGTTGGTGTTTACAATTAATGTTAATTACTAATTTTATTAAACTCCCAAACCCACTACACTAGATGAAATCTAACAAAATCTGAAAAATTTTATTCAGATTACAATGAAATGGTAACATAATTTTTTTTATAAATATAACTTAATAAAGAAATATGACTAATAATTCGTTATTACAAATCAAATATAACAATAATTTTTTTTATAATGATAATTTAAAAAAATATATATAAATTTCGCAATTATATTGATAATATTTGATAAAAGTCGCTAAAATCATCAATCACAAACGTAATAAGGGCAACACTGAGGATAAGTCAGATTTGTTTTGGACACTAATTCGCAATTAGGATTAGGAGGGTCGTCCAAATTATCGCATCTATTAAGATTTAAATGATAAAAATAAATAATAACTTTATAATGTACATACTTTTCACAAGTAATTATATAAGTGCCACCTCTGGTACATGTGCATCCAATACATCGAGTTGTAGGTGTAATCGTTTTTCCCTGAGAAAATGTGTATGTCAAATCATCTACTTCCCAAATACAAACATCTGAAGATAGTAATAACCATTTTAAAAAAATAAAAGATAAATAATTTAATTCACCTGGGTTCACAGTCGTAGATTCTGTTATTGAAGCGCATTGGCCAATGAACCCCAAAATAAGCGCTAAAATTCCAAAAGCCACCAACGTATACGCTGTCATTTGAACAAAATAAAAATTCAATTATAAATGAATGATGCTTAAGGCGAAAAATTGATATTTATATTAAAAAAAACATTAAAAAAATATATTCTTGAAATTTAATTAATACAATGGCAACATAAATAACTAAATGTCCTTCGATAGAAGAGATAATTTATGTTATAAATTCAAATTATTGTTGGCATTTTAACCAGGAATTGTTATAACCATTTATTCATATTAACGCTGCACAGTAAATTCTGATGGTGTGATTCTTTCATGTTAAATATGATATTTTAAAAAAATGGCGAATAAGTTTTGCGATATTATTCCCAAATATTAAAATAAATTTTAAAAAAAACTGTTGTTAAATGTAATCTAGACTGAAGTTGATAATTTTTCTTTTGATTATATTATCATCGAATCAGGCTTATTTTAAAATCTGTTTTTGAAAATTTATCATCAGTTTAATCAATGATGTGCATATCGTTTTTGGCAGACTGGCGATGTGCGACCTCGTTAGGCAATTTTTTCTAGCGACCTTATTTTATGGGGAGTTTCCTCCTCCCCTATATCCCTCTTTTTAAGGGCTTTTCGTCCGCTTTTACTTGGCCTTCGGCCGGGATGCTTTTAATGGCCTATCCTTATTATACATGTTTTTTTTTAAATATTTTTTTGGAAACAAACATGTTTTAAAAACGATATGTTAAACACTATATTGTTCTATATTATTTTAAATAAGAAAAAGACTTATGACAGCAGTTCTTGGTGGAAGAAGCAAATTTTCAATGCGAACCTTGAAGACTGAAGTGGAGAAGGGTTCCATGTGAACAGCAGTTGCACATGGGTCAGTCGATCCTATGCCAAAGGAGAAATCCGTTGTGAAGCGGTTTGACTACGGCTACCGCCTCGCTTGGATATATTTTATTTTAAAGATATTTAAATACATACTCATTGCACATTTTACAATATACTTATCTCTTTATAAACATACTTGCTCATATAAAATTATATGTAATCCTAGATATGAAATCAAATTATTTGCACATATAAAATTATTTTGTAATTTATACCTTTTTATGATAAGGTTATAATTACGAGAAAAAAAACTATTATAGCTATGTTGACCCCCTCCCCATCCATTTCCTTTGATATGTTGGTATACTAATTATTACTAAAGTTCTCGTTCAACTTGATTAATTCTATCTTTTCAATTCTAACCTTTCTCAATAAATACTACCACACTCTAATCTAATATCTACATGGTGGAGGATAGGGGCACCAGTTTATTGGAGGATGTTGGGGAAAGAGCCCGCATGCTTCCTTCGCTCGTTATTGAAGATGAAGAGACACTTATTAAAAGAAAAATTGATAATAGATACTTTATAAAAAAGAAATTTTCCATTTGTTCCTGCGCAAAATTGAATGGTATTTAAAACAAATAGCTGAGTATTGAAAAGTTTGTAATCAGCCTTTTTATTATACAGTTAAAAAAATTTTAAATTTTTTTTGTTGTTGAGCATTTAAATAAAGTAAACATCATTTTTATTAACAATGATTAGTATTTTAACGTAATATATTATAGGGCCTGTCGTAATATAATAATTAAATTTAACTCATTATTAGTAAAATATTATTGTAATAATTGTGAAATTTAGAGCCTAAAAATAAAATAGAAGAAATAATATTAAATACTCTTTCCTTTATTAAACTCTTAATTATAAATTAATCAATAATAAGCACATAAGGAAAAAGTAACAAAATATAAAAATAAAAAGATTAAAAATTAAAAATTAAAAAAATTATATGCGAAAAATAAAAAGTAAATAATTCTAATTGTTAAACTCTTAAAGTATGAAAAATCTACAATTATCACGCGTTTTCCTCTCATTTGCATAGTTTAAGACTTAAATAATAAAGTAACAATTTTAATAAAACATTATTTTTGTTTGAATATTATCACAATTTGAGTAATAGATCCTTTTGTAACAGAATGTTACAACAATTATTATATTATATCAATTAGCCCATATATAGTGTAATTTATGCCTGTATATGTCAAGGGTATAATTACGAAAAAAAATTGTTATGGATAGCTATATTGACCCCTCCCCACCCATTTCCTTTGATTTGTTGGTATACTAATTATTGTTATTTTATTCTTTCCCCAATATATCTACTTTCTTCCCCATTATAATTTAATAAAAAAATATTTCATAAATTTAAATTTTAGTCATTAACTCTCTTTTTTTTTTCATTTTTCTCTTTCTCAAAAATAATGCCATAAATTATTAAAGAAAAAAACATCATTTTATTTAGTGATCTGCATCGGGCCTAATTTTTCAAGCCCGGCCCTGCCCGAAATTTTTTTTATAAAGTTTTGCCCAGCCCGACTCAGCTCTAACCCGAAATTTTTTTAAAAAATTTTGCCGGCCTGGCCCGAATTTATTTGAATATAGAAATTAATTTTTGTAATAACTCAAAATTAACGATATATGTTATTTGGCGTCTACTTTCTATAAATAAAATCACATATTTTTATTTTACATAAAAAATTCAACATAAAATTGATAAATTTAAATATATTATAAAAAATTTCTAAGGCCCGACCCGAACCGGCCCGAATTTTCTTAAAAATTATTAGGCCTAGCCCGGTCCGAAGTCCATTTAGACCGGGCCGGGTACGGGCCGGGCCTACTTTTGCAGATCTCTAATTTTATTACGTTAATATTACTTCCATATGTTATATAATTTTAAAGGTAATTGAACATAGTTTATTTTTATATTTTAATTGATGCATGTTGTTATATTGATATTTTTATGTTTATATTTTACTGTTTTAGGCGTTAATTTCATATTATATTAATGCAATTGATTTTAAAAGTTTATATTTTTACTATCTGAAACGATATTTTACCATATAAAGGAGACAATTTATTTTTATAAAATCGAATTTTTGACTATATACCAGTAATTGTGACATTAATAATTCGATTTGATTTATTTTTTTCATATCAATCCTAATAGTAATCTCGTATAATTTTATTTTATTTACGTAAGCTGCTATCTACTTCCTTTAAATTATATTTTTTCTATTATAACGTCTCGATCTTATATCTCTGCTTCAACTTAAATAGGGTTCCAAGTGAGTACATCGAAATAGAGAATAACTCAAAATTCAATTGATATAAACTTATAAATATTGATAATAGTTATTAAGGCTTTCACTAAAGCATTTAAACTTCAAATCAGCCACCACCCACCCTTAAAATAATTAAATTATATTGTAGTTTTCGGGTATTGTCTTTTGTTTTGCCCAATTCTTTTGTTAATAATCTATAGACGTTTAGACAACAGTTCTCTGGCTGTTTTACGTATAAGTACGTGAGGCCTGCCCCGTGTAAAGGGCTCCTCATTTTCTCACCCTAAATTAAATATCCAGTTTGATGGATTTTGAGTAAGACCTAGGGACGCGAAGCTCTGTTGTTCCCACAACCAGAGGGCGAAAACATTTTCATCATCTCGTAAATGTTGTTATTCAAATAAGATACCTTTTTTGACCACGTTTTATTTTTTTTAATATTTAGATAACAATTATTATTAAAAGAAAAGAGATCTTTTATTTTTCATTATTATTATTACATAATTGAAAAAAATATGTTTAATAAAAATATATTATAATATGATTACTAGTTCGCACTTTTGGTATTTAAGATTAAAAAAATGATGGTTGAATACCATAGCCATTATCTTACATAATGTGTAACTGCAATGTTAAAAAGTAAAATTATAAATAGTTGTCAATCACTTAATTTTTAAATAATTACAGTAATGGCAATCATGTTGGAAGAAATTTTAAAAGTTTTGCAAACCTTAGCGTTAGAAGGTATATATATATATGTTTTAATTGTTCGTAATACTTTTAATTAGGTAAATACGCGGAACTCTATGATGGAATATTGAAAAATTATGACATCTTTGCAAAAAATATTTCTTATATAGATAATTACATAGCAAATGTTGATATAAATGAACATTCTTTATTAATACTCTTTTACTTGTATGAATATTAATAAATTTTGATCTAATTTTATGTAGGAAAATTAAATTCAATAATTTCCCAATTGTGAATGCAACAGTTAACAAATTTTATGAATTTATTGATGCGATTGATGTTCATCAAATAAATTGTGCCATAGATATATGTAGATTTTGATTATATATCTATTTATTAATATTATATATAGATTCAAATGTATGTCATAGTTTCACACAATATCTAATCATAAACAAAACAGTTAAATATTTTTAAATTATTTTTGAGAATTTTTTTTATCCAGCCTCTAAAAGGCATGAGTATAATTGCAAAAGCAATTACAAATATACAAAATGAATCTTCTGAACTAACTACAATACATTCGGATTTATTGCATGTATTAAATTATTTATTTAATTAGTGACACACAATAATATTTAAGTTATGTTTATCATCACGTGATTTAACACCTTCCTTGCAATTTTTGGATATTGATATAACATCTATTAATAAAGAAGTAATTATTATATTTATTTATATATATTATTATTATATAATTTTAGAACAACAAATGTGATAGCAAATATATACTTTTATATTATTATTATGGGGGCCTTATATACCTTGCATTAAAAAATTATGAACGCTCATTCCTCTTTTTTGAAATTGTAATAAATTATTTAGATATAATATATTAATTTTAATAAAGGGCTTAACTATACCAGCACATTCAATCAGTTTAATCATGGTTGAAACCTTAAAAAAATATATTATTTTATCTTTACTAACCCATAATAAGGTAATTGTCATTTTTTTAAATAGAATATATATATATATATCTAAACAATTTGTCATAGGTTATTAATCTCCCAAAATTTACATCAAACATTGTTGTTAGAGTTATAAAGGTAATAATTGAAACCATATATTATATTTATATTAAAAAAATTATTATTTATTTTTTTTATACAGTTTTTAATTTTTGGGGGAAATAATTACTAAGATTACTTTTGTGGCCCTTAAACTCAATTTAATCATTTTGTGTCATTCATTATTATTTTATTTATCATAATTTCTTTTTTAGTTGTTATATAAAACCATTTTTTTTAGAGGGAATAACTACATTATGCTATCTTCTATAAAAAATCAAATAAAACATTTAAAAACGAATAAATATGTGAATTAAATATGGAGAACTAATATTAAATAATAGGAGGAAATGTATAGGAACTAGGTCTAGAAATTGAAATTATAATTGATTGACTTACCCAAAATTGTATCTATTACATTTAAAAAAGAAGTTTTTATATTTTACCAGTATAGTCTTAAAATTTAACTTTAATAATAATATTTGTTTTAAATTCTCTTTTTTTTGCTGTCCATTTTGATAAGAATCCACAGTTTTTGTGAGAAATATCTAATTAATTTGTGTTGTTGTATAATATTTTTGAAATATTTAAATAATTTTAATTTATAACATGATTTAGCCAATCTGTCAACCATATTTGGATATTGCCAATGCCTACATGAATTCGCCTAACAATATTGCTTTGCTGGAAAACAAATTAGCCGAACATACTGAATTACTAAATAAGGTTATATAAATATAAACCATGTTCTAATGATATATCAAGGGATATTTTCTAGAGTTTGTTTGTTTCTTAAAGCCCCTATTATATCTATCACATTTGCATAGAATTGGAGTGCTTCACTTGACATTTTTATTGAATATAACAGTTTTTTGGGTGCATTTATTAAATTCAATAGGTCAATTATCTAACAAGTTTCATCAAATTCATTATTCTTGAGATGTTGTCTTTGTTATATGGGATCTAATAAAGGCATCATAAGCAATTGTATTTAGATCATTTTTTTCTTATTTCAAACTTATTTTTATAAAATTTTCTACTGATATAGAAAATATTGGGTATTGGAACTAAAGGTCTGCAAAGTTATTTTTTCATGGCCCAACAAGCCCGAATTTAATTTTTCAGTCTGAATTTGAGTTTGAATATTATAATATCCAAAAAACAATTAAAAATTATGTGTATTACCTTAAATGAAAGCTCATTTGATCGACCTAATGTATTTATATTAAATTGGAAACATATACATTTTATTCAGTATAAATATTAAAAAAGTTAAAAAACAATTGAATTTAAAATTTATTGGCAATATATAAAAATATGTGCATGATATAATAAACATATAAATCATTTCTATATTATATTAGTGGGGGTGAGGGGTTACCATTCAATGTTTATAAATATATATATATTTATATTAAAATTGATATTGATATTTTATAAAATAGAATACTAATAAGAAGCAGTAGATACATGCTGGGAGGGGGGGGGGTAAATATTATCATAGTCTTTAAGGATAGTGAATAAAAAATTTAGGTGTAGGAAGTATTTTTCTCTCATGTAGATGCTGCTAGTTTAAAATTTGTCATTAGACCCTCAAACTGCTAATGCAAACCAAGGTAATTATGTTTACCTTGATAATATTTTTAACATTTAATCAATGATTTAACATTAGCCCATGAAACTTCTGCCTTAGCCTATCAAACTTTTATTTCAAATCAAAGTAATTCAGGTGCTTTCAAGTTATTAATTCAGATATTGGAATTGAAAGTATCCAATGCACAAATTGACAATTTCTAAAATATGTTTGTAGGTAATAATGATCTCCCTTTAGAAGTAGCCCAATAGATCTGCATCAAAATATAGTGGTAAAATGACACATAATATAATAGCCCTAGATATTTAATATAGCAAAAAGTAATTTTTTAATTATTTTTAGACATGATCCTGGGATAATTAAAAAATATTTAACATATCCTTTTTAAAGATAAATAAGAAATCAATAATTATTTATTTGTTTAAGTATCTGGTTCTGTCTTATCTTTTTATAAATATTAGAGCTCCTTATTAAGATATGATTTTTATATTTATTTAGATCCTAGGTTTATTAAATCTCAAAAAGGAAAACTTCTTCTTTTTTTCAAAATTATTTATATCGTTATGATTATCAAAAAGATGATAATATACATTATCGATGTAAAAAAGTTGGCTGCAGTGCTTCATGCAAACTTGACGCAATATACATAATCTCTGGTTTGCATGAACATCAAAATAAAATCGGTCTCTTTGAAAAACTTAGAACTCACCGGGTTCTAGAGGATACTGTTGCCGAAAATCCTCTAGAAACTAGGCATAATATTTACGAAAAAGCTTTAAATAAAAGATTCTTGGAAACGCCAAACATGAATATGTATCCAGAGGCTATGCCCTTCTATATTTCAATAAAAAGTACAATAGATCTATTATTACAAAAAAAAATCGGGCCTCTTTGCCTCAGTTTGTAGATGACATAGTTCTATTGCCCGCCACAAATAGGAGGCTCTATATTCTATTGTTAACCCTAATACCTAACATTTTCGTCATATGGGTTGGGAAATGTGGAAGAAACAGTCTATAAAAACTTATAATAAATTAAGCTTTAATTACTATTGTAGGGAATTACAAATCTTAGAGCTGATATCGCAGCAGCTTCATAATCAGTATGCCCGTATCTAGGATTAAACCAAATATTATTTTCTGCACAACATCTTAGAATTATTTGAAATAATTCTATATATGTAGCTAAAAATATTAAAAATAGCCTAGCTATATTAAACATCAAGGGTTATTATATTATGTGACATTCTGTATTTAATTATTTTATTTAAATAAATATAAAAAAATAGCCTTATAAACATATTTTTACCACTAAAATTTTGATGTAAATCTATCAACATATTGGCTACTTCTAAAGGGAGATCCCTATTATCTATAAATATATTTTAGAAATTGCCAATTTGTGCATTGGATACTTTCAATTGCAACATCTGAATTAATAACTTGATAAGCACCTGAATTACCTTGATTTGAATAAAAGTTTGATAGCCTATGGCAAAACCAGAAGACGGGCTAATGTTAAATCATTGATCCAATTTTAAAAATAGCAAGGTAAACATAAATACCTTGATTTGAAATAATATTTTCATGAACTAGCGCATCTGAACGTGAGGTTTGAGGAGCTGATGCTGAATCGGTGATTCAATGTTAAAAATATTATCAAGGTAAATATAAATACCTTGTTTTGCATTAGTAGTTTGACTTTGAGGGGCGAATAACAAATTTGAAATTTGTCAGACTAATAATTAAAAATTAATGTTTAAAATAAAAATATCATAAATACCTTTGATATTTGAAATAATATTTTGATGGGCTATGGCATCAGAACTAGAAGTTTGTGGGGGTTAATTGATTCAATGGTAAAATAATATTATATAAATAATTACCCTGATTAGCATTAGAAGTGTGAGCGGCTACTAAGCTTTGACAGTCTGAAGAATGTTTGTTGTGTGGTGATAATTAAATAGAGGTCAATCATTAATATGGCTCTATCACCACATCTTTCGCGACAAGTAAAGTAAACGACCTTTAGCTTATATAGTCCTTCTTCTTCTGTGTTTGCTGAAAGCAAAAATAATAAATATGTAAAATGGTTTATTACTTTTATTTCAAGATGTATGTATTTAAAGATAATTTTTAAGGTTTTCTGCTATAGTTGGAATCATATCAAACATATGGCGGTCATTTTTGTGATTTTTTTTTCCCGAACGTTATTGTGAATATTCACATTTTTTGCCATTGTTACTCGCTATTTATGTCTCTTACAGATATATCATTATCAATAATATCACATTGTGAATAATTGTGATGTATAAATTATGATAAATCGAGTTTTTCAGGCTTTAAACGAGTCCTCCTGTCTGCAAAGGCCCTACCAGCTGCTGAAAACGCTCCTTCGCTACTAGCCGAAAGAAGCAGGGAGAGCCAGGAATTTAAGAGCCAAAACGTTTAAAGGGGAAGTCCTTTTGGTAGGTCTTCCACCTTGTCATCGCATGTAATTTTGCATTAAGTTATTTTTGAAGTTCTTAAGGGAGACTAACAATTCGTTATCTTATGTTAGCGATGAAGTCGATGAACTTTGCAAAAATACCTTGACGTAAAATTACATATTGAGGATGACACACAACTTAAATTGGTGGAAGACTTACCAAAATGGCGTTCTAAGTTCAAGTATTTGGTTCTTAAATATTTGGCTATCCATGCTTCTTCGTCTAGCAGCTAAAGAGCCGTTTCAGTGGCTCCTAAGGCCTTTGAAAATAGGATAGATGGGTTGAGTGACAAACTCGACTTCCCATTATTTACATATCACAATTATTCTCTATGCGATTATATTAATAATGATATATTTTTATAATATGATCGTTATATTATGGCAATAATTTTTAAATTCAATATATTTTAACTCTTTTACAAATATTTAAACTGATAAAATGTATATGTTTCCAATTTAAATGAAATACACTTAACATTGATTAGATTTATGTAGGTTAGATAAATTTTTATTTATGGTAATATAAATAATATTTAATTTCGGAATTATATTATTCCAAACTCAAATTAAAATTTTTCTTTAGTCGGGCTGCGAAAAAATCGCCTTGCAGACCTCTAACGGCACATCCATAATATTGAATTTGGTTAAAGGCTGATCTGGAAAATTCCAAGAGCAGCTTTCATATTATCTGCATTATTCCTAACTAAAGAAATACACTTTTCTAGGATTTAATATTCTTCGATTGTATTTTTAAATTGAGTGGGATAATATCCGCAACCTTCACTTCTATATTTTCGAAAGATTTATTATAGATAAAAAAACCAAGCCAAATGCTTTCGACCGGGTAACTTATAAATTAAGGGCGTATTGTTTTTTTAGAAAAAAAAAACTCTTTTATATATGGATAGTTGTTTAAAAATAACATTAGAGTGTTTGACCTGCCAAATATGCATCAACCCTGAATTTGACGATTCTTTTTTTTTCTTATATGGTTCTTGATCACTTTAAATGTTTTACTCCTTTCATATGAAATCAAGTTTTAGTTTATAAAAATATTAATGATTGACATCAGTCCTGTCTCCTGTCTATCATAATTATACCTTTTTTCCGGTATTCTCTTAGCTTTTTTTTAAACTCAAATCTTCTAATAATATATTCATATTTTAAACTTTTAAATACCTATTTATTTTTTTAGGATGGAAACATGGGTTTAGCTAAACAATTGAAAAAAGCTTTTCATAAAAACCACTTGAAAAAACTATCGAAAGTTTGAAAGGACAAAATAAATATATGATCTTATTATTATTTTTTAACGATTGCTCTGAAATAAAATAATAGTTTTTGTTTTTCAGACAGGGGCGGGCCTCTTTGGACCAGGGGCAAGAAAGGAAATATCTTTAAAAAGGCTATCGTTTTATTTAGTTATTTTTTTAAATATCTTTTATTTTTTTAATGCATTAAGATATATTTGACAATCTCAATCGATAATCTGACCAATCAGCTTAAGTTACAAAACGAGAACCTAACAAAAAGGCTACTGATAGAAATGGTTTGCTTTTTTTAAAAAATTATTATTTATTAAAATTAAAAATAAATACTATTTACGAAAATTATAACTTGGAAATAATAACTATTTCTTGTATCATATTTTAAACTTTTTACCATCTTACAAAGAATTATTCGTTTGTAAGATTTCCGGTCTTTCCCTCCTTTATAAATTTGGCATCTTCAGCTACCGATTCCTTGATTTACTTGGAAAACGGATCTCGGGGGGGGGGGGCAGCGATTGGGTTCTCATAGTTATTAAGACTTCGATATAAATACATTAAATTTAATTATTTTTCCGAATTTTCTTTTAAGGGAAATTAATATCAATTTTTTCTAAATTACCTTAACGATTTTATTTGCTATGGGTTTTTTAAAAAAATAACAGATTATGAACGGTGAAATTCACGGGAAAATAGATGAATACAAAGGGATAATGGTTTTTTATGACGAAGATTTTAAGAGTTATTACAGCGATGGAGATAAATTAATGAAAACTCTTAGGGAAGAGGTTTGTAATATATCTTACATTATTAACATTTTTCAAAATCTTATTGAGGGGGTTTCATATGTACTTCTTTAAAAATCTCGGATTATAAGCTTATTTGTTTTGTATCGAACTAATATAACTTTTCTAATTCATGAGTTAATTAATAATCAAGATTAAGAGAATAAAAACAATTGTTTTTAAATTAATTATCAAAATAAAAATATTATCTTTAAAATTTATTATAAAAAATTAATCATTTAAAGTACAATTTTAATGCGCTATATATAATAATTTCCTTTTTAATAAATTTACATTATAAAAATTGGCAATTTACATATCTGACGAAACTAAAATTGCACCTATATCAAAATACAACATATTTATTATAAATTATTTTAATATCACATTTAAACTTTCAGCTAATGCAAATATAAAAAAATTATGATCCATCCTTATGACAGTTCGATATTAATGATATAACATTAAAATTCTAATAAATGTAAAGTTTAAATTAGGGCTCTAAGGAGTATTTTGATACCTTTTTCCCCAGCAGTTACCACGTAACGATAACGTCTTGTATCATTAGCTAGGTTAGATGATTTAATCAATATCATATATAGAAAATGAATATTTTTTTCCCCCCCCTTTTATGCCTAAAGGGTCAAAAATGCATGGATCTTCGAAATCACATGGAAAAGATTACTAATAAAATATCCACAAACCCTCAATACATCCAAAAAGTATTTATAAATATACAACCTAATTGACATTATATTTAAAGTTTTGCCTTATATTCGAAGATTAAGGGAAAACTTTGAGAATTTTTGAGTCTATCACATTCTATTTTTATACTTTAGTTATTAGGAATGGAAGATATCAGTTCGGGAAATTTCAAAAATATAGTACCTTATCCTTGAATCTATTAAACTTTATTATTGTAAATTTTTATTATTTATATTACATATTTTAAAATTGTATCATATATTTTTTTGCCACTACCTGTACATATTAATTTATTTATAAATATTTACCATTGCACAAAATACGAATATTTCTGGCATCAAATCATTTTTTTTCGTGTTATATCTATATAAAAATGTTAGCGTTTCAAAGTTAAAAAATTAAACCAAATATTCAGAATAAAATTAGAGATCATCATGATCAAACATAGTTTGTGGAAGTAAAAATCAATAATTTGGATGAATCGGGGCCAAGCCAAGAAATATTTGGCACAAGTTGCCTAGCCTGCTGGCTTTCATGCCATGTAAGTCTTTTGTAAGAATGATCATTTTTTTAAAAAATAATCAGATTTTGTGGCTAACATTTAATTTTTAACATTCATCCTTATTATTGGAGTTTTTAAACATCTTAAAATCCAAAATAAGTCCTATCAATTAAAAAAAAATGTCCAATGATTTTATTCACATGTTTTTTAAAAAAAAAATCATATAACATCATTTTAGGATGAAAATTATTATAATAAAGAAAGAAAATATAAAGTATTGTTATTATAAATGCATAAATTAAAATAAAAAGATTGAGTTTGTTATGAGTGCCAATTTACCTTAAGTTATTACAAATATGATTATCATTTATTGATAAAATTATGGCAATTAAAAATTAGATATATTCTTAAAGGATTAATTGAAATACAATAAATATGATACTCTATTATGAATTTAAAAAATAAATAGATGTAATTTAAATACTGCCAAATTTTAATTATGGTAAATAATAAAATTTTAATGATTTGATAACGGAGTTTTAATATGTGACGTTCCAAAAGGTAGTTGAATCGCATTATTGATTATAAAAAGTGATGAGTATTTAATTAATTTGTTTAAGGTATTATAAAATTATATATGGAAAGCTATATAAAAAAAATTATTATTTTTAAAAGGTGTTAAATGTTTTACATGATTCCTAATAAAATTTAAAAAAATATTTTTTATATAAGGAATGGCATATTGTTTTAATATATCTCTTGATAACACAGCCATTTCAAATTTTATAATAAATAGTTGTGATAGAATGTAATAATACTGCTTTACAACAACAAATAACACATCAAAAGTAATATGTCATTACTATTATGACAGGATCTGAAGAAATTTGGTTGAGACCAAATTTTTTACATAATACTCTATTTTAAAAAATATCTTCTGTAAGATTTTTTCACAAATGAGCAACTATAACGGTATTCGTAGATAACTGTTGTTCATCCGGTTTTTCGGGAGGAAAAAGACCGAAGCTTTTGGATCTACTCAAGTTGTTACTACATGAATCTACGAGATCCTCGACACAGTCAACTCTATTCGCGTTTTCTTCCTCTTCGATTTCGAATTGGGCCGTTATGCTCAGGGGAGTTCTTTCGTCGGCAATCTTAAAAATCGTGTTATAGGCCGAGTCAGTTACATCGATGCTAGGAAGTCGCTTCGGAGTTCCCGCGGTTTCCATCGAGTGATGAGAATGAGTCGTAGATCCCTTTCGTTCAAATGAAAGCTTTCGCAATCTGGATTATTTTATTTTTTTTTAAAAAAAAATTAATAAATCCAATAATATAAAACGTCCATTTTTAAATTTTTGACGTATACAGGTAAGAAAAATATCTGCTAAGCATTGAGAGCTAGTTAATTTATATATGATTTCGACAATGTTGAGCTGATGATTTGTATTCAAATACAAATCAGCTGATGGTATGTCATTTTAGCTTCCAAAAAAAGATATACAAATTAGCTGATGGTAGTCGTTTTAGCTTCCCATGTAAACAATGTTTGTTTATAATTAAAAAAAATTGAGCGTGAAACTAAAATGGCGTGTAATTAAGTTTTTATTCGTCTAAAAACGGAGCAAGCTACCCAGCTACATATTTGTTATACACATTTTTTTTAATGAAAATCAAGGGTGGGAATCTATTTTAAAAGAGTACATACATTGGAGTCAGCTGTAACGCCATTTTGTGGTTTGCACTTGGACTAATTGTATTATTTGATAATAGGAAAAATAAACCTCTCCTTTAAAAATTTCACATAAAAATAGTTTTTTTTTATTTAAATCAAATTTGACGCTATAAATAACACTTTTTGAAATTCTCACAAATAATATAGAATTTCTTCTACGAGAATATCAAAAATCGAAGAGTGGTGGGGAATTATTAGGGATGCTTTATCATATTAATATATGGGAGTTGGGTAAAGCAAGGTTAAATGTGGTTTTGATTTTTACCTTTTTGCTAATTTTTATTTGGAATATTTTATTTTTTTTTAATTTGAATTTATATTTCTTCTTTTTGCTAATTTTTATTTTATTTTGATTTACTTCTTGAAGGAGAGGTGAATAGTTTTTTTTAAATATCTGGGCTGGGCCCAATATTTTAAAACGCCATTATTATTTAACTATAAAAATTTAAAAAAAAATAAATAAAATATACTTAAAAATTGCTTATCATAGATCAATATATCGCATTCATTCATTTATCGTATTTCTTATTTCCATTTTTTTTTTTGAAAAATCAACTAATCAAATATTTTATATCTCAAAAATAGGAATTTTTTTTAAACAAAGATTTCTCTGAGAATGCTCATTTCAAGTAGGATTTTTGATCAAATTTCAATCTTAAATTATCCATCATTTTAAAAATAGAAATGTTTAGATCTTCTTAAAATATCGCTCAAAAATTTAGACGAAAATAAATTAATTTTATTTGAACCCTGAAATTAAGCCATTTTATTAAAAATTAACAATCAAAAATTTAGATTTTTTAAAAATAAACATTAAAATAAAAATGAGTGAGTTGGATAAATATCCTAGAAAAGCACGGACTAAAAGTAAACAGATAAAAGACGGAGGTTCAAAGACTTGCCAACCAAAGAATCAGACGAGAGAAGTCTACAAACTATGGCGATGAAAATGCAGATGATGATTGCTGGGGTATCAAGAAAGGATAAGGTGCGAATTACAAGAATATTAGGAAGTTTAAAGGTAGTGCCTATTAAGACTAAGATAATGGTGAACAGACTTAGGTGGTATGAACACACAATGAGAAGGCCCATAAACTATATAAGAAATAAGGTTAAGAGTTTGTAAGTGATGGGCAAATGTATAAGAGAAAGGCCAAAACTTCAATGGGGCCATAAAGTTAGAGCCAATAAGAAAAAATATAAATTAGATAAAAGAGATAGCATGAATAACATAAAGTGGAGAGAGATATTGAAGGAGCTTACCACCAGAAAAAGGTGAAAACTAAAAAGAAAAAAAAAAGAAAAATAAACAATAAAATCCAATCCCCCCCCACTTTAATTTTGTATTTTGAAGAAAAATAAATAAACTACTTATACAAAAAGATTCCGAGAGGAGTCTCACAAACAAATAATTTTTTAAAAATAGAAGTAAATATGAAATGGTATGATAAAAAAATAAAAATAAAACTTTCAAATAAATTGTCGCTAAAAAAAGTAAATTAAGTGTAACGAAACGACAATTTATCATACACAAAAAAAGTGTTTTAGTTCAAATATTAGTTGATATCTTATAATAATTAATTAACAAAATATACAAATTTTAAAAATTTAAATTATTCATGCTTTTTGGGAACTTGTAGTCCCAACTCCGTTTTTATAGAATGATATTTTAGGAATTTATATAAACATAATGATTAATAAGGATAAAGGTAAATAAAGGATAAAATATTTAGCAAAAAAATTTTTTTATTAGAAAACATTTATTGATTAATTTAATCTAATTCAAACCTTAATTATCATATTTATATATGTATATATGTTGCATTGCGTATCAAATCAACTGAAGATTCACAGATTCCACCCGACCCTCTTTGATTTATTATAAAAATTTGTATGATGGTAGCATATATATAACTAGTAAAAAATATATAATTTTAATTCCCATCTCAGCTTTACTTCATGAGATTATGGGACATCTTTAGAAGCGCGAAAATTCCAAAATACACTATATTTAATTTTAAATGTTATATTATTTTTTTTCAACTTTAAAATCGTTTTTTAAGCGCGTTTTTTTTTCAAATTTTGATTTTAATACATTTCCGGTAAAATCAACAAAATTATCTGAAATTTATATGGTAGGTATTCCAAACATGAGGGGGCATACATTTCTGGTAAAACCAGATTTTTAAATTTTTTAAAAACGCGATCAAAAAATGATTTAAAATTTTAAAAATAACATATTGCCGGAAAAAAACACATTTGACGCTATCATATATATACTACCAACATACAAATTTTTTTAAAAAAATCGAAAGGGGGTCGGGTTGAGAATAGATTTGGGTTGATTTTTTTTTTTTGGGGGGGGGGGGGGATAATATGTAGTAGATCGGACTCGACCACGTGATTCATAATATATATTTAAAAAATAAATGGAATCTTATTGTTCATATAAATTTAAAATATATTATCAATAAAATCATTTTGAATCCTTTATTATCAAGTTTAAAGAAATCTAATTATACAATTTATCTCGTAAAAAAGAAACGTGTTTTGATTATATAATTTTAAATAGACGCATTCGTAGTATAAACTCTTTGATGATTTATTCGACAAAATTATTTATATTATATATTTAAGGTTAATTCCCTCGTAAAAAAAAATTATATAAATTTAAGCGTAAATGATGATCGATAAATCGTCGGTTGAGTATCAAAATGTTCTATCTCCATTTTTTTTAAAAATTGTTCAGATCATTTTTTAAAAAAAAATGTAATAATAAAAATATTTTTATCGTGAATATTATAAGAGATAGTGTGCGGCTTAAACTTCTCGATTTTTAAAAACGGCTAACCCAATATTTCGACCAAAAAAAATATTAAGCAAACCTGGAGATTTTGTCTAATAGATGGCACAACGTGGACATCTATAAACGAAATCTCGACGCTTGCGTAAGATTTTTTTGCTAAAATATTGGGTTGGCCGAAACAACACTATATAAGAATACGGTACTGACCACTGAAGGACACAAATTTATATATATTTTAAAAAACAAAAAAAAGAAGATATAGAACACTATAATAATATCCAACCTAGAAGTTTATAATAACTTTGGATGGTGACATTATATTCCTTAAGTTAATATTTGATCAGGTTATAAATTAGACTTTTTTTAAAAAAAGGAGGGTCTCGAGTTTTGAATATGTTATTCGGTTTCCGAAATTTTTTCGGTTGTACCCGGCTTCGATGTTTGTTAGAACGGATTTCGTTTCTTGACATGGAAACTTTAAAAGCGAGTCCCGGAAAGGATGCTCCGGGTCTTGAATTTAACCTAGACGATTCCGACGGTCCTTTTTACGAAAACTACTTAATTTGTTGGCTCCGATCCCTTTCCCATCCTTCCTCTTCCCCATTCCCTTCCTCGACTAATACAATATTGAAGTTTACATATTACACAAGAATTTTGCTCATAAATGGCAGAACAGGTATCGGACATCTATTTACGAAATCTCGAGGCTCGCGTAATACTATTTCGCCTAAAAAATCTTAATTTAAAACGGGCTAAATCGAGCCGTTTAACAATACTTCATAATAACATACAAAAAAAGAAATAATCCCAAACCAAACATTTCATGAGGAAGATAAATAATTACCTTTCTTCGGCCTTGGCTTTTTCTTTTACCCATTTTCTGTACCCGAACAGGCAGATAGCTATTATTATGATAACCGATCCCAAGAAGCTTGTCCAAGGAGGTATTTTGCGCTGAAACACGATTTGTAACAATATGGTAAATACTATGGTTAGGCTATTAACGGCCGCTATAACTCCAGCGTTTTCGATTCTCAGAGCCAGGAATAGAAATAATTGGCCAAGGGTACCTAAGAAGGCGGAACCTAAATAATAAAATTTGATTAGTATAAAAAAAATTTTGGAATATAGCCTAATTATTACTTTAATAGCTTCAGGGATTTGACCCGTAACGAATATGGGGTGTGGTGATGAAAAAAAATAACGGTTCGGAGTTAGGATTTAGTTCGTAAAAAAATGATAAAAGAGGTTCGGTTAAAAATTCGCTTTTGTTATAAATAATGTGATAAAAAGAAATTCGATTTTGAGATATCCGTCGATTCGAACCCGGCCCGGGTTTTAATTTTTCAATCTTGATAATTTTTGGTTCAGTTGTATAAAAAAAAATTCGGCCATTTTTAAAATTAAACATGTTTGAACTTGAATTGACTTGAAATATAAATGGTGGAAGGATATTTCAACAGCAATAAAACATTTGATTTTATTATTATTATTATTTGATGATGTATTAAAAAAATTTTATTTTGGCAATGTGATGGGAAAGGGAATTAACCTCCAATTTTTTTAAAAAATTTATTTTAGAAATTGAAAAGCAGATTGGCAATATGGTGAAACCGGAATTAACCTCCATTTATCTTCATATAAAGGCTTCCATTTTTAAAATTATTTACAAAAAAAAATTAATTAAATTAATCGAATTTTATTGCGCATCCTAAAAATGGCGTGTTTGAAATTCTAAGAAATTCTTTATAATATGAATATACATATTATTTATTCATATATTTTAAATTTAATTACAATTTACATTTTATAAATGATATAGTATATTAGAAGGAAGCCTTTATATTTCATACATTCATTAAGCACGTTACACATATTTTTTTTAAACACGTTTTAAAAAAATTATAAAATTTATTTTAAAAAGCGGGAATTTTGAAAGTTTTATATCTGACGAATTGAACAGAACAGACGACTTCTATTTATTTAAAATATATATTTCATGATATCGCATATACGCTTAAAGTAAAAAATAGATATTAAAATAATTTTTAAACATCTGGTGGGCGGGTTAAACTGGGGTTAATTTTTTGTTAAATGGACCATAGGCTGTCAGGCAAACGGGTTAAATTTTTTCTAAACAATGGGTGGGCGGGAGTTTGGATTAAAACCCTCATTGCAGACCTACAATCTGTAATTTGTATTCGTAACTGGATCATAAATCTTACTTTTTTGTGAATTTATTATGGACAGCTCTTAAAATTGAAAATATATAGGAATACGCGTATATTGTAAATTAATTTAGACCTGACCTCTTGAGCCGGGCTTTCCAGATCTTTGCTTTATATATATTCACAATAATTGCATATATACAAGATATCCATAAACGGCCATTTTTCGCCATTAACCAATAAGTTTTTTTTTTTAAATCTTGGCATCAAAATTCGACATTTTACAAACGAAGTCAAAGATTTTTATACATATGTATGTCAGAGACCTTTAAATTTTTTTAAATCTATCAGGGCCGGACCACTTAAAACCGAATATTTTAAATCGCCATTATTAGCTATAATTAAGAATAAATGTAATATCGTTTAAAAAAATTCGGGCAGGGCCTAAAAATTATAAACCCAGGCTGGGCCGGGCCGGATATATTTTTAAAAATAAAATCCAGGCTGAACAGTGTAAATGCTACTTATAAAGTGAATAAATGTTAAAAATCGATCATTTAAACATCAAAATGAGGGTTTATTGAGAGACATGTAACTGTCTTGTTCATCAAATTTTTAAAGCTCTAGTTCAAATCGAATTGGAGTTATGGGGCTCTCAAAGTCGTGGCTGCGAATGCCATTTATTTATTATAATAAATTTCAAAGACTTGTTTTTACGAAAGTATTGTTAACGGTTCGGTTTACTATATTCAAAAAATTATCTCTTAATAGTTCGTTTATGGTTACGGCTAGGGGGAATTTCCAGTGGTTTCGTTTGAGAAAATATTATGCGGCTTCCTCGAAAAGATTATACGCATATTTCAAAAAACCTTTCATTTCATTCCATTTCTTTCTTTTCTTTCCTTCTTTCTGGTAAACTGTCTTTAGCCCGTATGCCAAACTGGCACGAACACGATAAATTAAATAAGACGCGACTCAATGAAGTAAAGTCCCGTTTTTGCAAGTTCTTACATCGCGCCATTTTCCATTAAAAATAAATGAAATTAATTTAAATCTTAAAAATTTACCCAATATGAAATAGCGCTCGTAAGAAAAGGGACCAAATTCCCGGATCCCCATAAAATTTCGACCGGCATAATAATTAGAGGGCAAACAGTCCGGTAAAGAATAGTGTCCCAAGATGGCGCAAAGGGATGCCGTGCCGATGACCCCCACCGCGGAAAAATTTACGATGACGGTGGAAAAGGGTAGTTTGTTAATTTTCCTTATGGTGACCATGGCTACGGCCGTCAGTACGGATGAGATGGCCGCAAAAATCAGCCCCAAAACTCGTTTTGGGTATTCCCTGACTACCGCCTCTGTCCGCGGTGCGGCTCTCTTCTGGTTAAAAAAATTGATATTGTTATCGTTAATATTGTATGGTTTGCTATGATTGTTGTTGTAAAGGGATGAAAAGTTGTTCGGGTAGCTATATTTGTCATCGATGAACCCCTTGATTCGAGCCATATTACCATGGTCCATATTGTCCAGATCAATGAGGTGGCTCGGATCCTTCAAGCCATTCAAATTCTGCTGGTTATACATGGGGGAAACTACGACATTCAGATCGTCGAGTCCGTTTTTACCCGAGCCCCTGAATAAAAAAGCGGGTCGCGTAACAAAAACCACCCCCGTCAAAGCTAAAGCTATAAATCGCGTTTAATTTATTTTTTTTGAAAACAAATAATCTTGAATATAAACATCGTTTTATTACTTCCAAAATAAATAGTTCGGCAAATTAGTAATTTATAATATTTAATAATCAAGTCAATAACAGTATTTTGAAAACTATCGCTCAAAAAAAAATTGACCAATTCAAACTGCAAAGGTTAGTTAGAAATTTGACTACATTAATCTTGTTAATAAAAAAAAACCTAAAAGGCCGGCATCGGCGACAGCTATTCGTTCCCCCAGAAAAATGCGGGCTAATATTGCCACGTATACGGGAGAGGTGTAGGATATCGTGCTAGCATCCGAGATAGGGGCATAAACAAGCGCGAACGTCAGACACGTGATTCCGACGGTTCCCGCTATGCAACGAATGTATAAGGGGAATAAAAGTTTGCGGTGGTGGGTGTTCCGGTAAGGAATCTACCATATTAATTAACAAAAATTGCTTTGTTTTTGGAATTTATAATTATTAATCATAAATAATGGCGCATTTATAGTAAACGCGTTTTGTTCAAGCGATGCGTTATTACAACATAAATCCAACAAATATGGAGAGTTATGATGATAACGCTATGATAAAATTTGAAAAACATATGTTGCGATGCGTTTATAACTAATATGCGATATGATTATAAAAAAAATATGTAATTCGATAAAATGGTAAATGATTTTTCATAAATATTATAAAAAATAATTATCTCTATTTTAGCTTTATCTTAAATTAGTTTTTATCGGCTGTATTAACGTTGCTGAGTTAAATAACGCAACGTTTGAACATAACGTTTACTGTAAATGATGCCTAATCCAGAAAACAAAAGAGATCTTTCGGGTTTGGAAATTTATTAATTATGATTTGTTTTTCAATAAATATGTATCGTAAATAATTTATAGGGCTGTAAAGTAACGTCGATAAAAGTATTTTTTAGGGTAAAAGGAACGCAAAAGGAAAGGCGATGTCCTAAATATCAAAAAAATAAATTCGCCAACTTTCGAAAAACGAAATAAGCTTTTTTTTAAATATAAAAATATAAACATGTCCAAAATATAATTCCAAGAAATTACAAAAATTTAGAATATTAAGATTTGAATATTTTACGAATTTTTTTATATAAAAGAAAAGGGGAAGATATTATTATATGAAATTAATTTAAATTTTTACCAATTCCGTGGAGTAAAATATGAGGGCCGGCAGCGTGAGAAGCAATTGAACTATCATACGAATGTTGGCAATTTGAAGAGGATTCACAGTTCTAACCCTGGCTATAAGTAAGGAGGCAAACGCCGTGCAAATGCATTGGCAGATGCCCAAGAAAATCCCCAAGAGAGGCGATTTCAGAAGCGTATCGTAAAAGTTGGAACAAGAGGTATAGGTGCGACGGACAACAAAGAGAGGTAGACTTACGATGCGAACGGTTAAGGATATGAGCAGAGAGGGTATGGAGGATAAAGGCGGGGCCGAATGGAGTCGGGAGTAAAATACTTTGTGCTTCAACATGTTTGGCTTTGTACCGACTTTTTAGTAACGGCTATTAATGATTTTTTTTTTAAATGTTACGATTTTATTTGATTATTTTGGAAGGAAGAATAATATGATGAGTTTTCAAAATACGATTACACTAAATAATTTTAAGGCAACATTTTCTTATTTAAAAATAATTTATATACAAATTATGATAAATTAAAATTAAATATAATATTTGGTTATGATGTTGAGATACTTTATTTAAATAACGAATTTCACAAATTTTTCATTTACGAATTATAATTAAAAAAATATATATATATATAAAACTAATAATATATAAAAAATGAATTAAAAATCTTTCTTTCTTTCTTTCTTTCTAGGTAATTTATTAGAAATGAGATTAAAAAAAATAGAAAATTTTTTAAAAAAAGAGTACAAATACCCTAGAAGAGTAAATGCTTAAAAAATTGGACTGGCAGATGTCCAGGAAATCTGCTGGCGAAGACCCACGTTTTTTTAAAAAAAAAAATCCTACTAAAATTTACAATTTTTTTTAAATTATATTAAAATATATTTATTCAGAGAGAACCTTGAAGGCCCGGTCTGGAACAGGCCATGCTCGATTTAATTTTTTTAAAATGATTAACTCAATATATTATCCAAAAAATATCATGCGAGCAGGATTTTGCTAACAGGTGGCAAAAATATTTGAACACATATTAGCAAAATCTATAGACTAAAGCACCATTATTCTGGTTAAAAAATATTGAGTTAGGTCTCATTCATAGTGGCATACAATCCAACACGATTTAACAGCTGATAATTTTTAAAATCGGTTTTATAAGATCATGTTTTCTTTATTAAAATCAATATTTCTTAGATAACAAATTATAAAACGATCAGCTGTTAACTCGTGTTAGATCTGATCCCAATAATTTGAATGACTCCTTATTTGAGCCATCTAACACCATTAGCCATATGTATCAAATAATTGGTGGGAAAATGTTGTAAAATCCTTTAAATGGAGCATTTAATATTAATTTTCTCATATTTTAAATTTTTTTTTGAAGCAATTTGTAAAAGTCCAAAATTTCAAAAATTCCAGGCCGAGTTGTTTATGGACCAAAAAAAAATCTGCAGTTGGTCAAAATATTTCCCTAGGCTTGAAAAATGGTAGAAAAGATTAAATCTTGGCCTAGGGCCAAATAAAATACAAATTATACTTTACCAATATTAGGTAAATAACTTAGTTACTGATTTATATAGGTGAAGGCTGCCTAAAAATTGGGGCTGGGCTGGAGCAGGTCAAAAATAAAACATTTCAATTTAAATAAGCTGGGTCAGGTCCTAAAAATAATTTTTACAAGCATGGGCCAAGCAGGGTGATGCCATTGGCACCTCTGCATGTTTAAGAAATTACATCAGAATATATATAAATTTTTATAATTATTCTAGTATATACAATAATCTTCTATTTAGATCCTATTTTTTAAGATTCGAATTTTAAAATTATTTTAAAACAAAACTATTGATTAGCAATTAAAAAAATAATATAGTATAGTTAGTTTTTAAAAAAAATTTTGGCTTAAAACCTTAACCGAGACTAATATGTTAATTTATATATAAATTATGAGTTGAAATGATTAGTGTTACGATTCTATAGTCAAAACAAAAATACATAACAAGTTACAGATTCCATAAGTAAGTAACTGATTATGTTTTTCAATTAAGTGAATTTGAATTGATCACTTTAAAAAAAGTTAGTTATATTTTAGAAACAGTTATATTTAAAACATGAATATCTATTACATAATAAATGAATCAGCCCCTCCCCATCAAAAATTTGTATGTTCCAGTAAATATTGTTTTTAGCTAACAACCCCCCCCCTCCCAATGTATATAAAATGTTGCTACAAGGAAGAACATGAAGAAAAATTATTAAAAGATATAATGATTATAATTCATATTTTATATAGATATAGAATAGTTGATGGCCTACATGGAATGACCTGCAATAAAATTTATGGAGGAAACCCCCATCTAGTAGTGCCCCCCATGACGTATATAATTAGTTTTAGTTAGTTATATTTTACTCAAAAGTATGTGGTCATTGCTGTCATTATTTTCTAATTTAATTAGTTATACCCTTTCTAAAAATGTGACTTATACCTAATTTCACTAACAATACTAGAAATTTAATATTTTTTTTATATAAAAGCAAAATATACTTGATCTTTTCTGATCAGAATAACCAATTAACATCTATATTCGGCCAATTAACAGTTGAGAACAGTGAATAAATGCAACAGATGTTTCTTATTATTTATGTTTGACCAATCAAATTATGGTCATTGTTTATCCATATTTATTTATCTTTAGTTTATATTTCTCTTAATGTCCATCTTTCTTAATAAAATAATCAGATAAAGGATATCTTGTTACCCGATCATATAATAACATATTTACCATGTCTTTTGACTAGTTAGTTTGCTTATCTTTGTAAATTAAATAAGGCAAATAAACTCCAATGTCTATTGTGATTATGTGATTCGGATAATATCAAGGTAGATAATTATAACACCTCCTCCTTCTTCAATATCTGATTAGGCATATCAGACCAGTAGCGTTACTAGGAGGGGGGTTACTAGGAGGGGGGGGTGGGGGTGGGGGGGGGGGGGTGGCTATGGAGGTTCGAGTCCCCTTGAAAATTTAAAGAACCCCTTTAAAGTTTTAAATATTTTTAAAATAATAAATATAATTTTGATAATGTTAGCTAAAAAGAAAGATGATTTTGAAAATTTAAAAAAAATATTTTTTAGCCTTCTGAGATTTTTAAGGCTAGTGATACATTTGTAGGAGACCTTCCTTTTCAAAATTTTTAATTTGCTCAATCCATCGTCTACATGACAAAAAATTTAATGGAAACAAACTCCTTTCAAAAATGGTAATTTAATTTTTGTTTTAAAAAATAAAATTCTTTGGGTTTTGATGTAAGATATCTACTTTAGCCGTCTATATTTTTTAAAAAATTTATTTCGCTTGACATATGTTAAGGATAGAGATAACAATTGGTAAAAAAATATAATTTGTTGATTTAGAAGTTTTTTTTTCGCTTTCAACCAGATAAAAATTTGCATTCTTTTGAAATGAAGAGCCACATGTGAAGTCCCAAATTAAGTAATTACCTAAAGATCAATGTTCAGAACTTAAACTAACTGGTCTTTGGCCATCTTTTGATGATAAATTTGCAGGCTTCCAGACATTTGGTATTCGGACCCTCGTAAGAGAATGGCTAATATAACTAAATTAATCGTTGCATGCCATGATGGTTTACCTTGGTTATATATCAATTAGGACCGTGTCTTCCTTTGGAACCAAACGTTATTTTAGATTTTATACATGTATATTATTGAACAATGTTATATCCAATTCTATGACATATGGTAGCTTTTAATTTATATGATAAGAAATCTAGGTTACAACTTGGTAATTCCAACCATTCATAAATACTAGTACAATCAGTATTTTATAATAGTTGAATACATTCAAAGTGGAAGTTTGATGAGTGTAATTTAAAACTAAAAGTTCAAAAAGATTGATGTGTTAAAACTTTAATAAAACATCTTCAGGTAAAGCTACAGATATCCAAGCAGTCAAATGCGAATTTATAAGGTTATCACTAGGAGTGATAATAGAAGATATCATGGAGTTGTTCATTAAGCGTGAAGGCATAAAAGATTTAATGGAAATAAATCTAAAACACCCATTTTCGAGGGTAATTGTGTAAACCCCAGTTAAAATTTTCGAATTTAGTATTTTCCAATATTTTTGAAAAATTCATGAAAACGATTAATAATATTATTAAAAAAGATCTAAAAATATGTATAATCTTAAATAAAAAATAAATATTTTTTTTAAAGAAAAAAACTGGTGTGTAGCTATTTCTTTAAAATGTTATCCTTTAAAAAAATATTCTCATGAGCACCTCACAGTATGAAAAACACTTCATTTCATATTCTTTAATAACTTTAGACCCCAACACTTCGAGGGCATTTGAATTTAAAAAAATTGAAAGTACAATGTAAAATGAAGATATTGAATAACTTACGTTATAATCAATATGATTATAAATAAATAATTATAATAAAAATTGTCTAACCGAGTACCTCCTGGTGCCTGAAGGAGATTCAGTTATACTCCACTAGGAAAAGTAAAAAGAATAATATTTCCTTTATAAAAATTTTTGTCCTCTTTTTTTATATACAATAAAGTCTAATTTGCATTTTTGAATATTTGGACAACTCACTAATTTGACCAAAATTTTGAGTCCAATCAAATTCCTAATAAAAAATGCTTTGATAAATTGAGCAACTGTCTATCTTGAAGAATTAGTTTTCTATTTTTTTGTCCTTTTGCGTAGGACTTCTATAATGTAAGTATTTGTTGTTTTTTGTTGTAATTGCGTATTTATACATTATATATAATTATATATAATATCTTATGACAATATTATATGTTTGTCTGTCGTAAACTAACAATTAAAATTATTATGATTCCGGGAGCTGCGAGGTTGATCGAGCAGTACATTGTTTGTGAAATAAAACTTCTTGAATTAATTCAAACTTGAGTAAATTTAATATATATTAATACGTATTATTTTTAGACGTATATAAATGTGAATCATTTTATAGGTGAGTTACAGATTTATATTAGTATTCATCCACTTATATAATAAAAATATATACTCTTTTAAAAATATTTATGTCAACTAACAAAATTATTAATAAAACAAATATAACGTGTTATCATTAATTAAAAAATTTGATTATTAAATTTCTAATCATATTCAAAAAGAATTTGCTAAAAGATCTAATATTTCTAAAGGAAATGTTCACGATATTCATAAATCCAGAGAAGACATTATCAGACTCCGTAAAACATATTATACGAAATAAACAATAAATATAATATCTTATTTTATTTAATAAAATTTAATATATTTTTATTATGAATACAACCATTTTATACTAATTTTTGACAAACTTAGAATATAACAGATTGTAAAATATGTTTTTAAAGAGTTTTAAAAAAGCTTGGATATTGGGAACAAATCTTAGTCCCAACAATGCTTAAATTAGATTTAACTGTATTATTTTAGTATTTGATATGTATTGATATAACGTTTAAGTAAGATTGTGAGATGTCATTTTCGAAATCTTAACTTACTTAAGAAAATAGATATTTTAAAAAGTAATTTGCCTAGTTGTAAGAAAATTCGACCTCTTCAATTTATTTTAAATATTATATTAATAGTTGACATGTATTGATCATCAAATCACGCTAAATTTGATAAACTTATCATGTTTAAGAAGAGGTTGAGAAGAATCATCACACGAACTGACAAATTCATCAACACTAGTGTCTTTTCGGGGAATAAAAAAGGTGAATATTGTTTGTTGTTTTTTATTTATTGGTTAATGAGCAGCGTCTACATAAGCGGGAGGGGTAGGAACAGTTCACATCCTATTTTTTGAGGGGGTAGGCGACTTTAATGGGAGTAGGATAAATTTTTTGGTGGTTATCTATTGAATTTTGAGATGAAATAGGACAAAATTTATATTAATACTTTTATTATAGAACTATTATAATACAATTCATCGACCAAATCTATATATTGCAAACTATCATACAAATTGTTTTCCAAATAAAACTTTCTGCTATCCTTTTTTTAGATATTTCAGCTAGCTCATAATGTTATAATAAAGAATTCATTGTAAATAATGGAGGATTTAATTCAATTTATTATCTAAAAAATAAATCCTTTATATATCGATAGTTGGTAGTAGAGATAGATTAATTTAAATTATCCTTTATAAATTATCTGAAAAGAGTATCATTATAATTAAAAAGGTGAAAATAATAATGCGAAAATATCGCCGCCAAAGATGGCGGAAATTTTTTAGAGGGGTAGGCAAAGTTTTTGAAGGGGGTTTGCATCCAGTAAAAATCCTGTCATGTAGACGCTGTTAATGAGTGAATGGATATATAACTAGTGACTTTTTAAAAAAGGAACGCGTTACCGCTACACTCTACCTTGTGAGAAAAAGAACGCGCGTTACTAGTTATTCACAAAGTAACGCGTTACTTGTTATTTGAAAAATTAAATATTATATATAAAAATTTTATACATATAATATAATACAAAAATAATATATTATAAAATTCTTCTTATAATAATTTTTTTCCCTATATATGTAATATAAATAAAACATACAAAAATAAAATATTATTAATGATTTATAAAGCTCAACACATTTTTCGCCGTACTAAACACACGTTCAACTGAGGCAGAGGATGTGAGAGTTTTATTATACAATTGGGGAAATTGTTTAAAAATGAAATAATCTTTATTTTAAAAAATGCTTAATAGATCATCTTTAAAAGAATCTTCCTTCAGTATAAATTTTTTTATCTTTATCAGAAAATAATCTGGTAGGTGTTGTTTATTAAAGGAATCAAATCTGCTTTATCTTTATAAGGATATTATCTAATATTGGATATATATACAAGCATTCCACCTTGGTTGACCTATAATTTTATCAATGCTAATCTAATTTAAGTATCGGATGAATTATTGCTGATATTATATATTCATCCTTATAAATGGATCGAATCCATTTGTAAATAAACATAATTAAAATATATATTGTAAATAATATTACAACTGTGCACCTTTTATCTATGACTTGTAGGATTGTATTAATAAGTGGCGTATTATAAAACTTGAAATAAGAAATTTTTTTATTATAATAGTTATCGTGAGTGTGAGATATCCCAAATGTTCTAACATCGAATGAGCCGTAGCAACAGGTTCCATAACATATAAAATGTTATTTTTTTGATTAATACTAACCTTTAAATTGTTTTTTTTATGTTGATATAAATTGATTTTTTTATAAATTGTGTAGATTGATTTTTTTTATATAAATTTTGATATATTAATATGAAAATTGTTATATAAACCTGATTTTTTGGTTTGATAAGAGAACATAAAAAATATGTAAAATTTTAAAATATATTATATAAAATTAAATTATTAATTTAAAATAAAATTAATAATCACTTATCTTAGAAAACTTTATGGTGGCAGTTCCGCTACATATTCGAGGAAATCGTAAATTAATAAATAAATAAAAAAAGTTTCCCAATAATAATGTTAATATAAATATTGAATTTCCAATATACTCAGGCAATGGCGATCTTTTTTTGAGTTGATTCGAAGACATCTTAAAGGACACTCAGATCTCGGATATTGA